GGGGGTGTAGTATATACTTTGAGATACCCCAGGGGTCGAATTATCGGTTGTATTTGATTGCTGGTACTAGGCTTGGTGCGGAGGGTATGGATTTGGACTTGGGATGGGGCTGGATTTGACTTGATTTGGGGCTGGACTTAGTTGGGGGGTGGGTTTGAGCCGTGCTTGGCTAATCTTTACTCTCGTTGTGAGTATAGGCAACGAGGTTCTTGGTGCGTGGGGTTGAGGGGGTGAGTGTGCGGTGGGCGAAGGAGGTTGCGCCTCATTCTGGATCTGGATCTGGATCTGGAGTGGAAGGGGAGGAAGACGGGGTCACGCCGTTTGCGAGCCGGGTGTCGCCCGGTTTGCATGTTTATTTTACTCCCAGGGTTGAGGGGGAAGGTGGGTGAGTTGCACTCATCCTGTTTCTCTTTTGCGTGGTGGTTTGGGGCTACGGTGGGGAGATCTGACTAACAATTCACAGAGATACGGAGGCTGTTTGTCGGGTCTTGAAGGGGGTGTTTGGGCTTGGGCTGAAGTGTCTGGATTATGAGGTTTGTTTGTGAATACCTAAGACTTTGTTGTTCAGGGTGTGGATGAGGGCTAATCTTTTATGGTGGTGGCTAGAAATCGTTCACCCGGTCGGATGTCACTTCTTCCCCTGAAACCGTGTGGCAGTATTACTCGCCTTTGGCGTCTTTGGACGGCCTGGTGGAGTTCTTTCAGCGGAAAGTCTGTGGGTTGAAGGATGGCGAGGGTGCGGCGGCCGAGTGTCGGCGTCAGGCGGCGGAGTTGCTCGCTGCTGACTCAGTGGATATCTCCTACGATGCTTCGTCGCGCGCGCTGGTTTTGTCGGGGTTTTGGTCCGAGGCGCCTGGGGGTGAGGGGTGGACGGAGTATATTCGCGCTCCCGTTGCTGGATCGAAGGATAAGATGGAGGTGGGATTTCTGGGGGCAGAGAGGGCGGTCGATCCCGAGGAGATCAAGATGGGTGGGTTGTTGGGCGTGGTCGGGGAGGATGACAAGTTGAGTACGTGTGCCTTGCCCCATATCCCCAGTATGCGTCGCATCGACTGACTTGTGCCCGGGTTGCCAGAGCCGACGTTGTTTTCCTTCCCTTCGAGACATCATGCTCTTCCGCGTGATGCCGTCTTCTCGGTTTCGTTCCCCTCGCCCACCGGCTTACATCCTACGATGGCTGTTTCCATGTCGCCTGCCGCGCTGCAGCGTCCCCCTGCGTCCCCCGACGCGACCTGCACGCTGCATACGTATCTAACCCTGCCGTCCTATATCTTTGGCGATAAGTATCAGCTGGGCACTGATGATCGGCTGTTCCTGGAGTCGCATCACCTGGTCAAGTTGCAGTCTGTGACGGGCGAGACGGATCTAGAGGCGCCGGACTGGTCCGTCTCTCGGTGGGGGTCGAATTGGCTGTTTGAGGTCGCCACACCCCCGGCCGACCGGTCTCCAGAGCACTGGAACGTGACCATCCCGCTGCATCTGCGGTATCTGCATCCCTCGGAAAGTGGCTATCGTTCGGCCGCGGTTCCCTGGCCCGTTGTCTTTTGGGCCTGCACCGCCAGCGAGGAGGCCAGAATGCAATTCAATCCGTTCGATCGCGTCGACCTCGGATGGGAGGGCCTGTTCGGCCCCCAAACGGTCTTCTACCAGGTGCACCCAGCTGCCGAGCAGGGTCGGTTGGTCGAGGAGGTCAACGTGCCCGTGCTCAAGGCGAATGGCATCTTCAGCAGCAAGACTATCGAACTGGGCACGGTAGTCGCCATCGTCCTGGGTTCGCTTTGGGTGCTGTGGAAACTCGGCACCGTCGTGTGGGGCTCTGGACCCCAAAAGCGGGCCGAGAACCAGAAGAAGTCCCAGTAGTAGTTTTGTTACGTTCAGGATATTAGCGCTCGTTTTGGTGCTGTAAATGGTTGTATATCCATCGTCGCTGTTCAATTGATCAACTCTTTTTTTGCTTTGGAGAAGGGATGTTCAGCCGGTAGGAAGCGATCCCGCACCGGGCGTGCCCGGCATGTCGGTGTACATGAACCGCTCCATGTCGAAGTTTTGCAGACTCGGCATGTCGACCAGTAGATCACTCAGCCAGGAGAACCCGGGATAGTCTGCCAGCGAATGATGCGGTTCGGTAGACGAAGCCGCCTGCCCGCCGCCGGCCTCGGTTTGCGACGTCGAGGCGGCCGAGTGCACGTGCAGCACGTCCTTGAGCACCTTCGTGTCCTCCTCCTTCTGGCGCTGGTGCAGCAGCATGAGCAGGTACGCGGTGCTGTAGGCCTCGCGCATGACCTCGGTGTCGTAGGCGGCGACGACCTCGCGCAGGGTGGCCATGGCGTCGCCCAGCATGGTCAGCGCCGTGCGGTTGTCGATCGCCAGAAGCGTGCACACGACCTGGAACGGCACGTTCGCCGCCTGATGCCACGGACAGTTGGCGGCGACCATCTCGCGCGCGGCGCGCAGCCCCTTCCCCGCGATGGCCAGCACTTGGTCGAGCAGCGCGCCCGAGATGATGCAGTTCAGCGCCCGGAGCCGGCGGTAGATGCACAGCATCAGGTTACACTGCACCAGGATCAGCGGCGGCTGCGTGTGCACCACGCTCAGCACGTCCGTGAGCGCGGCCTCCAGCGCCGGCGAGTCCTGCGTCTTGTTCGGATCCAGGCTCTCGGACATGGGCAGGAGCCCGAAGATCTCCGTCGGCTGGCTGGTCGACCGCGGCGTCGGTGGGAGAGACGTCGCGCCGTACAGCACCACCCGCGACCGCGCCAGCTCAAACGAGATCCACACATTCAGGTGTCGCGCCATCCCGAAGAGCCGTCGGCGAATCTCCGGGTTGCACGGCTCCACTGGTTGGCTGCAGAGCGGTGCGTCTGTGTCCTCGCTGGGCAGCTCCAGGTGGAGTCCCGCCGCTTCGATGAGGTGCATCAGCGAGCAGCTGGCCATCCAGGCGGCGTTCGGCGTCGCGGTCATGCGTAGGTAGGCGACGCGGAGAACCCACGCCGTCACCAGGTCGACGGACGGTGTTGCGTCGGTGACCTGGTGCTGCTCGAGGATCAGCCGGGCGCTCTCCGCCAGCTGCTGCTCCGCGGGCGTGGCTTGTCGCTGGGAGAACAGGCAGCCGAACGCGCCGACGCCGCAGAGCACCGCGTCGAAGGCCCCATAGGGTAGGGCCGACTCTGCCGTCGACGGCAGCCACCGGCGGCTCAGGTTGCGCAGGAGGTCGTCGCGGTCGATGAAGCCGTAGCAGGGGTCGACCTTCTCGAAGAACACGGCGACCAGCGCGCGCATCTCGTCCTGGGAGATGAGGTCCACGATGGGCGAGGCCGCCGGGGAGAACGAGGCGGGCATGGAGGACGCCGGGGCTGGGTGTCGTGCGCCCACGTTCCAGGCGAAGAGGTGCAGTTTGGGCGCATTGGTCGGGTCGATCTTGAGGCCGAGGCGTCTGGCGAACGCGGCGCCGGAGTTGGCGTCCAGCGAGTTGAGCCGGGCTGCCGTCTCGTCGGGCGAGTGTTTGGATTCCGGCCGGCTGGAGATGCTTCCTCCTCCTCCCATGCTTCCTCCGTCTACAAGGCTGGGAAGTCCCAGGAATGGTGCAGACTGCAGTTGGAAGAGCCGGACGTCCCGCTTCTTGCGCGACTCTAAGTCATAGTGGCAGTCCACGCCGAACTGCACGCACGTTGAACAGGGCTGGTCCCCGGTGCACTTGCGCTTGCGTGATTGGCATGATGTGCAGGCAACTCGGGAGCGCTTTCTCGGGGGTTCGGTCATCTTTGGTGTTTTGTGTCCGGATTGTGCATGATTCGGCGGACTGCCCCAGAGTTCGGATATTATGTGTGTTTGTACGACTGGCTTCGTTCGGAGTTGATTGGGCTGAAGCGTATCGTCGAACTACACGAGGAGAAAACATGTGATGTTGTGCTGGTCAGCTGAGTCAGCGGTGCATAGCGGGTGCATTGGCCTGCTGCATAGGCTCTCTCTGGACGAGGAAGATCATTCGGCGTGACAGTCTACTTACTGTATTGCCCTTTATCTTTGCCCAAAGTCTTGCTACGTCTCGACTGCTGTCGCTTTTGATGTCCAAGAGAGCCTAGAATTATTGCAAGTAGCAACCATCATCATCATCGCTTCTGTCATCCTACTGCAGGGAAGGGGTGGTCATTCCGACTACGAAGCCTTTGGGGTCTCTATCGCTGTGGACAACCGGTGGTTCAGCCACTGACTCATCTTTTACTGGCGCTGAGAATGTTTGGACTTCCAGCCACAAACCATCCTACAGACTTGCATCGCGATTGAACTGCGGTGAAGAAATTTTCAAAGACGTTCTGACCTGTTCGAATCACTAAAGATCCCCTGCATGGGAAAGCAGTCGCGCTGCAACTAGAAGCGTATGGGGCAGGATCATCGGGAGTATAGCCTGCATCCGGAAGCCAGTGCTCCCAGCCATTGTCCGAGGCGGTGGATCTATTGCTCTAGGGGCGATCGAATTCCATCCAGTTTTCATATTGCCAGCTGGCTAGGAATTGATAGCCCTGATTGTACTGCACTCAACTGTTCAGATCTCGAAGTCAATTGAGCTTGCGTCGCTGTAGTCGGGACTCGGGATCGGGATTAGGCGAAGATAACAATCGAAGCCAACGGACCAACGAACGCTTGGGGGAAGTCTTATCAGGGCAATTAATGGGATAATGGAAAGGCTGTGTCTGTTCTGGGGTAATGCAAGTTATTAGTCAAGGATATTCCCCAGACAGCCATCGGGGGGGCAAGTTGTTAGGTAATGGATGGAGGCCAGCAGCAATAGACCCGGTTTGCAGTGGAGGGGTTGACATAAATGGTGAGTCATGGGCGTGTTCAGGAACGAAGATCCAGAGAGATGATGCGAAGCAGTCTGCAGAGTGTATCCCCGATAGTTCAACGAGAAGATTTCCGATTATTCAGTGTGAATAACAGCCATGATAAATCCCTGCAGAAAAATCCTGAGTCCGATAGCGGGAGGCAATGGCCGGGCTCCGATTGGCCGGGGGGGCAGGGACGCGGTGAGGACGAAGGCACGTGCTCAGGCCGACCGGGCCGGCGCTCGCTCGCTCCTTCTTTTAATGCCCGCCCTTTCAATCCCTCTCCTCCTCTTCTCCCTCCCTTTCCTTCTTCTCCTCCTTGTCTTTGACTCATCTCTTAACAACCAATTTCAATCCTCCCTCATTCAACACTCCAGCTACATATCCCATGTCTGTCTAATCAGACCTCTCTTATCCCCTCAATTTTAAATAAAGACTGGTAACAGCACCGTCGCGCTTATGCGTTTGGCACCTTCCGTCTTCACCTCTCAGGTATGATCACATTCAGCCCTTTCCCCTCCTCCACCACCACTATCGTCACGATGAACAAGCAACTAATCTTGATTCTACAGGACTACATCTCGGATCACCTCTGGAAAGCTTCCGGAAACTTTTGAATTCCCACCACCCACATCTGTCACCGATACACTTTTTCTCTCATCTAAATTACATTATGTTCGCTCGACTCTTCAAGGCCATGCCCGCCAGGGCCCAGGCCTTCCCTTCCGTGAATGCCTCCGTCCAGTCCCGCTTCATGGCCACCGTCCGTCAGGGACGTCCGGCCACTGAACGCGCTACGTTCACGATCCGAGATGGTCCGATCTTCCACGGCAAGTCCTTCGGAGCCCGCTCCAACATCTCGGGTGAAGCCGTCTTCACCACCTCACTCGTGGGATACCCCGAGTCCTTGACCGACCCCTCCTACCGTGGTCAGATCTTGGTCTTCACCCAACCCTTGATCGGTAACTATGGTGTTCCCTCCGCTGAGAGGGATCAACACGGGCTTCTCAAGTACTTCGAGTCGCCCAACCTCCAGGCTGCCGGTGTCGTCGTCGCCGATGTCGCTGAGCAGTACAGTCACTGGACTGCCGTCCAGAGTCTTGGCGAGTGGTGTGCTCGCGAGGGTGTCCCCGCCATCTCGGGTGTCGACACTCGTGCCATTGTCACGTACCTCCGTGAGCAGGGTTCCTCCCTCGCTCGTATCACTGTCGGTGAGGAGTACGATGCCGACCAGGATGAGGCCTTCGTCGACCCTGAGCAGATCCACTTGGTCCGTCAGGTCAGCACCAAGGCCCCCTTCCACGTCAGCGCGGCCAACCCTCTATGCCACGTCGCGGTCATCGACTGTGGTGTCAAGGAGAACATCCTGCGCAGCCTGGTTAGCCGTGGAGCCAGTGTCACTGTGTTCCCCTTCGACTACCCCATCCACAAGGTCGCCCACCACTTCGATGGTGTCTTCATCTCCAACGGTCCCGGTGACCCGACTCACTGTCAGGACACCGTTTACCACCTTCGCCGCTTGATGGAAACCTCCCAGGTTCCCATCTTCGGTATCTGCTTGGGCCACCAGCTTCTGGCTCTCGCCAATGGCGCCCGTACTGTCAAGCTCAAGTACGGTAACCGTGCTCACAACATCCCTGCCCTGGATCTGAGCACCGGTCGCTGCCACATCACCAGTCAGAACCACGGTTATGCTGTGGATGCTGATACCCTGCCTTCTGACTGGAAGCCCTACTTTGTCAACTTGAACGACTCTAGCAACGAGGGTATGATTCACAAGACCCGTCCCATCTTCAGCACCCAGTTCCACCCTGAGGCTAAGGGCGGTCCCCTGGACTCGTCTTACCTCTTCGACATCTACCTGGACAGTGTGGTCAAGTACAAGAACAGCCAGCTGGCTTTCCAGCCTGGTCGTGAGACCACCCCCAGCCCTCTCTTGGTTGACCTGTTGGCCAAGGAGCGTGTTGGTGTGCAGCCTACCATCGGTATGCAGAACGTGGCTGCTGCTGCCGCTGCCGCCGCTACTGCTGCTTAAACAGATTGTCGATTGGGACTGGAGTTAAGGATATGGGCACGGTTGGATCATATACGGTTTCTTTTCTTGTCAAAATGTTCGGATCATAATTTGGGTACCTCTTTGAGTTAAATGTAGTAAATGCATTACTTCCATTTTACAAACACTCGCGCACTTGAATAAATGTAAAAGGTCGACCTCCTTCGTCTTGGTGTAGTCGTAAATCTAATTCTTGCTCTCGATACAGCCTTCCTCTTTCTTCACTACTTGTCGCTACCGGCGTGGCTCACCATTGTTGAACCGTTTTGAATCTAATGATTTGGTATTTGCTAGCCTCAAAACACACTTGTTATTTAGCCACAATGGAAACCACATCCTCATCCGCCACGACATGTCCCAACCCCACCCGCTGGGGAATATGCCGCGCACTGGCCCCCCACACCATGGCATACTTGAACGTCTCCTTCAGCGTTCGATGGATACTATCGCAGACATCCTCGATGGAAGAGTTATGCCGCACAATCAGCGCCTCGGAGAAATCAGGCTCCTCTCCTTTCCTATATGGGAGGTATTAGTTTTCTAAACGCCCGAATGCACAAGAACATGAACGAGAACGTACCGCTTCGTATAGACGCGAATCAAACGGAGTTCTTTCCAGATGCGCTCGACGACGTCCTCGACACCGAGATCCAGTTCACAACTCATGACGGCCGTGTAGGGTTCGCGGGCGAGTTGGTCGAGGAAGTCGAGGCTGACGCCGTCGATTTTGTTGTATACGTAGAGACTTTGAAGGTATTTAGCAGGGTTCTTCTACTGTTGTGAAGTGAGATTTAGGGAGAGAAGGCATACCATCTGATGTATTTGCGGTGGTCTTTCATGATTACGTCGATGAAGTCGTCGATTGTAGCTATTGTGGTGTTAGTTTTGGGGGTTTTGGGGTGCCGGAGGGGGTTTTTGGGTTGAAGGGCTTGTTGGAGGAGTGAGACGGGAAAGACAAGACATACCGTATTCGTCGCGGACGAGGACTTCACAGTTGAGCATCTTGTAGTCGCGGAGGACGTTGAAGATTATTTTCTCGTCGAGGTATTTGGGAGGTGTTTGGAAGGTGATCTTCACGCCTCCGGCTTTCTTTTGCTTCAGGTAGATGTTTCTGGATGGTTTGCATTAGAATCATAGCAGGTTGGGCAGAGGAGGAATCAAGACGCAGGAGCGACTAGGTCAACGTACGGAGGTTCCTTGTTCAGTCGGATACCGACAGCATCCAATTCCGCCTCGAGCAGGGCTCGTTGCTCGGCTCGTTTCGTGGCGTCCAGGACCATCAGGACCAGGTCACTTGTCTATGTCACCAAGTAGGTCAGTACCCCGGGAATAGATGATGAGCAAGCCGTGAGGGTGATCGTAGACGCTCAGGGAGAGAGAAGAGCCGTGTGCGTACCTTCGCCGCAGAAATGACTTGCCGTCCTCTACCCTTACCCTCGGCAGCACCCTCGATGATACCCGGCAGATCCAGAATCTGAATCTCCGCACCGCCGTACTCCAGGACACCGGGAATGGCCGTGAGCGTGGTGAAGGCGTACGCGGCCGTTTCACTTTTGGTCTTGGTGATCTTGCTCAGGAAGGTCGATTTACCGACGGAGGGGAAACCGACGAGAGCCACTCGCGCATCTCCGCTCTTGCTGACGTCGAATCCGGTGCCTCCGCCGCCGGAGCCACCTGTTGGCTCCAGGAGTTGAGCCCTCAGACGGGCGAGTTTACTGGGAGGTGTCTGTTAGTATGGTGGTTGTTTTTCTTTCTTTCATTTGGAGTGGGGTAATGGGGGGTGAAGGGACTCCGCTATAAAATGATTGACGGAGTGGAATATGAATTGAGGTGACCTACCCTTTCAACAGACCAAGATGGTACTCTGGTACATAGCAGATCAGAGTCTATCCCGCTGTACTTGTTCAACAGTGGATGTGGGGAAACAAACACACCTGTGGCCTTGTTCTCTGTGCTCTCGGGTTAGCATGGCGGGGTTATCGGAGGAAAAAGACGGAGCTGATAGAGGGGGAGTGAGGGATGCAGTGCATGGGAACAGTAACAACTTACTCTGCGTCCTGCGCATCTCATCTTCAATCCTGCACACGAGTCAAGTCAGAACCCAGTCTCGATCTATTCTCGCAGAAGAACATACTCCTTGATCTTTTCCGTGATGTTGACCATTTTGCCGGTTGAGAGCCCCGCGGACTCAGGCTTTCTCTAATGATATGATTACAAAATTGCAACCCACAGCCGGACAGCAATCGCTGAGTCTCCCTGACAGAATCAAACTGAGACGGTTGAATCGGATTTACCAGCGGCAAGAGGTAAGAGCCTCGACAGGATAGGGTAGGCTGCGCTTTCGAAAGCCGTTCTGAGGGAAACAATGATTGATCCTCTTCAAAATCGATGCGACGCCGCCAAGCTCCATCACCGCGATTATGTAAGCTGATAGCTATCGTGCGGCGACTGCGACTTCATCTCCGCGCTTTGCGCCCCGCGCTGGGACTTCGTTCTCTCCTGTCTTGTCCCCTTTGGACTTTCTTACGCATCTCTACTTCGTGGAGTGGCTGTAGCAGAAGCTGCAGCCAATGTTCTGATTTATGCGCTCTATATTATTATGAACTAATGCGGTATGTTCTACGTTGCTCGGCTGCATATGTGACCTCTCCAACGGAGACAACAAAGCATCGGAAGCTGTGCGTTATTCATGGTTTACTCTGAACATCACTAACCTTCTTCTTTCTCAAATAGATATAGGTTCTGAAAAAAGTACAGAATTGCCCCGACTTACGCGACGATATGACCGGTCTTTAGACGCCTTCCTACGCCGGAGCCGCACCCTCAACGTCGCGCCGTAGCCATCATTGCATTGGCAATATCGAGGTCATCCCCGCTGGACGAGAGGTGGTGTGGTGTTACCCCCAACCAACGAGATCGATAGCTCGCAGTAGACCCCGAGGCTCGAGGCTGCCGTACCGCCCAACGGCAGGTATACTTACGGCCTTTGTTATCTTGCTTGCCCAAATGGGCTGGTAGGGTTCTAATGGTAGGTTTGAACTCGGGGGTATAATTCGGTTTGCTAGAAATAAGACGAAGTAGAGATATCTGGCATAATAGATTATAGCCAATCATAGAAAAATGAGAATGTAGCCGCATAAATCGCATCAACATCAGTCATCATTCCACCCATTCCCCTCAGCAGCCGACTCCTAAATCGTAGTATATACACGACCCCGTCCGGTAATTGTAGATAAATGCGTTTGTATAAAGCTCGGTACCATCACCGGTTTGCGCCTCATTGGCGAGATCGGAGAGCAGTTCGTGCACCTGGTTGAGGTATTTGCGCTCGGTCAGCGGTGCATTTTGGATGACCGCCCGCCAACTTTCCGGGTCGGAAAGGCGGGTGTTTCTGATCGCCTCCAGAAGATCGTCGCGGGTATCAATAGCGGCGATCGGGCCATGCAAGGCATCTTCGACGACCTCGCGGGATCGGAAGAGAGCTGGGCGGTCGTTAGTAGCCGGTCTTGATGGTGTGCGAGAGTGAGAGAAGTGGGAGACATACCAGACTCGACGATGTTCCTGCGGTTCGACTTCTTGCTCCGGTGCTGTGGTATCAGAATGCGCACATCACTGGCCCGGTCACCATTCGCTGTGCTGGCTTCTGCTTGGCTCAAAAGTCGAGACTGTCGCTGTGGCTCTGTTGTGCCTTCCCGTTGGCTGCGCGCACGCATCTCGTGGCGAATCCAAGGCACTAGCTCGGGGCTTCGGATATCTAGTTCTTCTCGAGGAGAGAAACTCTTTACTTTGAAGCCACGTTCTTGGCTGTCTTGCTTGGCTATGACGATCCAGCTATGGCTGTCCTCTTTGTACTTGTTGAGTAGTTCTTCCAAAGACGAAGCATCCACAGCGAGTTCGGCACTAATATCGTTGGCCCACATATCCTGAACGATCTTAATCCCCATCGTACGTAGCACAGTCGGGTCGAAACTGGCAACAAGAACGTCACACTATGCGCTGTTAGCGTGGCCGGATAATTCATCGTTTTAAGGCAGGACGTACCCTTCTCGTTTTCCAGAACGCCCCGTTTTCTGTCTCAGGATGCTTCACGGATGCCTTAGCAGAGATCCCGGTGCCGAGGTACTCAAGCATAGCTGAACTAAGACGGTCCCAGCTCAGATTGAACCCCACAGCGTGAGTGTGCGCGCGACTCGCCAGCATTTTTGGACGGAACTCCTGAACTAGAGAATCGTATCGTCCACCGGCAGCGAAGACGTCACGCCGCTTACTGTCGAAGACACATTGGAACAGAATACTTCCCCGGAAGAACTTGTCATTCAAGCTCCCAAGAGGATTCACATAAACTTTTCGTTTGACATCAAAACCCTGTAAATACCCAACTAGCATGTTGATGCGAGCGAATATGGGCGCCAATCGCTCAGCGAACCGGGTACCTTCCATGATTGCCCGCAGTCGTTTGTGCGTTTGCTTGGGAGAGTCTGCTAGAATTAGTATCAGATTTGGCAGCAGGGAAAGGCAACCCAACCTCGAAAGTCAAAGCGAGCAAGATCATCCAGTGATGTCGAAGCAACACCGATGGAGGGCGATCGAAGCTCGCTTCTGATCTTCTGCATCGTCCATTTTCCCACATTCAACCTGCTAATGACCTCCTTTACACGAGGGATTTGAGATGGAGTTATACGGCAGAATTCCATGATAAGTTGAAGCAAGTCGGAATGATTGACCAGAAAACACATTGGAGAAGACCTCAAAGGTGGAAACTCTTCAATGATTTCATCCAGAACTTTAATGACTTCCGCCTCTTTCAACGCCAAATCCAGAGTATTGTGCGATACAATATCAAAGTCCACCTCTTTGTGGGTCCTAGGCTCCCCTCCATGAGGCATGTCTCTGTATACAGTGCCGAAAGCATATGTCTTCTCCAGCGAAGGATCCTGTCGGGGTATGGCACGTGCATTCGGCAAAGTAAGATCGAATGGTAACTGAAGCAGGTTTCCAGAAGAGTCCAGTAATCTCACGGCACCGTTATTGTAGTGTTGAGACCTGGGAAACAGCATCTGCCTAGTTGTCTCCACCGCTCCGTGCCGGCGAAAGATAGAAGTCAATCTTTCTTTAACCAGGCCTCGAACCAGAAGCTCGTGGGCTGCTGGTGACTCGCGCGAATCCATGTCCCAGGCGATATCTTCGTATTTTTTCGGAGACTGGGAGAATATTCCGGAAAGAATCTTCTTGTAATCAGGCGAATTGGGATCAGATAAGAGATGCATGATAGCTCTTCTGAAGGTCTCTTCTTCGACTTGTAGAGGGATCTGGCCACTATGTAGAAGGTCGGCCGCCGAAGGCCGTTGGCTCGGATCATGGCTTAGCAGTGATCTAATTATCCGGCCTTGGACCACCTTCTCAGAGTATTGGAACGTCGGTGGAAGCGTGAGGTGCGGCTCCCTTATCGCCCGCAATGTCTGATCACGTTCCATGCCCGTCGGAAGAGGATGACACATCTCGAAGAAGATCACACCCAGAGAATACATCTGCAGGCGACCATTAGCAAAACCAACTGATCATTTGGGTTCAGAATTGCGCTTACATCCACCTTCTCATTGTAGTTTTCTGCTAGGCCAGATTTCATTTCCGGTGCGACATAGTAGGTTGTGCCCAGGCTCCGGGTGAAATTGCCTTCAAAATCTGCCGTTGTAGAAGAGCACACCGCAGTAGTAAATTGGCCGCTGGTAGCTAAGCCGAAATCTCCAATACGTGGATTGTTGGCAACATCAATGAAGATGTTGTCCGGCTTGAGATCTCGATGAATGATGCCGTGGCCATGAATGTGGCTAAGACCATCGAGAATTTGGCGGAACAGACGCCATGAACGATCAACGTCATCATACAGACCATTTCGAATCAAATCACGAAGAGTCTATCAGCGATTAGCTTGCAAGGAAAGGTATAGGCTTGAAAAGGCAGCGCTTACGTGTTTCTCACAGTATTCCATCTGTATGTAAAGAGTGGTATGTACTGGTCTGCCTTGAGAACCCGACGCAATTCGACTCAACTCCCGACCTGTGCCACTCTCGGTCTCGTAAGTTTCTGGGGTGTTTCCCTTCCTTCGATTAGACAGTGTGCCGTCGTCGTCTTCCTCGCTATCCGAGCCAAATTGAATTTTGGGATAGCCGCTCGAGCTGATAAAGTCCAAGCCACCCGTGCTATAGTCGTATGCACGGGAGTCCCGACTGGCAAAGACATCACTATCTGTAGAAGAAAGAGCGTCTTCATCTACATAGTCGTAGTCTTCTTCAATCCACGCGGTATAGTAGCGTACTACGTACGGGTGATTAAGCCGGGACAGTAGCATGATCTCCGACAACGTATCTTTCAACGCAGTGGTAGACTTCTGGGAGATTTTTTTCACTGCGTAGAAACGACCATCGAGCTTATTTCTCGCCTTGACAACCTGGCCAAATCCACCCTTCCCCAAGCGTCCAGCTTCGTCAAAGTCCTGGTTGTAGCGGGAAAACGCCGGCAGTGCTCCAAGAGAATCAAGACGTGGACGCCGTGGGAGAGAGATGGAGTTTGAAGCACTCGTTCGAGCAATCAAAGGCGAATCAACACGGAAGAACTCGGATGGTTGAAGTTGGAAAGCCGTGGGCCGTTTCTTGGGATCTGGTCGAAAGAATTCATGTAGTAGATCCTGCAGAGGGGACGTTAGACCTAGGGTGGCCATCATCGCATTCGCCGATGTATACCGCTGGAGGACGTCCATTCCGAAGCCCATCTGGAGAAACACTATTCCCAGATCCCATACATCGGTCTTCATGGTCGGGGGAGCTCCATCATGCGCCAACTCAGGAGGCATCCAGAATGGTGACTTGGACGTTGTCAAAGACCGTTTGCCAGCGGCGGACACAGGCAAAGACTCTTCAATGCTGGCCTGCAATTTCACAATAGTTCCTCCCGTCGGTGTCCTAAACAGCAAGACGCGGCCGCAACTGATATTCCCATGAACGAATCCACTGCGGTGGTAATATTCAAGAGCCTCCAGGAGTTGGATAGTCCAACTGCGGAGCATCTCAACTGGTACCGTTCCGACTACATCAAGAAACTCAGAGAGAGGACCCTTGTTTGAGTATTCAACTAACGCAGAGACCTTCCAAGTGCTCTCCTGGGAGCTCAGTGGCCGAGAAATCGTGAACCCAATAAAGTCTCGAATGTTCGGGTGGCGGAGCTTTTTCAGACCCTCCAGTTTATCCTCGCTGAAACGCATCTTTTCCCGAAAATCCAACGGGTCAACACCCTTTGCGTCGAGAAACATTTCCTTCAAGACCAAAAGCGGTGCATGGGTTCGGTTGTCGGACGCGATTGGTCTCACAGTACAAGTTTCTTTGTACTGACGACTCTTCAAGAGTGACTTTCCGTACACGGCTCTAAAGAACAACGGGTCTTGACCCGGCTCCGTCACAACGAGGGGCGGATCGAAGGTGATGGCTCCCGCGACTTGTTGCGCGCCGTCAATGTCTCCATTAGCATCCAGGCCAGGCGTGCGACTCTTCCGGCGCGAAAGCTTTGTCCGCTCCCTCAGCCTGTCCTCGAGCAATTGCTGCAGTGCACGTTCCTCCTCTGCGGTGGCCGCCTCCTGTTTGCGCAGTTCCTCCTGTCGCTCTAGCTCGGCTCGTTGATTTGCGGCGGCTTCTTGTTCCATGCGCTCCTCTTCGAGACTGGGTAGGTCTTTATCTTGCGCCTGCGCTTCGGCCACGTCCTCAAGAACATCCTGGATAGACACGGCCAGTTCATAGATCATTTCGGAGCCCAAGAGTGTCTTTGGTTTAGTGCGAACGATCTCTTTGATTCTCGATCGAGCACCCTGGCGCAGATCGTCGAGGTTCTCCAAGGAAAGATTCGGTACCGTCTTGGGGTAGGTAGTCGGTAGCTCCACCAGCAGCTCTAGATGTACTTCGGGATTGGACGAGGCTCGGAGATGCAGCTTGAAGACGAGCTCGGAGGATTGCTGAATTGACGCAAGTCAGTTTGTTCTATCACCCAGCATCCGACTGAAGCACCGTCGAGCATACCTGCCAGGCGGAGCGCCTGTGGGCAACTTCTTCGAAATCATCGCCGTAAATGGAGCGCAGAGCTTCCACCTCGTTCTGGTGGATCTCCTGATAATTGGTGGGGGCCACTACGGGCGAGGCAAAACGAGCGGACGGATTTGGGGAGAGCTGTTTCTTCTCCGCTCGAGGAGAGCCAATCTGGGGGGCATTGTTGAAATTCTTCTTCTGTTTGTGAGGCATAGCGGGGCGTTGGGCGGTGTGTGGAGATTAATGATTGCACCCAGATGGAATTGGCCTTTGCCACGGAGAATAGTGACAAAGATGCAGCCGAAGCTGCAGCCCTCTACAGCTCAGAAAAGCACATATTCGGAGAATAAAAATAAAGAAAGGGAGAGGGGGGGATGTGGAGAGAGTATAAAGTATGCGAGGTGGTGGAGGGTAAGGGGGGGGGGGGGAAAAGGATGGGAGGGAAGAAGAGCAAAGGTGGGAAAATGAATAAAAGAAGAGACAGGCAACGGCCTAAGAGCGGTCGGCCACCACCATACAACTGAAAGTAACGGTTGGAATCAGCCCGCAAAGGCAGAAAGGTGGAAAGGCGGTGATGATACGGTACGTGGTCGTAACTAAGTAAGTAATGCCTGACTGTGGATCGCCCCGTTATTTTTCCGCTGACCGCCTTGTGCTGGGGAACGTGTGTAAACAAAGCAAAGCGTTCCACGTCAATTCCCCTGCCGGTCGCGCCCCTCCCATATGTCCATTACCCTTTAGTTATACCTTGTGATTGCTTGTGATTGCCAATGGTGTCGCGCTGGTCATGCAATCCTCGTCCAGCCTGGTAATTTGATCAGAGTTTTCTTCGCTTATGATTCTGCATTCGACATGTTGGGGTGGATCAAAGGCCAGGAAGAGCGAGTCGCAGGTACGTTCTTTGCAATAGCTTAACTATACTACTACTATCGCTGCCCGCCTTGCGCCGGTGCACGCGCGCCGTCGCCGCCGCCCACCATGCCCTTACGGCCCAATAATGCTGGCCATTTTCACCTGACCATATGCAAAGCGCGGTGTCCGCGGGCTGACTTGTCTTCTCTCTTCCTTGTTTCATCGCCCTAGACAAACTAGCCAACTCCAAGGTTCTCGAGCCACCAGAGACGCCCGCTCCCCTGTTTGCGCTTCGCGCCTTCAAGAGTGCCCTGTTTGGTACACCTGCTGCTGACGACGACGACGAAGACACCGGCAAGCGCGCCGCGAAAACCAAGACTGCTGCAGCCAATCAACGACTCACCGATAATGTTGTTGTTTTGAAACCTACGCAGAACGCAAGAGAGGTCCCTCGCGCCACCAAAGCCGACCTTGACCTGGCTGTCAACGCGATGGCCTCGCCCACCAAAAGCATCCTCGTAACACCCGGAACGGCCTCCAACCGGCGCAAGACGGTTTCTTTCGGCGAAAGTGTGGTCGATAACGAACGCCAACGGGACGATCCCTTAGCGAAATACATCAAGACACCGGCGAATCTCTCCAACAGTTTCAGCAGCCAATGGTCATCGGGCTCGTCGGCATCCAAACCCCGAAGTAAACTTACGCAAGCTTTAATGGACTCGCGCGAAAAGCCCGCAAAGGGCGTCGATATTTTCGTCGACTCTACCTCTTCATCAGAGATGCAGTCCAAGCTGTCGCAACCAGAAGAGGATGACAACGACGATACGATCAATCTCGACGAACCGCGATCGCAGTCGGGCAAATATTGGAAGGCAGAATACGATAATTACCGCAACAAGACCACCTGGGAGATCAAGAAGCTAATTCAGTATCGTTCCGCGGCAAAAACATATGCAAAGAAGAAGGACGAGGAGGCTTCTCGGTTGGCTGAGAAACTGAAAGAGGAAGAAATCAAGGTCGCGGAGATGGAACGCCATGTCACGCACCTGGCTTCAACCATGGTCGGAGAGAGCGCCAACGCAGACAAGGAGAAATTAGTGCAGGAACTCACTAAGCAAACCGCATTAGCTTTGCAGTACAAACACCGGGTTAACTCGCTGCGCAAAACGCTAGAACGTCATGGCGTCGTGGGTCAAGACATCAGTGAGGTTGCTGAAGCTTCTGCTATCGCCAGTCCCTCTGAGCAGAAATCCGATAGTGTCTCCACGATCCAGCAGGCTCTGGATCAGGCGAACGCCAAGATAGAGGAGATGAAGCACCAGAAAGAGGAATTCAACAAGCTGAAGGACCTAGCGCGAAGCTCGGAGCAGAAAGCCTCGGAGCTGCAGAAGGAGAACGCGTCACTCAAACAGACCCTCGCCCGTGTGAAGCAGGAGATGAGCAAGTACGAAGGACGTCGCAAAGAGAAGGAAGCAAAATTGAGACAACGTGAAGTCAAACTGGAAACACGGATCCAGGAGTACCGTGATCGTCTGAAGTCGGCTTCTGAACAGCACCGTGAACACGAGGAAGATCTCAAAGAATCCTTCAACGAGGAGCGTCGTCGGATGCAGGAGCAGGTCGATCAACTCAGGATCAAGCTTACAGCCATTGAACGGCTACCACAGCTGCAGAATCGCGCCCGTCCCTCTGAAAGCCCTCGAAAAGATCACACAGGGGTTCACGTCTATGATTTCGGCGGACATACCAGCCCTGAAAAAGAACCCCAAGAGGAGACCGTCGAGCTCGACGAGCCACCAAGTCCGAGCCCACGAGCCAAAGAACGGCGCTCATACCCGTCTTCGAGGTATACAGCGGGGGATCTCGACCTGAAACGCGCCATGAGAGCTATGGGGATCAGCGACGAAGACCAACTGGCATTTCTAGGAGGGGAAACCCCCCAGGCCCCTCGCACACGCTACCGCCACGGCGACGAAGCCACCGTGCCCCCATCCTCGCCTCCGGGGTATCCGTCTCTCGAAGCCACCACACGGTCACGCCCCCAGCACAAGCACAAGTACAACACCGACAGCTACCGCAGCAAGTCCACCATCACCTCTCTAGCCCATCACCTGGCCCAAAACCTCGACGACAGCCACCAAATCCGCACCACGACCACAACCACCAACGACCGATACCGCCCTCATCGCCCCTCATCCAAGTACAACCTCGACGCCATCTCCGGCGGCCCAGACACCCACCCTCATACCCTCGACCACCGAGCCACCAAGCGCCGACAAAGCCTAGCCGCCGCCCAACGGGACTCGATCCCCCTCGACCGCAAACTCTCAGCCCAAGCGCGCCTCAGGCAGCGCAAGGACGAGACTCGCAAGACCAAAGAACAAGGCAAGGAGAACATCCGAGGATACACCGGGCAGGCATTGCCAGCTCTTGAAGCCTGACCAACGCAAGATCCCATATAAATTCCCCTAATGACGAGCCTCATACATACCTTCCACGCATCGAACCCTTTTCTCTTACCCTGTCGTGGCGGGAACATAGCACGCAATCTAAAGCCTTTAACTCTCCTTTTTTTCCCTACTTTTGTTTCTTTTTCTTTTCTGTCTCCAATCTAGTTTATCGGGGTATACACCATTGTCAGGGGCGCTATGGGAGGTGGGATGGTCGGGAAGCACGTTACTTTTGCCTAACGCTTTGTCTTGTACTCTCTTGTCTTATGTTCTTTCTGCTTCGTGATTCGATTTCTGGTCCCCACAACTCTTTCACTATGTTTTGTTGCGCGGCGATGCGCCGACTGTACGTTGTTGTAATCTTAGTTCCCTAGTCCTCCGGATGGTGCACCACCGTCGTCCTATGCACGGACATTACTATACCCTCAAACGAATCAAGCTCACATGCGATGTGTTCTTCCTCACACACATCGAGTGCTCACATTCTTGATATCAGAGTTCAATCTATTGAGTACCTAAACATGACCGCGACCAAGTTATATACGTATCTTAGTAACCGTGTATATCAATCGCGGTTATTAGAAAGAAATAAATAATCGTCTATTCCATCTATACAACCAACCACAGATCGGATTCTTTCTACAAACGGCGCAAAGAATGATAGGTGTATCTATCTCAAGCCTTGCCATCACTGAACGACACAACGGCCCACTTACCGCTCCAGGCCCACTTGCGGGCCTCGGAGCCGCCGCCGCCCGGCTGCTCGCGGAGTTTTTCGTCTACGCCGGCGGGGAGACCGACCACGACATCGGCCTTGCAGGTTCGGAAGGCCATAACGCGGATGCCGGAGTCGGGGCGGCCGAGGGGACCGATGGCCGTTGTGAAGGGGGTGATTGGATCCCACATAGACTTATGAGAGGGGCGTGATGTTAGCATATACTGACTGATTCAATCTGGTCGATGCTCATTTGGAAAGCGGGAGGACGAGGAGAAGGGCCGGGGGGAAGTTCTCAGAGCCAAGACGAGCAAAGCTTACATCATTTGTCAACTTGCGGTAGTTGAGATCGCCCTTGAACAGGACGAGTTCGCTCTGCTTGAGGTCTTCGTAGAGGTCCGGAGCGAGGTAGGGCATGCGCCAGTATCCGCCGGGGAGGGTCCAGAAGGTGTGCGGGCGGATGATGAGCTTGCCTTCGGCGTGGAGGTGGCTCCAGTGGTCGAAGAGGAAGGTCACCTCGGAGAGTTCCTTGTCGGACAAGGGTTCGTGCTTGCGGCCGGACTCGTCCGGGGCTGTGAAGAAGCCTTGCGCGTCGGAAAGGGCGTTGATGAGGGCCATGAAGTCCGGGGGAGTGACGTCGGACACGAACCAAGGGATCACCTTGGGGTGGAGGACGATGGTGGTAGCCAGGCCCGCGGAGAGCAAGTACCCGGCGAGGATGAGATCGACGAACAGCTCGAATCCGGAGTTGTCGAGGACGATATCGACGCGGCGCTCTTGGTTCTTGCGCTCACGCCGGGCACGCTGGAGCACGTCGAAGGCGGCGTCGAGGTCGTTGACGAGAATATTCTCCTCGGCGGCCTTGCGCGCTTTGCTGCCTTGCAGCTTTTGGATGTCTTCGTAGGTGAGAGAGGTCAGGAGGGAGAGGTCGGTGGCATTGCCCCAGAGGCAGATCTCGCACATCTCCGAGAACAGCACGCGCTCGGCCTGCTCGACCTGTTCAGAGGTGCGGCCTTCGTTGCCCTTCTCGGCCTCCGTAGCCAGCTCCTTGTATCTGCCGGCCAGTTCGAGGACAGCCGGGCGGGATGACTTGAAGGTCGAAAGCTTCTGGCGTGCGAACACGTCATAGCCCTTCCAGTGTTTGGAGAGCGAAAAGAGGGCGCTTAGCCGTCTGTCTGATCCGTCCGTCAGTACCAATAGTATAGTCCTCGAGCTCGATTGCACACACATAGGTAGCATTCCGAGTACAGCCACGAGGCATCGTGCCAGACCGGGGTTCCTCGTTGTTCTAGTTCCTTGTTGTAGTCTGCGATATCGGGCTGGCCGTCGTCAGGAAGGGGACTGTCGATGATGAGTTATATTAGAGCTTTGGCGGACCATATCATAAGATGACTGGGAACTCACGTCAATTGTCTATTGTGCTGCAGCTCATACTTAAGCGCTGCGAGTTTTCCGGTGATCTCCTTTCCTTCGCGACGCTTCTCCTCATCGGTCGTTTCGCCGACGGTGCGGTGCAAGTCATCAATGGCGCCCGTCTGCGTTAAATCGTCAGTTTTGACATGGCAATCGTTGATTAGAAACCCGATAGACTTACCAAAATCACCGGCCAGCGCTCTCGAGCCGAGGTGGAGGCAAAGCTGGACGTGTCGGAAGTGAGATACTGCGCTGGCGGAGGGCAAAGGTGGGGTCAGTCGGACACAGTTGAGAAAATCGGACTCAGAACTCACGGGTTTCGGGATCGTATTCCATTGTGAGGCAGTAAGAGGTGAGGAAGAAAAGGACAAGTTCTATTGAGTTGAAGAAAGAAAGAAAGAAAGAAGCTCACGAAAACGAGGGTCTGAAGAGAGGAAGAATGACGGAGGGGAAGAATGAAAGGCGCGGGGTTGCCGCGGTCGGAAATGCCTCCGTTCCCGCTGCAAGTTGTTGGAGTATTATCGATCAATCCATTCATGACTTGTTCTCTAATTGCGGTCTATTCGTCTGTCTAGGAAGAAAGAGGGACATTTGCTATAACTAACCAAAGCAAAAGACTCATGCAGACAAAAGCCGATCCAACACCGCCAGACCTGCACATGCTGAAGATAGCGAAACACATGAGAAAAATAAACGTAGGAAAAAGAACAAGAAACACCCCTCAGATCCAGAACGATAGATTAATCCGCTATGCAAAACAAAAGGTCCTCAAGATCGTCATCAAGCAAAATCATTTAATAAATACATCGTCCTTGTGCTGTGTGTTCCAAGGCTATCCGAATGCTCGTTTATGTATTCGAAGCCACGTCTCCGAACCGCGAAGTCTTCCTCGCGTGCAAGGACTCACAAGCCAAGACCAGGGGTCAGCTTACATCATAGACATGAGAGAGCTTTGTGCGTAGGCCTGTGATAATATCAGCGTCTACTTTCCTGTGATCGTGGGGCCTGTCAGACTTACCATTGGCTTGATGTCAGGGTGCGGGACAGCCTCGAAGACCTGGTATTCAAGCTTGAGCTCGGGCCCAATCTTGATGAAAGCCCCCTTGTTTTCCGTAGTGTCGCAGTACTTGGGTGCCGAGAAGACTGTGATACAACGTCCGTCATGCTCGACTTCGTAGCCCCCCATGCGAACTTCGTGCGAACGAATGATCGCCTCCAGCCCGTTCTTCTCACAGAAGCGCTTGGTGATGTCAGGCCCGAATTGAAGGCCAACACCGCGCTTGCTGGGTCCACGACCAGGCTCGGTCTGCGGATCCGTCCAGAGCATCTCCATCATCAAGCCCTGCTGGCCCGGCTGGCGCTGATTGTGGCGGTCCAGCTTACGAATGTCATCGAGGGTAGTGTTGTCGTTGGAGAAAAGACCGCCATGAAGAACCAGGTACTTGCTCCCGATCAACGTGGCCAACGGCAGAGCGGAGAAGGATTCCGAGAAGACCTTGAAGGTGGTCTCGTTGTACTTAGCCTTGCACTCGCCCTCGAAGCCATACACCTTGTTCATGTCGTCCGTCTCGTGGTTGCCACGGTTCAAGAAGATGCGGTTGGGTCGCAGCCACTTGTAAGCGTAGAGAAGAAGGGCGATCTCCGTGGACCATGAACCACGATCCACAAAGTCACCGTTGAAGAGATAAGCGTTCGTCTCACTCGGGAAGCCGTTCAAGCGGAAGATCTCGAGCAAATCGAAGTATTGTCCTGTCAAGCCATTAGTCTCCAGACAAACCTAACAAGACAAGGGCGCATTAACACCTACCGTGCGTATCACCGCAGACCGTCAAGCGGGTTCCCTCCTCGACGCCGACCTCCACCATCGTCGGCTCCGCGTAGACGATGTCCTTCACGGCCTTGATGATCTGGAACACGTACTTGCGGTGGATCTTCTTGCCATTCTTGAACCGCTCAATCATATCGTCGATGAACTCCTGTGTCATCTCATTCTTCTCAAGCCTTACACCATCATAGCTGGCGTCCACGGCGATCGAGTCGATATCCAAGCTCTCGAAGGCGGAGGGCGGGTCGCCCACCTCGATGGCCTTCTCGAATTCCAAGCGACGGACCAGTTTCTCACACTCTGCGAGCTTCAGCTTCGCATCGCGATTGCCCGGATCCCGCTTGATCACAGCCTTGAAGTCTTTCAGGGCTTCCTTGTAGTGCAGAATGGCGCTGTTCGCAAGGGCTCGTCTCCAGTATGCCTAAGTGGGGGTAGGCATTGTCAGGTCCAGTTCACTCCCATGCGCTCAAATCACAGCGGAACCTATCGACAAACCTTGACAAAGTTGGGGTCAAGCTCCAGAGCCTTGGTGGCATCCGCAATCGCAAATCCGTAAGCCTCAAGCTTGATATGTGCCTAGATTATCCAACGCCACCCAGGCAAAGTATCAGCATACCAGAAACCGCCACAATTTTATAAGAAAATAACCTCAAGAATTGAGAAGGGTATAGAACAGAATGACGCGACATACCTGAGCTCTATTGCTGAAAAAGGTGGGTTCCTTATCATACTTTTCGATCGCCTGAGTGTAGAAGTCGATGGCAGCGGGCCACTCATGCTGAGCGAACGCCTTGTTACCCTGCGCCTTCAGCGCAGTGGCGGCCTCAAGATCGGAAGACGCCATGAGGAAGGGTATATGAAATCGGAAGAGGGATGAGAGAAGTATTGAAAGAAGAAGTAATGCCGTAAGAATAAGGTAGATGGAGGGGAGATTTTCGGCAGGTGAGCACGCGAGAATAAATTGATTAGAGAGGGAGAGAGGCGGGGAGAAGAAGAGTGAGTGAGTGAGCGATGATGCAGCGAGCACGACACTCCAAATCACCGGAGCACTGAATATAGAGGTTGGTGGTGCCAAAGATTACAACAATACAAGGGAGTGGAATAGAATCCGCTGAATGGGCAAATGACTCTCAACTGAAGAACTTTTCAAACAGCCACAGTCCTCCTGTTCAGTTGCGCGGCGTTGATTTTAAACGATCAGCATCGAAAGCTCTCCGACGATTTATTTGATGGTCCCGCCCGTTTTCTCCGGTCTTGGCAACCCTCTTCCGGTCCGATTCGAGAACCTGCGACCATTTGAGTCCGACCAGCAAGTCAATTGGATTGTCTCAAGCAAAGCAAAGCAAAAGCAAAGCAAAGCACAGCTCAAGCCCTGTCGCGGCTCTTCCCACCGCGTACCAACTTCCGGTCAATCTTAGCATCCATACCCTTTTCGAACCTTCACCTCCTCAACAAAGAAGCGAAGCAAACAAAGGACGCCCTCCGGCAGGAGTCCTCCAACCTGCTAGCAACCTCAAATCTCAACCCATCACCTCCCCGAAGCCGGCTGAACTCTCTCTCTCTCTCACACTCACACACAAAAGAATGTCCTACTACGTCGCCCCAAGCCAGCAGCGCACTCTCCGCGCCTGCATGGTATGCTCACTCGTCCAACTGCACAGCGTGAGTCCATCCCAACCACCAACCAACAAGACAAACGAACCCTTCATCAAATCAAACAAAACGCCGGCCACCCCTCCCAATAACCAACCCACACACCCAATACAAACACAAACAAGCTAACTCGTGCAACACCCCTGTCCAGAAATTTATGCGCGAAGGCTGTCCCAACTGCGACAACGTCCTCGGCCTCCGCGGCAACAACGACGCCATCCAAGAATGCACATCGCAGGTCTTTGAGGGGCTGCTCACGCTCCGGGATCCCACAACCAGCTGGGTGGCGCGGTGGCAGCGACTGGACAGCTATGTCCCCGGTACATACGCCGTGAAGGTGACTGGATCGGTGAGTTGATTTTGGCCTTACAGCATGCCCTAAAATCTTTGGGGCGGTTATATTCCTTCTGGGACTAACTCTTGAAATCTCGTTGCTCAGCTTCCCGATGAGATTATTTCCAGCTTGGAGGACTCGGGTGTCAAGTATATTCCGTATGTGTTGAGCCATCCATACTCATATTTTGGGTTTCGTCTGGCAGAGGGTTGACTAACGTGCTGTATAGGAGAGATGGTAGCACGGGTGAAGAGGAAGCATAGAAAGGGGTTCGTCGGTTTTCTGTTTCTTGCTGATTAACAAGAGCGCGCGTGGCATGGACGTTTTAGGTAGATGAGGGTTGGGAGACGGGTTTCTTTTCCCCTGCGCGTTTGCACAATATTGGAGTTTTTGGAATAGGTCTCTTGTTTTTGCGCTTTATCTTACTGTATACGAATCCGGGAACTCATGGCTGGTTCATCCTTTCGATGTCCTACTACGCTGGGGTTGCTTTTCTACGGCTTACTTTTCAAAGATGACCTTGGGAGGGTGAGAAGGTCAACGCTCAAACCACACTCGATACCCGATTAGATGAATAACTCAATGTTGTCATTTTGACGGCATCCAATTGCTATTTCGGATGCGAACGTAACATGTAAGACATCAAGTCATCCCGAGTCGTATCCATACCTTGCTGAATCTGGGCTGAAATAGAACACAAGAAATAACCCCAGCAAAATGCCAATCCGCCCAATGTACCAATGAACGCCAGATTTCGTGTCACAAAAATATCAGATAGGAACAAACTCAAAGAAGGAAATCAAGCTGCTTTACAGCTGCTTGATAATCTTTTCGACGCTCTCCAGGAGGATATCAGCTGCAGCAATGTTAGCTTCTGGTCATCTTAATTCAGGTGATGTCGATTAACTTACCATGGTGCTTCTGGAAGATCAACATGGGCCTCAGGCGCACGGCACTCAGGCCGCTTCCCCCGATGTTGACACCGACGCCCTTGGCCTTTGCCAAGAATTCATCACGCTTGGGAGAGTCCCAGGCAATGAAGGTGCCCTGGCCCTTACCACGGAGGTTCTGCAAGTGCTCGGGGTACTGCTTGGCAAGACGCTCGAGACCGGCGTAGAGGTAGTCACCGGTAATGGCAGTGTTCTCAACCAGGTTCAGGCGCTCAATCTCCTCGGTGATACCGCGGAAGATGAGGGCACGGGCCGGGTCACCCATCCAAGTGTTGAACTGACGGTAAGGCTTGTTCGGGCGCAGAGCCGGGTTTCCATAGTAGTAACCGGCGGTCTGAGCCTTCTTCGAGAAGGTCACCATATCGGGAGGAGTCGACAGATTCCAGTGGTCGTGAGCCCAGAACTTTCCAGTGGCACCAACACCAGTCTGCACCTCATCAACAATGAAGAGAACATTGTGGCGCTTGGTGATATCGCGGAGACCCTGGAAGAAAGCAGGAGAGGCGTGGTTATCACCGCCCTCAGACTGGATGGGCTCCACCACCACGGCCGCGACAGGGTTGTGGAACTCCTTGATCAAGCGCTCCACCTCTTGCAGACAGCGCTGCTCCTCCTGGGCATTCTCTGCGGCATGCTCCTCCAAGGGGTACTTGAGGGAGGGGAAGGGGGCCTGAGGCCAGTCGAAGGCAGGGATGTCAAGCTTGTGGATGGGCTTGCTGCGGGTGGTGGACAGACTGCCAAAGAGGCGACCGTGGAAGGCAGACTTGAAGGACATGATCGAGAGATGAGGGGAGCCGGGAGACTGGTTGGTCATAGTAGTCTGCAACTCCTCCTCGGTGAACTCCTTCTCAGGGCCACCACGCTCGCGCTGACGATAGTACATGAAGGCAGCCTTGTAGGCGGTCTCGTTGGCATCAGAACCAGCCAGGGCAGTGAAGACCTGGTTGAGACCCTTAGGAGCGACCTTGAGGATACCAGTGTTCAAGATATCGGCCCAGTCGTGGGAAGGAAAGTTACCCAGAGCGGGCCTGTTGATCAAGGCATTGACCATTTCCGGAGACTCGGCGACTTTGCGAAGGTGAGGGTTGTTGTAACCAACGGGGATGGAGGCAATCTGGGCATAGCTGTCGCCGAGCATCACGTTAAGATCAAAAATAGAAGGGCAGAGTCAAGGGCATTGGGAAAGCTTACACATCGAGGAGAAGGTTTCCGTCGAGATCGGCAATGCTGAGGTCGAGGGTTAGCTACTATTCTATGGCTCACAACCTGAGTCCGAAGAATCCCAAAAACATACTAGTTTCCAGTAGACTTGTAGTAGTCAGCCAGCATGTTCAAGCTGCGCACATCGAACACCTGGTCCAGCTTCTGGGCAGCAGCCTTGTTGTTGGGGCCGGGAATAGCGGTGGCCAACTTGGGAGCGGTCGGCTCATCGGAGAAGAAAGGCTTCTCAGCAGCCCGCAGGTGGGCAGTGGTGCTGAGGGAGCGGACGGCCGACAGGCGCGTCGTCGAGCGAAGCTTGAGGCTGGAGCGGAAGACAGCTGCCATTGTGAATTACAAGAGAATTGTTCTGTAGTTGGTGACGATGATGGATGGAATTACCCCTTGTGCCAGGCACAATCAGGATAAGAAGCGGAGAGGGAGAGATGATAAGGCTATGACGACAGATACGGGATTGAGGGGGACGAAGACGAGGATTCACCCAACCAGCCTGAATCAACAATCGACAAGAATGATCGGAGATTAAGCTGCAATTGACAAGTCGCAAGAATGAAGTTTGAGACAAAGAATCAAAATTCCTCTCCCAAAGGGGCGGCGCGCCAGGTTAAATACCAGCCACGGTGCGGAGGGAGAAGAAGCTCTGGCGGAAGCTGCCCCGCGCCTTCGAGCTCCCCTCGGCGATTTGCACCAATCACGAGCCATGGTAAGCCCGTGCTCGGCGATACAAAAACGGCGCCGATTGAGGGAATTCACAATCAGTCCTGGTCAATCAACTATTAGTAGCAGTCATTACCCATTGACTCGTCTACCGGTCCGATTGCTGTTCGTACGGTGCTTCCCCGGAAAGACTTTCCTTTTGCAATGATGTGTTTGATGCAGCGGTGAAGCACAGCAGCTACGAAGATGGAATTGGAGATAGCTTCCTGTTCCCCAGATCGTTCTTATCGGCCAGCTTGGCGGAGGAGATAAGGAAATTTCCCCTCATGCGAAGCAAGCAACCTTTTTAAAGTGCGATGCGGGCTCTGCTCTCGTTGTCGTACGGCAAGATGGGGTGGCATTGCAGAATGTTCCACGGAGTTTACAGAGTTTCTTTGGGAAATGGTCCAGTCGATTGCACTTTGGGGTGAGAAAATCGGTAAGTTGGCCTGAAAAGGTTATCATCACATATATGTTCGTCGATTGAGGAGTCAATTTTCTGACGCTCGAAGGTAGCTAACCCGATTTCACGCGAGAACGTCCTCATCGCTATCCATTGATAGTGGCCTTAGCACCGTAGAAAATGAAATTCCAGAAATTCTACGATGAACACGATCCTACGGATCAGCCAACCGAATGCCTCGGAGACGTGCTAGTACCGGGCGGCAACTTCAACATATGGGGCCTCCTATCGCTCGCAATTGCATACCATCCAAGATTGCAAGCCATACAGCAGCAAGAAACAAGATGAAAGAGGCGTGTAAAGTTAATTTTCACAACGTCGAATCCTAGATTGGTATCTGCCAACAGTCTCGGTGACCGCTATATCTGGCAATGTCGACATCAAGGAAGACGAAATAACCCCGTCTGCGCCGCGAACCATGACAACACCACAGTATCAGCTGTTGCATGGTGGAAAGCTATCAGGGAATGCTATGAAGGCTTATATTATAGTCCAGTGAGCTCACCCCGGTCGGGTTGAGATCCAGGAAGTTGTGAGAACTTAAGCAAGAAGGCTAGACACCACGACTAACATAAAACTCCCACATCGTGAGGGTCCGAAACGGAGCTTCGCATTCAGCACTTGCATGCCAGGGCTTCTTATTATACACTCCACTACTCAATCCCATTATACGTAGACAAGGAGCGCATGCAGTAGTTAGGTATAGGACGTAATACTTCGATTCCTATACTATTCTATAATCTACTCCCCAGATTCAAGATCAATTCATCCTTGGGTGGGTGACCGAAGACTTTGTTCTGGGTAATACCCTGAGCACAATTGCAAATAGCGATACCCAAAATCATTTATAAGACTCTTGTCTCCATCGATAGGATATACTCTCACTCTCGATCCAATTGGCTTCATATTTACTGCCTTGCTATGCCATGTCAAAGACCTCAGTTGACGATGATGCCGAAAACATATTTAGTGCCCAATCAATCCAAGGTTCAGTACCTTTTTACTCCATCAGAGCCATCGTCAATCCAACAACATAAGTCCCTCGACGAGTCTAAACCCCAATAATACTCTGCCTCCATTCACAAGGACCCAATCCCTCTCACTCGCGAGGTCGAAATATCGAGTCGAACCCATCAAGCAACCGCGTAATCATAGGTAGATTCATAGTCCAACAAGACCCAGTCCCATACCCAAAAAGGTCTCTAACCCCTCTCCCCGAGCTTCAACAACTTGAAGTTTAAAAAACGCTAGCAGCCAAACCCAGCCCGAAGCACAACAAACAACCCATTACCGGGGCAAAACACCCACATTCTTCCGTGTCCAAGAACGCACAGTGTCCACTGTTAAATAAAAGTTAAATACATGGCGGAGTTCACGAAGAGATCTAGATTGCTCTTTGGCGTCGCGGGTATGTCGCTGAGTTTCGCACATGCATATAATCCCTGCTAGTTCTTTCTCGAAGGAAGGACCAAGACCGGGGGTTGGGTTACTTGTAGTTAGACTGGCTTGTCTACCGATGCTGAGACACGCGACTAGATACCTCGGCTGGAGGGATGCGTCCACTCGGAGGAAGACTGACTCGTGGGAATTTACTCTACTAATGACTAGTGGGATACGTCAGCTGTGGACTGTGTCTCCACTTGAAACGCGGTTTGGTGCCTGTTAGTATGCATGTGATTCTGACCTCTTACATGTAGATATTCCTAGATGACAGCAGCTGGGTTGACCTCCGACTATACCTATTCTACTAAAAAGGGCTTAGAATGGCAACAATGTCTGTCTAGCCCGAAGGAGGTAATTTACGCGATGGCCATGGACTGGTCAGGCCACTCTGGCATCCAAGCTGAACCGGAGTCAAAAGGGTGGAGAGTGCGGGTTCTGATCGCGGAGCGGCTCCATCGACCCACTTCTAGTACTTCGCCCGCTGCAAGTGATGGATAGATAGACATCATTGAATTGGATAACGTGTAGGCTGCTGCATTCGTCGCTTGGAGGGCGAGCCTGGACTGACGTGGCACATTTATACCCATAAAGTACATATACATCGTTATACACAAGCAAAGGTGAACCTGCCAGAATTACACATCGTGGCCCTGATCCTCAGGAGGATACGTACAAGTGTTGAGCACGATTACGATTGTATGCATTATTGCCGTGATGGCGAAGTGTTGTGGTAAAAAGACATCATAAGAATTGTTGTTATGGAATTGAGAGTCGGACCTAGACGTAATTATTATCGTCGAACGTCGACCGGTCAGTGTTCGAGTTCGTATCCCGAGTAAGGGAGGCAGTAGACTTGTCACTACCAGGCGACGTGTAGACCACACCGTGGTTCTTTAATTCCACATGATGCGTAGGTGTCGCAACCCGCATGTGATTTGAAATCGACGGAGAGCGATTACTGTCAGCATGTCCAGGCTTCTTGATCTCAGACCAAGTCTCCATCTCAACTGTACGCAAAACTTCAAAGCGATCAACGTTGGTGTCGCCTTCATAGCCATATTGCCGATCCTCAATCCTCGAATCTTTGGTCGGCCCGCTTGATGACCACCCCTTTCGCGGAAAGCCCTTGAGTCCGTAAGAGGAGGCGTACTGGCGACTCGATTGCAGGAGACGAGGCAAGAAGAATGTGACAAGAGGCCTCAATGCAGGGGCAGAAGCGCAAATCTAGCGCAAGTCAGACGAGTTTCAATTGGTCGGGGAGGAATAGCAACATACCAATCCCATGCTGATTTCTATCGAGGCGGCGAGAAGAACAGGCCATCCGACCCACGTGGTATCGTATGAAGCCACCATGCTTTTCCAGACATAGACTGTCCGGATCGAGCCGGCAACATTGACCACAATACCCAACCCAAAGATCGAAATTACGGCAACTCGTTGCCGGGTGGGGAGTTTCAGGTTCCAGATCAATGGCATCGGGAGCACGGTGGTAAGGAAATCAGTGAAAATGTTGACGACACTTGCCGAGAACACAGCAGCACCATCGTTGATACAATGAAAGGAGTATGTGGGTGCCACGTCCCAGTATGCATGAATTGGCCTAGTTCATTAGCATATAATCGCCCAAAGGTTATACTTGTGATCAAGAACAAGGGGAATACTCACGAGCATTGGAAGATAGAGATGAAGAGAAAAAGGAGACAGCAAATTGCCACGATGACCATGCCAATGATCAGCACGATATTATAAGACGAATAAAGACCTTTGCTCCCAGCTCCAAGTAGACGCTTGCAGAACCATAATAGAGAGAGTTTTGTGATACTGGACGACAAGGAAAAAAGAATCTGGAACGCAAGGTTGAGCTTGTTGACGGTTGGCAACCAGGAAACCGGGATATCCCAAATGTGTCGAGTCCAACCGTAGTTCTCAGTCGCTATACTTGTGACAGCGCACATTCCGATGGCAAAAGCCTGAAGCAGGTTAGCATGTGACTAGACATGCGATATTGCAACATGGAACTTACTAGGGCCCAGATAATGAGAATGTCATCGAGACCAAACGTGCACGTTATTCTCAAACGTGTATAGAGACGGAGGCAAGTCACAACGAATGCCACGCTGAGGAGGACGACGCTCACGATAAGCACATAATTGCCACGAGTTACAGGGTCGACATAGTTAGGAGTGGGCCATGTCGCCAGGACACTGGCGGGCGGAACCCGCATGTTAGTAACTTGGAAAGGTTGACGATGCAAGCGAAGGTCGATTGCTGAGTTGATCTGATGGAGCGAAGTGTTGTTCAGTCATGTATTGGTTCAGTTGGATTCAAGCATAACCACCAGCAACCCCAAGCATGTAGCTGCTGATCACATTGGCCATAATTGCAATCCGGGAGATACTGAGGGGGTGGTGTGAAGCAAAAGACCGTCGCGGTGGCGGACTGAGGGCTGGTCACTGACGCCACTTGCTGGATGACAGTATCGACGACGGGGGAACAAGAGATCTAATATAGCCAGAACGGGTATCCACTCCAGGGCCCGGGTTAGAACTGCCGTCAATTCAGTTCCTGGTCCCTTTCTCCAACCATGAATTGCTCAAGCCAGCCAGCTCACATTGACATTTGGACTTTGGCTGGGGGGCAACCAATTTCAGATCGAGCCCAGCAAAGACGGGAAATAAGTCCAGTGCGGCTAATGGTTCGAACCCCACAATGGAGTAGTATGGGCCAAATAATGGCGAGGAGGGGGGGTTGAGAGGTGAGAATCACCGGGGGTTTCAAGGTCCCTCACGGCCTGCACAGGACAGTGATAGGCAGATTCGCTGAGCCGCCGCTCACTTTTTGCTCCACATGTTGGTAGAACGATTTAATGCACTTGGCAAGTGAGCCATTATTCATTGGCTCAAGTCTAGATGGTCGACTCGAACCAGGGTGTGAAAGTCAAATCTCTCAACAGGAACTGAACTGAAATCTGCGGACAGAAATGAGAAAAGGATATGAGAGTGAGCTGCGTGTGCGTCTAGTTGTCGAAAGATAAACTCCAAATCAATCCAAATCAAAGAGGTTTCTCCAACGAAGCCAATGTGCGTAAGGGACACTCTGGGAGGCAAGATCGTGCATGTGAAATCCGACGTGATGGAGGGAGAGGGATTTTGCTCCACATTGAGCTCGTGCTCCTTTCCCCTCCTTATCTAAGCGGGAATTAGTGAGATGACGGTGGAGTGTGGACTAGTGTAGTTGACTAAAGACTTGCACTAAGTAAGTAGACCAAGTAAACTAGATAAAGTAGATAGTGACGGTGGCGCTCTAGACAGATTCCGCATGCGGAAAGGGAGAAAGGTTGCAGTGCCCCGCATAAGCACTACAACAATCTCCTCCCCACTAGAACACTTATTCATGTATGATTACAGCCTGAACATTAACCTGCTGCTACTGTTTCCTCTTCCCCTCTACGTACTACCATTGGCACTTGTGTTGTCAGCCTCATGGCATGCACTCGTGCCTGGTTCCTGCATATCACACACGCCATGCACAATACCCAATTAGGCTTACAGAACATGGACATCATCCAAGCTGAGGGACAGTTATCTCCCCGTGGATTGCTGATCAAATAGCGGGAGGATGGCTTCCAGGATCAATTGGCACTGAACACTTGCCAACCACACATCTATCCCTCAACAACAAACCTTGGCCGCACCGTATGCGCGAAGTTCTCGACTGAGAAGTCGTGATAGATATCCGCAGACAAAGACAGCGACAGAATGAACGCCTGATCAGATCCACTCTCCCCGAAGGGACTAAAGATCGGATTCTATAAGGGGTAACCGATCAGAGAAGAAGTGGATCGAATTACTCCATCAGGTACTTTGCTGTGATAATCATGAGTAAGTTTTTAAACTCAACGATCTTCTAGCCTTTTGAAAATCGTGCGAGCCCGAAATTCGGAAGACCTGGCCGTGAAGTTGGGACTGCCAACTACAACCCTCGGTCGGTCTGGCAAAATCTTGACTTGGTACCATGACAGGTCTGCCTCTTCACCACCCCTCCATATTTGGTCAACCCGGAAAAGCTGTCAATAGCCCAGCAGTCATCCGGCACATTCGCAAGTCAAGGATACCGAGAATCTTCGCGATAAGCTTTGCCGACCCAGTGGATGCGGTCGAACCATGCCTCCAGGTCACGCCACACCCTTGTTGTGGGCTTGCTGCTTCGATCACTGGCTGGTACATAGCAAAGAATAGCGGTCCGCTCATCCGGCAGGATACGGCTTCCGAGCATTAGCCGATTCAATAGCGAACGCACTGGGTGGATGATCCCGGTGGCTGCTAGGACCATGCCTGGCCCTGTGCGTAGCCATTGCGCTTGCCCCTGTGGCAGCGCGCTGGAAGGATGGTATTTCCTTATGCATTGCCAGATTGTGGTAATTCTTTTGGGGGATTACTTTTGACCTCTGCTCAAAGACACTCCTTTCAGAAACGCATACTCACAGGAAATTAGCTCCAAACACTAGTTTCAGGAGCTACTCACGCATGTGTGCATTGTTTGAGAGCTCATGGGGATGCCACACCATAGCAAGACCTATGTATCAGGTCTTGCTGATCATCCTGCATTCGGCCCCTGCGGCTAGATCTACAAGGAGCTCCAACAGGTAGATCTCTCCGCCCCTAGAGTATCACTATGACGCAAGTCGCATATCTTTAAGCAACTGTATCGTTCAAATATAGCAGCCTGGAGCATTCTTCTTGCTCTGAGTTGGAGCAACTGACGAAAAATTGAAAACTGACTCAATAGAAGCATTCCCAGCGGGCTGACCAGATTCTGATTATTTAGCCTTTCCGGTTTAGGCAACAGTTCGCCCTGCAGGTGGGGCTTCTGCTGCCTGGCCGATCACCGTACAGCATGGAGATCTTCGGCTTTGGCTCGTGGGATGGTGATCACTCGCCCTTACGACAATAGACTGAAGGATTCGGTCTCAAAGTTGGGTGAAGACCAATGGTATACCGTTCTCGGATCCGAACGTTAACTACCCTTAGGGCCAGGCATGATCATGACATCGGAAATGCAACACCATGCTATCGCAAGTCTTTAAGAATGATCTACAGCTCTGATCAGCATACGACTTCATATATACTTTATTGACATCTCCGATCAACTCTTACAGAAATTCAGGGCGGGGGACCACGGATTCTCTCTGGACGCTCACAAATCCAGTGTGCTATTGCTCTTTGACAGATATATTGGGAATTGGCTCATCCTAATGTCCGTGTCGATGATTGCGAGCGGATTATCAGAAAGAGGGAAGATCCGCAACGCCCGGGCTTCTCGCACGATTAGAAAAACGCACTGTGGACAGCTGACTCTTTATGACCAGGGTGGCCGTCATCAGAAGGCCCCTGAAAATGGCCTCGGTCGAACTGGTCTGATCATCAAGATAGCTTTCGCAAACCCCCAGCTTGTCATTTGGGTTGAATGACTTCACTGAAGGAACTCGCCCCTGGTTTCCGCAACCTGCTCGGCATAGTAAGGCTGAAAAGCCAGCCACCCCTTTTCAGGGCCCCCAATTCGCATGGCCGCATAAGCCGCCTCCTGCTCATCGATGACGATCTTCTTGTACCCGGCTGCGGCCGCCGCATCGGCCAAGAGTTGAGTCTGGCACGTCTTATCCAAACTGATAAACCAGAATGTCGCCTCATCGACGCTTTCCCCAACCATCAGCAAACCATGATTCTGCAGAATCACCGCCTTCCCCTGCCCTAGAGCCGCGACGATTCGCTGGCCCTCATCCTGGTCGAGGACCACCCCCTTGAAATCCCGGTAGACGCCATGGCTCTTATAAAACCGAAGCGCGTCCTGCGTGATCATCTCCAGCTCGCGGCCAAAGCACGAAAAGGCCTTGCCCGCTACGCTGTGGATGTGGCACGTGGCGTTCACTTCCGGCCGGGCCTTGTGGATTTCGGAGTGGATGGCGAACGCGGGTGCATTAATGGGCTCGTCGCCCTCGACCACCAGGCCGTTCTCGTCGAGTAGGATCAGGTCGGAGACCTTGATGAGGGGCGAAGTGTGCGGAAAGAGGGTTGATTCCTGGAAAGTACGGCGAGTTTAGTCACTATCAGAATTGGAACGCAATGAACACTGGCCCGGGGCCGGAGGGAAGTTATCGTTGTCCAACTCACAAAAATGATCCGTCAAAATAGGATCCCTGACAGAAATATGGCCTGCCACGCCCTCGTCGAAGCCGCGATCTGCAAAACAGACGAAAGGCAGCGGCCAGATGCTGCTTGCGGTAGAACCTCTCGTCTTCCAGCCTATCGGAATCGGGGATACCGGCGCACTTTCAGGTCCCTCCCATCCTTGGTTTTGCCGAGAACTTGTAGCTGGGTTGGAGTATTGGTTCTGGTGGCGGTCTTGTTCGGCTCGCTGGTACCAGTGATCTCACCGGTGGGTATCATTTTGATGTAAACAGTGTCGAACTGCTCTTGTCGTTCCACACGCCGGTACTCTCTTCTAGTTGAAGCCCACACTCTTCCTCAGGGCTATATAGTATAAATCTAACCACCAAGCCAAGAGCGCCAGCAACAGCAGCTGAACCACACTCACCATCCCCTCACTTACCACAGTAAACAAGAAACAAGTCCCAAGCAAGCGCAACCCAGCAGCGAGGTCCATCAACCGCTTCAGCCATCCCGCGTGACGGAAGACTGAGCCATAAAGGTACCAGGCTGGAGAATGGAATCCAGTCACCAAGAAGAAAGTACAGTCGACTGGGAGTTGCCCTGATGAGATGCAATGGTCACGTTTGTGTGCAGCAAGCTGTGCGCTGTAGCGATAGCTGTAGCTGTAGCTTACTGTTCAGACCTAGATCGCAGTGGTCCGAGGATAGGTAGGCTGGGTCGTGGATGTGCGCTGGGGTTTTAATTAGCTGTGACTCATCTTGAGATCAACTGTTGTGGCTGGGCGGAGTAGTATATTCCTCGTACCGGGTTGCGATGTATATTCCGCTCCTGCTTGTGGATATTTCCCTGTGATAATGAGGTTGGGGTGCAGGAGTTGATTCGGATGGTTGGGGGATGGTCGCGTGAGGTGGACCGATTGCTTGGGATCATTGGGCTGTAAGGAGGGTGAATGGGATACCTGGTAAACTGTTCAGAACTGGGCGTGATAGAGCTGTTAAGCTGGGTTGGGCTATGGAGACTGGTTGTCCGTGGCACTACCACACGGACGAGGGCTTGTCAGTGCACGGGATTATCTTCAACAGCTAAAGTTGTCTAGACAAGTGAACCCTTACTGCCGACTAGTACACAGCCCCATGAGACAGAGCATGAACACATGAGAAGAGAAGATATTGGACATGTTTGTGCTATCTCACCCATTTATGCAGGTAGCTAGCTAGATCATACGATTTCCCCACCTAGATATCAATAAAGAACCCAAAAGAACCCAAACATACAATACATCTATCCGTCCATCCATCATAAATCAATGTTTCTTAACGACAAAGAACACCAGACTCGCAGGCTAGAAAGACTCCCAATCCCAATTTTGCCCCGCCATTGCAATGGCCAATGCAGTAATCCCCCGCTCATTCTTTTTCTTATTTTGAACCACCATTCCTGAATAGCTTCTTATCACTCAGACTGACTGTTTACTGCTCACACTCCCGATCACTGTCGTCGTCTCCGACTCCGTGGGGTCCTTGTTTGCAACGACTTTGGATCGCAGGGCGGCGCGGATCTCGTCGACCGAGCGGTCCTTCCACTCGTTGTAGCCGGACGTGCTCAGAGGGAAGAGCACGAAATTATCCTCGCGGACGCCGAACTCGTCCAGCTTGGGCGGAGGCATGGCGGAGATGATGTCGAGTTCGTTGGCGAGTTGACGGCAGTAGGTTTCCAAAGGCAGATCGTTGACATCGTGGCCGAAGGGGTTCTCGATTTCGCTGCCGATGAACGCAAGGCCGAGGATGATGTATGCGGCAACTAGTTAGAGTCAGTAACCATGTAGACATTCGAGACATGACAAGGGTACACACTGATAGAGCCAGGAATGGTAATCCAGCGAAGGTAGATCCACATCTGGAAAGGGAGAACCATGACATAGATCCAGGCAATCTGGGCGATGGAGATGGTGTATGCGGCGGGAAGAGGAGTATCGAGCACACGTTCAGTTCCAGTAAGACATTCGTTCAAGCTAGAAATACCACCGACTTGAATTTAGATTAGCATGGGGTCAATGGAAGAAAGAGCTTCGAGCGTACTGGCTTGGCTTTGGTGGAGACCACAAGTCAGGGTTCCGTTGGCAATGCAGCGGTCGATGTAGGCAGACAGGTGATTCAGAATCTCCAACGGCAAATGTCCCAAAGGCTTCTTGGACCGCTTGATGAGCTTGCGCGGGTTCGATTCAGCAAACGAGACGCCCAGGTACTCGCCGATGTTCTTCCAGGGGGTCTTCTTTGGGGGCTGGAGAACTTGACGGTCGTGAGCCTCTTTGGCAAAGGTGTCGAGATGGCCGATGAGTCCCGCCAGATCTTCGTAGCCGACATCGGGCTCGAATCGCAGCTTGTGTTTGAGAGCGACGGCAAAGGCAAGGATGAGGTTGAAGGCCGTCCTAGCAACGTCAGTATATCCATCCAACCTGTAATCCGGGCAGCATACAGTTTCGCAAGCAGATCCTCCTTTCCGAGCTCTCCCTCTCGCTCGGCCGTGTTCACCCAGATTGTGCGTGCGAGATTGCGAGATGTCTGAATCAGCAATGCCCAGTACTTGCGTCCATCGGCCCATCTGTTCTGTGATTAGTCCTGTACCAAATGCCCAATGCATCACGCCTTACCTCTCATAGGCGGTCGAACTGCGGAACGACAGCGCCAAACTGACCACGAAACCGGTGACAGTGAGCAAGATGCTATTGATACCAACTATACAACGATCGATCAGTGACTATCACTAAGCAAGCTAGCAGGGAAATACTCACGAGGGTGTACGAAGTGGGAGATGCAGGTGATGGCGGTAGCCCAGGCGGCAACAAAAGTCAGGGGAAGGATCATTTTGGGCATGATACTGCCGTGCATGCGGAGGGCGAGAGGCCATTTGGAATGTCTGTCGAGATCGCGGGGACCATGCTATCCATGCCAGTCAGTTGCACAAGCTTGTGAATCTACATGACAATTACAACGTACAAAGTATCGGACAAGCTCACTGGAGTTGCGTCTGTCAAGCATGAACTGTCTGTCGCGGGAATTGGCGAGGTTTTCCAGGAAACTGGGGCGAGGGGTCAAGCGTCCTGGACGGGGCTCTTTCTCCTGTACGCTGGCCGAGGGTTCATTCTTCGCAGCCTGGACAGGCGCGACCAGAGGCTGCTCAGGGTGTCCTGCTTCTTCCGACATGGCTGCTGAAGGTGACGAGCGATAGTGGGTAGTAGGAATTGAAGAGGGAACAAAGACGGTGGACAGTTGAAGATATGCGGTTCGCACAAAGGGCCTGCCTTGGGGAACGAACGACGAACGAGCTCCACAGGAAGCCAGAAAAGAGGGACTAGTCAACTAGTAAGGAGACTATCGGAATTAAAAGCGAAGGGAAAGGCCACCCTGAAAGTCGATGAAGACAGGAAAGCAGAAGAAAAGGGTTTACGAAGAAAAGAAATCTGGGGAGAGGGGGGGGGGGGCGAGTCGGAGCTGAGGTGACTTCTTAAGACTAGACTAGACGGAATGACTATTCAAGCGTTTGTCGCACATTAATCCCAAAGTGGGAAAATATAGAAACAACCCACGCAGTTAGGGTAATTGAAACCATGGGTGAGAAGGCTTGTCAGTACGTGTACGATACCCGGCCGTTGGGACTGATGGGTTGGTCGGTCTAGTTCGTACGGCGATTGTACAGCCACGGAGGATGGAAATAAAGTCGAAGAAGGGCGATCGGCATCTGGCCACTAGAGGAGTCGGTCGACTCGCCAGTTGGCTCTCGCACGCCACGCCACGCGGGCCAAAACGTCACACGGCTGCTTCCGCCCCAGCAAATGGTTGTCTTTTCCACCGGCCAGACCGTCGCTCTGAAACATTCAGCTGGTTGGTGTCTTCCCGTCTCTTCGCCTCCTGTCATTTGGATTCTTGTGCACCGGGGCAGTTCTGCCTATTGAACTAGATGGTCTTACTACTTGATATTGATTGACTAAAAACAAGGGGTGGTTAAAGTAGTCCATCAATTCCTCTCACATCCTCCCACAAACCATTTCAATATCATCCTCCTTCCACTCCCTACGGACACTTTCCGGGAGTGACGGCAAAAACAACCCGAAGCCGCAGCCATGGCTTGAACTTAGTTGTGGTTGTCATCATGCAGGGGAAACGCCTCGTAATTATCCCTCCGAAAAAAGGTTTTCCCCCCCCCCCCCCTTCTCTTCATCAACTCAGTGCCACGGCCACCCACCCCAACCGAGGACAATGAACCCGAGCTTTATCTGTCCAATACTAAGACCTTGGCAAAAGAGAACTCCGATCTGAAAAATTGAGCCGAGCCACGGTGTACTCCGGAAGTCCGGACCCAGTCTTTAAATAGCATACCCATTGCTTTGTGGACGATGGCATTTGGAAATCGGATCGCAAGGGCCAGTGCGTTGGCCGGACTGGACGGTAGACTGAGCGTTCAGTTCTTTGCATCCAGACAGTGAGTTATACGAGTACAATAACAAAGTACTGTAGCACTATCTGCTATGGGTGTGACGATTATCTTACATGATAGATCAACTCCCTTGCTTTTTTTTTCTTTTCTCTTTCTCCGACATTCGACAACCACCGTTTCACCATCCCGTAATCCTGCATGAAGTGGCTTGCGCCCTTTTGATCGTTGGAGCCTTGCAAGGGCGCACCATGCCTCGGGCGCCATTGACCCCTGATTTTCAACACCCCTTCCCCCTTCTTCCCGCTGCCAAGTTCTCCTCCAAAGGTCACAGGTGCCAGTCACTGCTGTCTTGTTTCATGTTTCATGTTTGCTGAACGAATTGCATGGATGGATTGTGATTCGACAGGGTGCTGTGTATGATTATTTAAAGTTCTCTGCCTCAGGAACTGCAATGTCATTGCGCTTCTTCGGTCTTCAGGTTTCTTGTGGCCTTACTCTGCAGGGGAGAGGGTGTTGATTCCTACAAGGCTCGTAGCTAGGTAGTCGCGAGGCTGAATTGGGATTCGCTGAAAATTTCTGAATAAGCTGTCTGCATCGTTTCCCTGCTAACAGCCATACGACATCTGCTCGACCGGTCGTAATTTGAGGGGCGAAGAAGGCTCCGGCTCAACACAGTTGACCAAAGGGGATGTACTTTCCTGAAGAGCGGTGTTGCACTGAACCTTTGGTCGGAAATGCGAAGGATCTTGTAAGGCAGTCATGACTTGAACAACCAGCGCTAGTGAGTGTGTGTCGCAGTCAGGTGGTTCGGTTACATTGGACTCAAATCTGAGTAAACTTGGGGCGAAGTTTTCATGTCATCTGCGAGGTAGTTCTACTGGTAGAGTCAGGCGAGGATGTATAAAGATTGAAGAAGTGGAGAAGAATTCCAGTCCGCAAGAAAGCCTGGATCTGTTCTTAGCTTCATTTGCCAATTATAGTTTCATTTTCTGGAGTAAGTGATCAGGTATAAAGTCTATATACATCTCGTCTCGACTTGATCCCTATACATGGCGACAGTCTCACAGACGCGAAGTGCTCCTTTAATCCCCACGATCTCTCGCGCCAATCAACCGAGCCGAATCGACGTGAGGAAGGCCGTTGCATGGAAGTCGCCAAACGGACCGATCATGCGGCCTGCTGGCATGGAAGTTGAGTTTCCCGATGGTATTTCTGCGTGTATCAAGCGCAGGACGACCACGTTGAGATGGTCCAGCACTGGGTGTAGGACACCGCTGAGCCCCAGTGATCGGAACGAGAGCCACCTCGGTAGCCGACGAGACCTTCGCAGCGCCCTGAGCACATCACGCATAGCATATGCAGTCCTATCGCAATGCTGGAGGTTCAGACCTTTTGCCATACCGTATGGAATAAAGGCCCACGAATATCCAACGAAACCAGACCGACCCTGCACGCTCACGGAACAAACAAATCCGCGCCAGAGCCATTGAGAATAGCTCCCAAGAAGTTCCCTTTCGCGCAGACTCGCCATGCCACATTGCCATTGCCAGTCGCCTCGCCTCCACCGGAGGAACTACTCCCTCCGACCCACGAGCTCAATGCCGCGACAACAGCGGACGCATCCGGCTCAGGAACACGGATCCATATGGTTTTTGCGTTTGCACTGCCCGATGGGGCTTCAATTTTCAGGATATCAATGGAGATAGCCGTGCCCGAGAGTCCGAGAAATTGATTTAGCGCGGCCGAGAGGTAGGTACGGGCTGTGAGGGGGTCGAGGGGTTGAGTGAGATTTGATTGTGAGACGGGAGGCTGGTGCGTTCTGCGCAAGCTGTTAGTCCATTTATTTGAGCATCTTGAGGATTAAGGAACGTACAATTGGAGTTTCAGGTATGTCCAAGGGGGATTGCGCGTGGTGAAGCTCACGGCTGGTGTGGAGGGGGGTTGCTCGGTCGGGGCTTTGCGCTTCGAAGTCCCCGGTTCTGCAGGTCGGGGTTGCGACGCGGCGGACATTCTGTTTGCTGTTGGGCAAGATTATAAAGTTGAGAAGATTAGGGCAGTAGCAGTATTGCTGCCGGTTGATTTCTATTTGTAGGGTGCTGTCAAGCTGCGGTGCAGTCGGAGAAAGAAAAAAAAGTCGGGGAATTTCCGCGCTCCGTGATGTCACGGGCGCAACCGCCCTCGCGGCTACGACCAAGACTTAAAATAGATCATACCAATGCATTCTTCAATTTCTCGTGCGCCTGTTGAAGGAACTCGTCTTCGCTTTGGGATCCAATGTCCAGGTTGGCTATGCTGAGGGTCTTGTCGCGCGACTTGAGGCCGCGAATCACTTCTACATCTGATTTGGGGACTTTGAAGGCCTGAGCTTGTTAGCTGCTTTCAAGGCAGGAGGATCACCATGAGCCAATAATTAACATAGCAGCTGATCATTGAGCTGTAGGGTACTAACTTGTGCCAGAACGCGAGACACTGCTGTATTTGCCTCGCCGTTCCGAGGTACTGCGGCGACGCATACATCAACCCGGTCTGTATTTATACTGATGATGCCCTCGCGGTTGTTGGATCCGTTTGGCTTCACATTGCAAGCTATCTGAAGGCTGTATCGTTTAGGAAGCTGGGATGCGACGCGGGACTTAGAGGTCGCAACTGGAATCAAACGGAGAAGAGGCGGTGTGGCCATAGTCGCGATCCAAGAACAAATCCCTCAGAGAAAGGATTGAAACAAGGCTGTAGAGCAGTATTGTAGTTTTAAGTTTTTGTAGTTTTGTTCAAGTTGTTGTTTTGACATTGCATGGAAGAAGCCGAAGGAGCACTCATGGTCGGGTGATATGTCTTGGCTCAGCTCACTATTGGCCGCTGTATACTTCTAGCTTCCTCAAGTCACAAAATTGCCAATACAACTACAAGGTCACGTTTAGTAGCTACTTCTTGAGTCCTTCGCAAACTGGTTCGTCCGAAGATCATCACACATTGGGTGCCAAGGTAAGAGACTACCTAAGCACCCAAGAGCTAATTGTGGAAGACGGTTGGTGCTAAGGTGTGTTTGTGCGCCAAGTGTCAAGGGTTGAGATCCGGGATTCGGCGTGCTACTCGAGACCTGGCGGTTCAGAAAAGTGGAATTAAACGGTTGTTTGATGTATAACTTATGAAGAGAAAGAAATTATCTAGATGCCCACCAAGGACAAGGGGTCTACATGGTTCGATACCCACATTGCCAAGGATTCTTGTGTTGAGGTGCTCGACCTCTCAGGGTTTCACGATGCCGGTGTATGATATTTTTCCGATAGTTCGGAAGATTCTGGATACTATTACTGAATGAAGACTTGGACGTAGTTCAGTCTTGAGACAAGACGCCTCTGCTGCCGGAGTACATTAGAAGAATGAGCTGCTCCTAGCTACTACAAGCCCTTGTGCCCATGATAATAATCACCTTTCTCCAGTGGCTCTGAGGCTTTTTCTAGACAAAGCTACGATGCTTCTATGGGATGACCACTCCCAGCCTCTCGACCCCACGGGGTGGATCCCTTTAGAAACTGAAAGGCCTCCAGTAAATGTAGCTCATTGTGGAAAGCTTTCCCCAGCTTATTTGCTACCGGCTCCGCAGCAACGTCCACAGTGGGTCACGCAAGAAGACAACAGAATCTTCCAATAGCCATTGTCAAGAAATTTCCCCGCTTGTTCTCCAGCCCCCGAGAGTAGATCGTGTATATGCGAACGGTGAGATGGTCTGTAGATGTAGCTATTGTCACAAAGAAACCCTTTTCCGCGGACGCCCTGGGTGCAGAACTTGTGGGCGAGGCTGATACCCGCCGTCATCACGCGCCGTTTGGTCCAGCCGCGGGAGATTTTGTATACTCACCTCACTGCTTCATACCCTTTGCACCACTGTACACGTAACCAAGTCTACAAGACCATCGATATGAGGTTTGTCGGAGAGAGCCGGAGCAGGAGATTCCCTGATAGTACATTAGATCAAAAAAGATGGCGGATTGCTCGAGAAACGGCTTCTCCAGATGCCGATAGTGAAGGCTGTCTTGAAAGCCTATGTCAAATCCATAGATCTGACCCGTAAACTGGGGGCCCTATTCACTGCCATTGAGGTTTTTGAAACGTCTACCCCAATTTGGCACCCCAAGCCCCAGCCCCCCCCCATGATTGAGCAGCATAGAGAGGAAGTGTTTGAACACAGGATGCTTTTCTTCTTCTTCTTCTTCTTCCTCTTCTTCATCTGCTATTCTGTACATCTTCACTTCATCAAAACACTTCGAACCCCATACTTTCTGCATCATTGCAATAACATTCAACTCCAGCTCCAAAAAAGCTTCAATTCACCACAGCAACTCAATCATTTGCCACCTTAACGCTGCCATACTCCCACTTGGAGACCGTCATCTCAGAGCTGTGCAGCTTCCGCCTGAGAACCAGGTCGCCCTCGCATCGAAATGAGCGTGCAAGTAGGCATGAGTTTGACATTCGACATCAAGGGAGCCAAGCGCTCGAATCAAGGTATGCCCAAGACGCTTGCATGCAGCTGTGGTCACTAAAAGTTGTCAGATGAACCAGCAACATTGGAGGTTGCTCACGAAGGTGCGAACACTGTGTCAGATCTCACCTATCTTGAACAAGAGGCTTGGACATGGGACAATCTTCCCGAGATCCTGTATCAGCTCAATCCTATCGGTCCCAAGAGTAAGGTCAAGGTTGGAATGAAGACCTATCCCATTGACGGGAAGTTCCTGAGAGACATCCCAGTCCTTCCTGATCACATCCCTGTGGACGTCGAGGAGTTCCGCGTGGAAGCTTGGATCAGACTCGACCGCCGCATTCGACTTGAAGACATCTTAGACAGGATGCCCAAGGGCCATAGTGTCAAGCCCAACGCCCTTCAGCAGAGAAGCGGCAGATTCCGTCAAGCCTTTTCCCTGCGTGCTTGGGACTCCGGCAACAAGAAGAGCGTTGCTCTCGGCACTGAGCTGGAGCAGAAGTTGGTCACTGCGGGCATCGACCTCAACCTCAACTCCACTCGTGGGCTTACCCCTGGCCTGATCAACCCGGTTTTGGGAGAGGCAGGCGGCAGAATTCCACTTCCAGCACTGTACCAGTGCAAGAAACTGTCGAAGAACATCCCTAAAGTCTCGAAGAAGAATAAGATAAGCACTAGAAAGAACATTACCTCGAACCTCTCGAATTCGACGATTACCAAAGCTGAGCAAGCTCCTGAGCAAGCTCCCGAGCACCTTGACGAGGAGTACTTAGGCGGCAGCGGTGAGTTTGTCCCTGATCAACTGTCATTTCAGCACTTTGATTCTCAAGTCATCCGTAAGCAATGAGCTAATGACCATTCTCCTCATTCTAGAGCAACTATGCCACCCGTACCAGACCGAGCCTATGGAATATGAACCTCTGGACTGGACCAACACGGAGGAGTTCTTCGCCTCTCATGGCATGCCTCTGTATGAGGACGAAAAGAAGGCACTCCGTGCCAGATGGGAACCACTTCCTGAGGGTGTTACATTGATTGCAGATGCACAACTTCCAGTCATGGTCGACAATGAGGACTGGACTTGGGGTTTTAATACCCTCAAGGTCGAGTCGAAGCCTGCAATTACAGACGATCTTTATGACAAGATAATGCAAGACTATCATGACCGTGAGCTCTGGCGGCTGGATACACTGTACTCGGGTATGAGCGACGGAGAGTTTGGCATCTGATGCCCGATTCGGGCATGCAGACAAGTGGGTTATTCGAGATCTGTAGACCATCAGTAATCGCAGAGAAAAGACATTTTCTCTGTGATTGACTGACCTTTTTCGCTCGGAATTTCTTTTCCCGATCAAATTCCCTTTCGTTAGCGGCTCTGCCCTGCAAGAAGATGTGAAGATCCGTTGTCTTTCTTTCTCCCTTGTTCAAATAGTGAAAATCCATCCTGAAGTTGTTACTGGATTCCAGCAAGCCAACATGTCTAACGAAAACTGTAAGGCAGTGGCTGAACTGCAAGTGTATCATCAGCCAACCATCTCAGCTCAAAAGTTTGATGCTTCGACAGACGACTAACCTTGCCGATCTTCCATGGTTCTCTTATCTCTGTCTCGAATTGTTTCTGTCGCTAATCATCCTGTCTTCAGCGTTCGACCTGTTCGTTTTTGCCCCTCTGCTAGAGACGTTAATGAGTGATATGGCTATGATATCCCCGACTGGCTGTGGTCACATCTCGTTCATGCTTTCGCATGCTTGTTTCTGCTCGCTCTTCTGTCTTCAGACCGGAAAAGGGGAAGAGGAGGCGATAGAGGAATGATCAGAATCTATTTGGAGATTTGACAAAAAAAGGTCAGTTAGAAGAGAGATCAGTAAGGGAATTTTCGAAGAAGAGTCAAAGGAGATAGAAATAAGAAAAGCGTGTAATTACCGAGCCAGTGTATCATAATAGCTTTCTGTTCCTAAGGAACTAAAACCGTATGTACTGCCTTCCCTGTTCCATACTTCATTAGTTTTGGTTCGCGTTTGGACTCTTGTGGCCTACCAGTGCGAGATCCGATGCAGACTGAGGCTGTCATCGAAAGTCTCCTCCCACTTCACTTCTTTTCTTAGCGTTGTCTGTGTAAAGATTGTCTTGATAGGCGGGTGATGGTCATGATAAACGATAGAAGGTTAGATAGAGCCATGACCGTGTTGCATGAATGCTACCTAGAGATGCCTGAGGCCAGCTGGCCGTGAAATCCGCGTGGCGTGTTGTGCAAGCCAACATGGATTCAATTGATAGTAATCATGCTTCTTACTACTTACAGATCTTTCAATTGGGTCGCAGGCACGAAGTTGTGGACCTCTTTCGAGGCGGAGGTCACAGGCAGTGACGCAGAGAACTATGCAGCCATGCAGGTTTCACTGATCACTTTGTTTGCTGTGTACCCAGCAGGGATTTAATTGAGACTACCCATATCGCAATGGCAAATTTATAGTCTGCTGAAAGAAGAAATATGATTTGTATTTGCTATGAGTGTCAAGTTCACTGCTTGAGAAGGAAAAGCTTGAAAGTATTTGCAAGTCTTATACATCTCCACTCTTTAAATCACTGATTCACTCCTTTCACTGCTTCACCAAACGACAGAGATTGCGAGGCTTGAAATGACCGTGATCGAATCTCAGATTGTTCTTATCAGGGAATCTCCCTGACTGAAACTGACTCAAATCGATATCACTTAACCAAGACGCCATAACTAATTTCAAGGAGTACTAAGTAAGTAGCAGTAAGGATCAGATGATCAGAAACATAGTGGATGATATCTATTCCGCCCTCCAGACCGCCAATTAGACTCGGCAGAATAAAAAGAGTTCTCCTGTCAGTCCAGTTGTTCCGATTTCTTAATCATTTCGGCTTTTCCTTAACTGTACTGTACTTGGCGGCTTTCATTTGTTTATCGCCTACCCCACCGGACAACCTGTATCAACGCGCTGCACCTGTTTTGTTCTCTTTTCTGACTCCATGAGTTGGAGAAACGGTCCCACAGTAAACAAGGAGATTGATCTACTCGGCACCTCTTACTCGATCCACCTTTTTATGATTTCGAACCCTTCATTTTCTAGCCGCCTTCCACTCTCGTTTGCCTTATTTAGCCTGACTTAGCGGATAACTACCTTCCCATCTGCGTCAACTTCTCACCAAACAAACTAGCGTCTACTTCTTCATTTTTCATCGCCCCTTTTGGTTGTCTTCATAAAACAAAGATCATGATTTCTAGTTATCTTCGTTGGGTCTCGACTAAGTGCATCAATTAGTATGTAGTTTCCCTTCCAAGACAATCACGTGTCTTTGAGTCTTATACTTACTGTACCTGCAGATCGCCCCGTTGAAATGGCGCCGAGCGGGGACCCTCTCGACTGGACAGTCGACGAGGTGGTACAGTTCTTGTGCCATAATCCTGACGCGCCATGGTCTCTCTCTTCGTCGAAGGTCGCGCGACCGGATCCTGTTACTTTCGAGGCAGCTCTACGGGAGAACGTGATCACTGGCGAGGTGCTACTCCACGATGTCGACATTCACACTCTTAAAGATGATCTGGGTCTGAAGGCCCTGGGTCCTCGCAGTAGTATGCAAAGTGCTGTTCGATATCTGCAACGACACTCTTCCAAATATCTCCAATCCACAGCGTTGTCTGCAACTCCTTCCAATAGTCAAATTCCCGACTATACTAGGTCACCCAGCCAGCCTACGTTCGCAAGCCCGGCGACTCTATCTCACACACCTGTGCCTCCTAATGGGAGCTTTCAGCGAGGTTTATTCCAGACACCCCGTGTTCCTTCCTCATCCTCACTTGGTGCTTTAACGCCAGCAGAGAAGCCAACGCAGCGTCTGGAGATTTTGCGAAACTCGACTGCTGTGGATAGACATAGACCGGACGTTGGCGACAGAGACGACGAAGAAGACGGCGTCAGCCTCATCATCCAGCCTGATATCAGAGCATCATCATCAACAATAACACTGGAATCTCACAAGCGTCCACGCCCCGGTGAGCACACAATCTTCGATAAAGAGGGAAAGAAACGACGCAGGCTTGATCTTTGTAAAGCCGATGGGACCATTGAGGGCGCGACTAATGAACCTGCCGAGCATCCTTCAAGCGAGGAATGGTACATGGGGCCCGACCCAATCACGCCTTCCCAACTGTTCTATCCTGCTAAGTCCGCAACATCAGACGACGAGTTTTCTATCATTGGCTCACAATGTCCACCAGCCAAACGGAAATTCGTCAACAAATGCATGTCTCACTTTTATCGCCAAAGGCCCGTGCGGCTGGGCCCCAACGAGCAAGCTGTGATCCCCTACCATCCTGCCAAGGGAGAGAAAATTGGCCAAATATTCTTCACGCTGTACACCTACAAACATGGTCATGTCACAGTCAGTAAGCAAGACCTTCGTGGCTGGCCACAGCTCAAAGACATTGGGATCTCAGATGTCGCTGGCGCACCGAAAAGCTCTGATCCATTTGCATGGCTGATTGACAAATACCCTGTTCAAGAGGATGGCCAGGATGCCTTCCCATTGTATGGAGACTCGGGTTCTGAGGGTGATTATGACGAGGAGACCTGGCGGGAAATTGATGAGGAGTTCCAGGCTTCTGTGAACCAAAAGCGAGCCAAACTTACGCCTGATGCAGTCAATTCGATCATTGAAAGATGCATACTGAATTACGAGACCGAGTGGCAGCAAATTCATAAGCCTAGAGAAGAACACAAGGCGAGGGCAATTTGGAGGGCTGCTACGAGGAGCAACAGCCGTAATCAGCAGATTAAAGTCCTTACTGGCTCCATCAAAAAGCTTGAAGCTCGTTTGACTAAGCTGAGAGACGCAATAAAGCAAGTTGATTATTCCTCAGAATCCGAATTACAGACCCAATGTCAAACTCTACAACAGACGGTCTTCCAGATGCAGAAATACCGTCATCAGATTTTCGTCATTGGACTCGAGAGCTGTCCACCGAAAATTGCTGCTCCACCGAGAAGCGTGAAGTTCACAAAGCGGCGTAATAACAGAGGCGGCGATTCTGAATCGCTCGATTCGGATTCAGATGATGATTTTATCGACGACTCTGGAGTTCTTCCACCTCCTCTCCAGCCAACTATTCATGGAAGTGATCCGGCGCAAAAATCCGCTTCTTCGTCTCCGTCCTCTTCCTCTTCCCCCTCCGATTCGTCCTCATCTTCTTCGGATGATGAAGGGGATATAATCAGCGTCTCCGGAACTAGACGGAGGTTTAAACATCGAAGACACCCATTTGCTGTCTCAAGTTCACCAGATCCTGCACCTGTTGTCAATCCAAATGAGACACTAAAAGTCATTGACCTTACGGGAGACTCGCCGCACCCAGATGAGTTTGACATCGCGACACCACCTCTAAACCCGGTGCAGGTCGAGGTGCCGCGGGTGGACCCTAGTCTGTACGAAAGCATGTCTCCTGTTTCAGACCTCAATCGTAGCAAGGTCTTCAAAAGAGAGGGGTCTCAGCGGAGCAGATCTGTTTCACTACCTGACATCGATGACTACGAAGCACTTAGGAAATTAGACTACTCTTATTTAGAAGAGCGTCGAGATCCGCGTCGCTTGCTGGCCAAGCTAATCGGCAACCTTACGCCTAAGGACAGACTGAACATGGCCGAGCGTATCCCAAGCAGATATGAGGAAGCAGATCTCCGCGACCTCACTGTGCGAGCCTTAGAGTTAATGCTTGAGAGTCGAGACAGAATGGAAGACATGGAATATACCGAGAACTTGTTTATCATGCGCGCCGCGTCTTTTTACATTTCCTGGGTTACCTGTTCCCATCTTACGGCCAGGGGTATTCGCTCAAGCATGGTCCGTAAAACTCTAAGGCAAATGGAAGGCTACAGGGAGTTTTACAAGGAGCTGTCTTACCGTTTGGCAGCGTATTGCGACTGGGAACGAAACAATGGGTCCGAGCAAACTGGCATCTCTGATACGCCCCATAGGACCAGAAAGCGAGCAGTCAAAGAGAGTGAAGCCGCTAAAAGCGCACGCGCAAACGCGCAACGCCGTGTTGCGGTGCAAGAAAACTCGGCAAAGAAATACATGGAAAGCATGGGCGCAGCCAATACCGATCATACAAATCAGGTTGTGAGCTTTGGAAATCCACCGATTCACTTGCACCAGGCCATCGCACGCCTAGCGAAACCACATCAGTTGCAAGGTATCCAATTCATGTGGCGAGAACTGATCGCCGACGAAACTCATCAAGGTTGTTTGCTGGCCCACACAATGGGTCTGGGCAAGACAATGCAGGTCATATCGCTTCTGGTGACAATATCCACCGCGGCTCATTCCCCCAACCCTGATATCGTGCAACAGGTGCCCGAGCAGTTTCGTCGTTCTCAGACGTTGGTGCTTTGTCCTTCATCGTTGACTGAAAACTGGCACGAAGAGCTCCATAAGTGGACTCCTCCAGGTGTCAAGCTCGGACCATTCTTCAAATTCACAAGCAATGATTCGCTTCCTGAGAGACTTGAAACAGTTCGTATGTGGTATGAAAAGGGTGGGATTCTTCTTTTGAGTTACGACATGTTCCGTAACTGGATCATGAACAAGGAAACCATGAAGAGGTCCAAGCCTTTGACGGATACAGACCATGAGGATGTCAAAGGGTGGCTTCTTGATGGCCCCAACATCGTCATTGCTGATGAAGCTCACAGGATGAAGAACTCGACTTCTGGAGTCGCCTTAGCAGCAATGCAAATCAAGACAAAAAGCCGCGTTGCTTTGACCGGCTCACCACTCGCGAACAATCTTACGGATTATTATGCTATGGTGAATTGGGTCGCAGAGGGCTATCTGGGAGATGCGCGCGAATTCCAGGCAAACTATGTAGAGCCTATCGAGGAAGGCCTTTATGTTGACAGCACGTACACGGAGCGTCGCAGGTCCCTTGTGAGGCTCAAGGTACTCAAGGAGAACCTCGAGCCCAAAATCAACCGTGCAGATATCTCTGTTCTTGCCGGAAGCTTGCCTCCCAAGGTTGAGTTTGTCATCACTGTTCCTTTGACAGACGTACAGCAGGCCGCCTATAATTCATACGTGGCGTCGATCTTGCAGGGCAGATGTGACATCAACCGGATGGAGATTTTAGCGTGGCTCGCGGTTCTTGGACTCTGCTGCAATCATCCAGCATGCTTTAGGGATAAGTTGCTGAGCAGATTCAACGATGCCCAGAGGCTCGACATCAGGATGGAAGAAGTCGAGAAAGCTCCGGGTGACGAGCCTATCTCGCAGCTGGGCCTTGATTTGGCACGGTTGCAGCATGAACAAGAACAGATCTACTCTGCCGTTCCCGATATCAAGGCGGTCGAGCTATCTCATCGTGCCCGGATCGTACACGATATTATAGCCGAATCTGTCCGAGTGGGAGACAAGGTTTTGGTATTCTCACATAGCCTTCTCACACTCGACTACGTCGAGGGCCTCCTTAGGTCGTCGGGATGGAAATACAGTCGTTTAGACGGGCAAACACCAGTTTCTCAGCGACAAGGAGCGACTAAGCGGTTCAATGGAGGCTCTCCCGAGCTCATCTATCTTATTTCGACCCGCGCGGGAGGGCTTGGTCTCAACATCCCTGGCGCAAACCGTGTGATTATCTTCGATTTCACCTTCAACCCGGTTTGGGAGGAGCAAGCTGTGGGACGTGCGTATCGTTTAGGCCAGCAAAAACCCGTTTTTGTGTACCGATTCCTCTCGGGCGGTACATTCGAGGAGGTCATGTACAACAAGACTGTCTATAAAACGCAGCTTGCCTTCCGTGTTGTCGACAAGAAGAATCCGGTCCGTTGGGCGTCAAAGAAGCTTGGCGAATACCTCTTTCCGGTCAAGGATATACCGCACACAGATGTTTCCGAGTACTTTGGAAAGGACCCTGAGGTACTAGACAAGATCCTGGAAAAAGACGCTCGCTCTGACGAAAAGATCATTCGGAAGATCGGTCTGACCGAAACCTTCCAGAAGGAAGATAACGACAAGCTAACCGAGGAAGAGAAGCGAGAGGTACTGGAAGAACTCAGCGATGAACGCCTCAGACGTCTCGATCCGGCCGCTTGGCAAAGAAGAATGGATGAAAAGCAGAGAATTGCGCTTGGCGTAACGTACTCACTTTATCAACAACACATGGCACACCCTTCTTCGATGCATATAACACAAACTTCTGCGAATCTCATGGCACGGGCTCCCTACCCCCATCAATATTCGCAGCAACCGCCTCCGATGCCTCAGCCCCTGCCAACTCAGCCGACGGTTTCACCGAGCGCTCACAATGTCGACCCTCCTGCTTTCCCTCCTGATTTCATTCATTTTCAATCACCAGGTGTGGTGTACAACCCTCTGCAACCACCACCGCCTCATACCAACCCCATAATGTCTCACCCTTACTCGCAGCCAGCAACGCCATATTCGGCTACTATGGATGACGGTTTCACAATAGGGGGTGACGCTGAATACTACCCACGACCCACAGATCCTTTTACCGCTGTGCCGGTGCAAACAACCGCATCGCAGAGTGACGGCTCCTATTCCCCACCCCCTCTCAACACCGCAATCTCTGTTCCGGTGCAAGCAGCCACGATGAATTCTGACGACGAATACTTCCCTCCGTCTCCGAATCCTCCCAGTGTCATTCCAGTGTCAGGTGGCCAGGAGCAGCATACCATTGCGAGCACCCCATTGAGCGATAACAACCATGCTGTTGAACAACATGTGGCTACTGCAGCTGTTCAAGATATGCCCACTCTACAGCAGAGAAAGCCACCCACTACCCATGGGGAAAAGACCAGCTGCAAGCCTCAGTAAAGCACCAAATCTGCAACAAAGAAGCATCTCTCTCACCAGTCAATTGTGATTTGACTCTCTTCAACCTATCAAGATTGTGAACCATGCCTCTGTGCAGGTTCTTAAGACATCTCTCACGCTTCTTCTATTCTTCAAGCGAGCTGGCGTCAAATGCAAGCTCTGCTTACCGTTACCCTTTCTTCTGTACCTATTGCCGCTGTTTCCCTTCACAGCACAAATTAATCTTCGGAGCCTTGTACAATACCCCAACACATTACTTTGCGAATATCTTCAGAAGCGAACGGCATTGATCCCAGGCCAGGCCGAGTGGATTCCCTCTTCGCATTTCTCTGCCTGGCATCGCGAAGCGAGCACTCCCCTTTCTCTACAACATCTTTTCTTCCTCTGTATCCTCTTGAGCGAAATCATGATACCATTTCGCATTGAATTTGTTCCCGTTGAGATAGCTAAGTATGAAATGGTGGGTTTATAGTTGTTGTGGGGATTCTTTCTTCTCTTTTGTGATTTTGCATTGCACATTGACTCTGCACTTACATCTCTATTCCATTTGCGTCAAACACGGAGCAATACAATTTTTGTGGTGATGGCTTTTGTGATCATTGTGCAGGATGGGGTATTGGTGATACAATTACAAAGCTCGGAATGAATATGAACGATATTTTAATGAGTCATGACAATTCTCGCCTGAAGGGTGTTCAGTATGAGTACTAGAGTAGGTAAATGTAGAAATATCTTCTGACTCTGTACGGGGAGATCATCTGAATCAAGCGTGCGTCCTACAATTTATGGGAATCTCAGCCTTCGAAGATAAGCGCTAGTTGAAAAACCCGAAATAGATTATGGCAGACATCTTCTACGCTATCAAGTAACAGTGACATCGTCAGACTCCGGGGCGGACATGGAGAATATGTGTAAGACTCGACTTCAGTGGTGATGATTTTCATATGTACAGTACAACACCCCGCTCATCTACTTCAACAGCGACTCCAAGTCCGCGACCCTGGTGGCCTTATCGTCGCTTTTCTTCTTGGCGGACGTCTCGCGGAACGCAGCTAGCATCAGCTTGCGCTTGGTCTCCTGGATGGCCAGCACGCGGTCCTCGATGCTATCCTCCATGACGAGGCGCCAAATGGTGGTCTCGCGCTTCTGGCCCAGCCGGTAGACGCGGTCGACGGCCTGGTCCTCGATGGCGGGCGCCCACCAGCTATCGGCGAGGATAGCCTGGTTAGCGGCGACGAGGTTCAGTCCGACGCTGCAGACACTCAAGCTGGCGAGCAGAACGGTGCAGGCGGGATCGGTGGCGAAGCGCGTCGTGGAGTTGTCGCGGGCGAGCGAGTTCATCTTGCCGTCAATGCGGGCGAAGCCGATGCCGTGGCGGCGGAGGTGGGGCTCCACAAGGTCCAAGAACGAGGTCCACTGGCTGAAGACTACGGTCTTGGTGTCCGCAGCCTGGCCCTGCGCCGTCAGGATCTTGACCAGGGCCTCGATCTTGCTGCTCGGGTTGTCTGGGTCGGCGTCGACGGTGTCGGTGCTCTCGCCCATCTCTGCGGCCGGTGAAACTAGCGTCGAGTTGTCGTCGATGTCGGCGCGGCACATCGGGCACTTGTGTTGGCGGTCGATCACTTCCTCGATGCATTTCCGGCAGAATGCGTGCGCGCAGGCGGTGATCACCGGTTGTTGTTGCTGGATGGCGTCGAGGCAGATGGGGCAGGAGTCCTGGCTTTCGATGCGGATCTGGAGGACGTCTTGGAGCGCTTTGATGTTCTCGGGCGTCAGGGGCACGACTTTGTGCTTCTCGAGAAGGCCCGCGAGCTTGTCGATCCGGTTTTTGCAGAGTGCCCAGTGGTTGCAGACCTGTCGTAGGCGGAGGATGACTTCGAGAAGGTGAGAGTATGTGGCGCCGGCTTTGTCCTTAGATTTGAAATCTATGAGCATGCCTTGCGCCTCGGATCTGGGAAAGTGTTAGTGAGCTAGTGACAGTGGATGAGGACGTTAGTGGAACATACTGGAACATATCGTATTTCTCTTGCTCGTGGGGATGAAATTTGATACGCAGCACACGAGAAGTGAGCGGGGGAAGACGCAAATTCACGAAGTTCATGTCCTTCCGACCACGCAAGCAAATGGTGCTCATCAGAGCCTGAAGCAGCAAGCGCGCATTGGGGTCTTCGGACATGAGGGGTCGGATTAGGACGCAGTTGAACACAGACATGTCTTCAAGACCACCAGTGAACCGAAGGAAGCGAACCTGGGAATAAAGATCCTTGAGCGTGTTCACAATAGGGGTTCCTGTAAGCGTCCAGCGCGAGTCTGCCCTAAGGTTACAAGCAGCAATAGAACCTTTAGACCGGGGATTGCGAATCGTATGTCCCTCGTCAAGCACCACGCGACGCCACTGAAGTGAGAAGAGGCCCTTCTTGGGAGGCACCTTGTCGTTCGGGTTGTACTCCATAGCCAAAGCACCATAGCTGGTGATGACAATGTCATACTGGTCAAGATTTGCGGCCTCCTTCTTTCCTTGCCCATGATAGACATGCACCTTAGGGGCTCGGTCACTGTGGGTGTGGTCCTGTGCTTGAGTTTTCCAGTTGCTCATCACACCAACCGGAGAGATAATCAAAGTGGTCTTGGAAGACGCTGGAGTCTTGGGCTGGGAATTTGCAAGAATTAAAGAGATAATCTGAATCGTCTTGCCAAGACCCATGTCGTCGGCCAGGATGCCACCACTAGCCAAGGGCGGTGCTTGAGAGGTAGAGTAATTGGTAGCGATGTTAGTAAACCTGTTGCCTTTTCTTTTCCACAACTGCACAACCTCTGCAGATCCAGCTGCAGGAAGTACGGGATTTTCTTGAGCAATCATCCAAGCCAGTCCCTGGCGCTGATAAGGAAGGAGCTGCGTTGCTAGAGCCTCCGGACTTTCAGCCATCGGCATCTTCTCCAGATCCGCCTCTTTCATGCCAAAGTCTTCGGCCACTTGACCGATATCTCTAGGGTTGAAAGTGCTGCTTTGGCCGATCAGCTCCTCAAGACTCTCCTGACCCTCAAGATCCAGATTGTCTTCCCCTGCGTAGAGATTCGAGTAGCCAAGGTTACTTGAAAGCTGCCAATCCTCTTGCCCCTTGCCCTGTGCCATAGCACGAGCCAGCTTGGCCGCTTGCTTCTCGGCTTTCTCGCGCTCCTTTTCCTGTTTACGCTCTTCGCGCTCCCTTTGTTTGAAGGCATTCAGAGGCAGCCTGTCCTCTTCCATATTACTTTTGAGAGCCTGTCTGGCTGCAGGATTACTCGTGCCAAAAAGTCTCAGCACGATAGGACAGTCATACGCACCAATAACACCAGTGAGCATGCCCTCAGCGAGCAAAGACCGTGAGTCCTACACGAGTCATGTTTTAGCAAATGGCGACAGAGGTACTGTACACGCGCGCGCGTTCTGGGCAGCGTACCAGATACTTTGCCAGTTTGGCTGCCATAGTTCTCGGAATATGGCCAATCTGGTTGCCCATCACATTGTCGACTCGAATCGCATTTCTGTCGTACTGATTCGTTGGTTCACGTTTGACGATGACATGCTCACCGATGGTCGCATATCCTCTGTAGTAGCGCACGCCCACAATCTTAGTGTGCAGATCGCCGTAATGCATCAAAGGACCAGATTCCTCTACATCTTGGCTGCTCTGGACCAGGTCCGCAGCTTGGGCGTCATCGTCCTCATCACTCCCGGGGAACGACTGTGATGACTGGCTGAGAGGGACATAGGCTGTTTCTTGGCCAGAGCGCCGGCTGAGGCGGGTGCGAGGCAGCTTGGTAGGTCCCGCTGGGTTGTTGTTGTTGGAGGGGAGGTCGACATGGTCGATGCGTCGCTTTTCTGGGGGAAGGCCCATATTGGCACAAGTTGTGCCTGGCTAAGCACCGGGGGGATTTTCCGCGAATGGAGAATTAGACTTAGTTTAGGTGTTGATACATGTAGTAAGCCTGAGGACTACCTAAAGATGGATGATCTCCATTCGAAGACGCGCTCAAACACGAAGCCATGTGACTTGCTGGCATGTGACTCTCACTCCCCCTCGATATTCGCCAGTTGACGGCCATGATGTCATAAGTACAACTCCACTGAAGTGGCAACCTTCGATCATGTCTCGATAAGCATCGCTAAACTAGTTATAACTGTCTGAGGATGTGTCAAGCCCTGCATAACATTCTGCATATAACTGACCAGTGTGAACTTTGAAGATGACACGACTCTCCCTTGCTTTGCACCTACAGTGCTCCGCATAGCGCACCGATGACAGATGGCAAGCTCCGAAGCAATCAACAAGGGGGAGGGGTCATTGGGCCCCTACTTACCATGGAGAAAAAGCAAAGAAGAGGGAACCGAAAAGAAAGATAGACACTGACTCGAAACCCCTTGCGTTGACGAATCAACCAGGCCCGCCTCGTAATTCGGGGCCGGACTATTAGGTTGAAGATCTGCCTTCCCTTTTTCGGTCTCTCGCCCCCCCAAAGTCAATGCCACCACTTATCCACCATTTTGCTGCAAATTAGCGTTACTTCCTACCAGACCTACAAATCATAAACTCGACGTCTATAATTTCATTGTTGGCGTCACTATTCGGTTCGATCCTCCTATGGCCGCCACCCCTCCCCTTCCTTTCTATCGCCAACTCGTCGAAAACTACCATAGTCACTACGAATCACTGATTCGGAATGGCGAGGCGAAACCAGTGCTGTTATGGCACTTGATTGCCCTACTTCTGCTTCCAGTTCCAGCACTCCTGATTCCGCGTCGCAAGGGTGGCCGCTATGTCCGCCTACTTGTACTGGCTTGCGTTCTCGGCGCGGTGATTCACTTCTTGCGCCACCGTCGGATGCTGCTGGGAGGCTATGGATACATGGGAGGTCTGCTACCAGCATGGTGGTCCATCTGGTGTGCAGTCTGGCTAGTCTACCGAGATGCTGAGCACGAATGTCGACGGATTGTACGAACGACGCTTCCCGAGTCCCTAGCTTCGAATGGACAGCCCGCCACTGATGTCTACAGCAACAAGACTCTCGCGGAGCCGAATACCGCTGATTCCGCTCAATCGCATGTCGAAAATCTTGCATGGCAGTCGTATCCGCAGTCTCTGTCCCAACGCCTGGATTGGGTTTTCAGCTTGTTATACGGCATGCGCGGACCCGAGTGGAACTGGCGCATCTCGTCTCTCGACCCATTGCCCCCGTCAGTCCACGCCCAGTTGAAAGCCAAAGACCCGTCCTTCCGTGCTGTCGAGGCAGCGGCGGCGGCGGGGGAGAGCCGAGCAGACGCCGCGATCAGGAGGCGCGTGCGCTCCGCGCTGGCGACCTGCTTGCGCTCGTATCTCGTTCTGGACCTGATCAAGCTGCTCATGATCCGCGACACGTACTTCATGACCAGCGGGGACATGGCGCTGGCCCCGCCGTACCCCTTCACAGGTCTAACCGCCGTGCCGGGCCTGGTCCGGTTCTACCGACTGGCCGTCACCGGCTTCGGGATCCACGCGGCGCTGTCCTTCGTGACATCCTTCAACCCGCTCATCTTCGGCGGCCTGTCCATCCTATTCCCCAACGCCGCCCGCGGCCTGACTGCCGTGCCCCTTGACGCCGCCTGGCTCTACGCCGACACCTTCGGCCCCTTCCTTTCCTCCATCCTGGACCACGGCCTGATCGGCTGCTGGAGCAAATGGTGGCACCAGCTCTTCCGCGTCGGCTTCACCTCCACAGGCCGCTGGCTGCAGTCGCTGCTCCCCGCACCCGTCGCCTCCCTCCCCGGCGTGCGCCAGCTTGTCTACACCTTCGTGGCCTTCGCGCTCAGCGGCCTGGTGCACTCGTGCGGCAGCTACGCGCAGATCGAGCACACAACCCCCGCGCACGGCCCAATGCGCTTCTTCCTCCTGCAGGCCGTCGGCTTCGTCGTGCAGGGCCTCGTCGCTAACCTCCTGGTCCCGCGGTTGTTACTGCTGGTTGTCGGCAGTGGCGCGAAGCAGCAACCCTTGCTATTTAGAGGTGTGCGGCGCGCCGCGAACCTGGCCTTCGCGGTTGGCTGGCTGTATCTGACGGCGCCGGCGATCGTGGATGATTTCGCGAGGGGCGGGCTGTGGTTGACGGAGCCGTTGCCTGTGAGTCTGTTCAGGGGGCTCGGGATCGGGGTCCACGAGGAGGATCGCGGGTGGTGGTGTTGGGGTCTGCCTTGGTTTGCGTATTGGGATGATGGGTCGTATTGGGGGAGGGGGGTGCGCGTGGTTTAGATAGAGATTCCTTTGGTCCTTGTATAGACTAGTTAGATTGGGGGTGTATATGACGGATCTAGAAGGGTAACAGCTAGAATGAGACTCCGAGAGATCGATGTAGGAGTCTTGAGCGTTGCGGAGCTTTGGAATGATTCTTGGGTTAAGACATTACGGTATATGACAGAAGTCACGCAAATAGAGTCTGTGCAACCAGACGTACTTCATACATTCTCTTTTTGGTATCTCTAAGCGGGCATGGCATATCCATAAAATCACATCTATTTTCAACTCTTCTTCGTGTTTACTCGTCCTCGTCCTCATCGTCCGTGTCCGGATCAATGTTCAGCGTAGGCATTTCATCGTCACTCTCATCATCGCCCGCTGCCTCGGCAACGGCGCGCGGCTGCGGCGTCGTTGTCGACATCGACGCCGACGGCCCGGTCATCGAAACGACGGGCTTAGGGGCGGCTGTAGCCGTGATGGAAGACGAGGGGACAGAGATAGCGGCTGTCCCCGTGAACGTAGCTGGCGAAGCTGCACCCAGCGACGGTTGAGCGGGAGCCTTCGGTTCCTCGGCTTCCACTCGGACCTTCTTGCTCTGTGCGCCCCCAGTCGCGGTGGAAAGCGCTGGTGTCGGCACCTCGGTTTCCTGCGCGAAACTCCGTTTGTTCATGGTGGGGCTAGAAGACTGAGGGGTCATTTCAACGTCCATCATGTCCTGGTGAAGATTTGGGGTGACAGAAGGCTTGAGGAAGCCACTGGTTTCCGTGGAATTTTGAGGCTCAAGCACGGTTTCCGTCTCCTCTTCGTCTTCATCATCGGCTACGGTGTAGCCGTTGACACCAGGGGCATTCATCAGTACGGGCATACGTGGGCGGATGAGAGCATCCACTTCCATTTCTGCAGGATGGCTGCGCGCCAGGAAAGGCATGATACTGATGCCCACGCCACGGCCCTGCATGGTGGCGAAGGGGTTGAGGACGCTCGCCAACATTGCGTTCTTGTCGGAGGTCATGATGATGGTTCGGTCGATTTCGGCGCGCAGGGCGGGGGTGATGAGCTCGGTCGGGGCGTGCGACAGAACAGCCACGAGAAGCTCGGAGGCGGCCCGTTTCAGTTCTACAAATGAGGGGGAGCTGCTCAGCTGACGGCTCGGCTTCAGTCCAGGGTTCAGGAAGGAGTCCGCGTTTACGGTGGCTTGGCTGGACTTCGACTTCGACTTCGGGTCAGACTTCTCTGCAGCCGCAGTCTGGTTACTCGGAGGAGGCAACAAGTCGTGGCAGCAGGCTCGGAGAACTCCTGTCAACGAAGTGACACCTTGTTTGGTCATGCATGGGCCCATATGTGAGAGCAGTGTGCGTACAAGGTCGTAAACTGCGGTTCGCACTTCTCGACTGAACTTTTCAGCACGGAAAACCCAAAGAGCTTGCTCCAGGATCGTCTGTGCGACAGGAATGATAGCCGTTTCGAAGGTTTTGACAATGCCAACAAGTAGCCTGAGACAGGCTGCGTGGATTCGAGGCAGCTCTGTAAGCAGGTGTTCCCTTTCGGCTCGGCCAATCTGCGGGTTGGCTTGGATCTCGCCGTCAGACGGGTACGTCACCATATTCAAGCGTGCAGTGAGATCCAAGATTGAGCCCAGGGGGACCGTCACAGTGGACGCTGTAGCGGTATCCAAGAATCCAGAAAGCATGCGCAGAAGCACGACGAGCCGATTCACACCAGCAGGCAGGCCCTGCCAGCTACTCAAGCCCAACGCGTCAGGTCCATTTCCCACCTCCTGGCTATAGTTCTGTGGCTGAGACAATTGACGCAATGATGGGTCGACCGATTCCCACTGCTCAACGACCGCTCTCAAGATATACGAGGACGTGGCGTGGATAGACGTGATAGTCATCCGACAGGCGTTCTTCCATTCTTCGCCGGAGGTGTTCTTCGGGGCGCAGTTGTGCAGAGAAATGAACAGCTGCTGCGCTATTTCCAGAATGGGCTCAGGATATGTGGGCTCGGTCGAGCCAATAATGGACTGGAGAACACTATGAATCTGCGCCGTGAAAGGTCGGAAGATTGTAGGGTGCCTTGCAATCAGCTCCCCAAATGCATTAAGAACAATGTCCAGGAAAGGAGTGTTGGGCTTCAACTTTCGGACCGGTTCGGAGGATGGCTTGATGGAAATCAAGTTCAAGGCAGAGGTGATGAAGCCAGGCAGGGAAGGCGTTGTGATCTCGCGAACGAGGGTTGGGTATTGGTAAGTCAAATGGAAAATCCTTGTCAACGTGATGATGGACATTTTCTTCGTAGAGACAGGATCGGATTTCTTCATCGAATGAACCGAAATTTAATTAGCAGCCAGTAAAGCATAAGATCACAGAGGGAGCATCTTACAGCCAAGATCCCAATCAGTCCGCGAACAAACGGTTCGCTTCCACGAAGAACCTCCCATTGACCAGCTTCCACCAAAGTCTTGACAAGAACGACCGCTGTCCAGCGACCTTCAACGCTTCGATCCTGCAGCAGACTGGCCAGCCGCGTCATAAGCTTGTGAACCTGAACCGCATTGTCCGAGTCCGATTTGGATTTCTGGCTCTGCGGAGTGGACAAAAGCTCCCCGCAATTGCTTAACGAAGCTGCGAGAGATGATGCGAGCGGAGGCAGCTGCTTGACGGGGATATTGGTCAAGCGATGATTGACCGCGTGGAGGGACATTGCCATGTAAGCCATTGCGACCAACTCAGCGCCTGGAGCACCGAGGAAGCAATTGAGGAAGAGTAGGTCCCGAGGCGCAAAAGTTGAGATAACTTTCTTTCTGGTTCTCCAAATTGAGACGGGGGGAAATTTTTTAGGGAAGCAGCTCGGGCTGGACCGCGGAACGGTAAAACCGGCGTAAGTTACCGGGAGAGGGAGCGGGTCTCCTTTTCCCCCTAATAATAATCAACCGGCGGAAGGATGATCGCTGCCCGGCGTCAGTTCAATCTCGATTCTGCTCCACTACTGCCACTGCTGCCTCCCAGGTGGCATTGCAGTCATTCTTTCTTTAATCTATCATTGCATTATTATGAGCCGGTCTTTCTCTCCTCTCCTCTCCTCTCCCTTCTTGCTATCTCTCCCTCAGCGTCTGCGTCTCACCTAGCTCAATCATGACGGTATGTTGCGGTATACTCAATTGGCACTGCCATGAAACCTCCCCTCTTCCCCTCAATTCGGCAAATCAGACACTTTACTGATTACCTGTCCCCATCCTTAGGGTCGAGACTCTGATAAGGGGCATCGCTACATCATCGCCTTGGAGAATGCGCGCTGCCAGGATAAGTGGGATGAAGTTCCAGAATTGATCCGAAAGGTGACCAAGCATGCTCCGCAGAAGACATGTAATGCCAACTTGCCCTTTGCACCACAATAATCCTCAGCTGGCGCATGAGCTGACTACGTTTACTCTCCAGGTCTCCTAGAGGTCGCCAGCGCAGAATACCAAATCGCATCGCACATCCACAAAGAAGCGTCGACTCCCCGGTCAACCTCCGCTTCTTCCAGCCTCCATGAATTGGTTCCGCCCCTCCTTTCCACCGTTAATAGAGCAGAAGGACCTAAGCAGGAGGTGTTTCAAGCACAAGTCTGCCTGGGATGGGTACATTGGACGCTGAATGAACCAACCCTGGCAACATCTCGGTTCCCCGCCAACTTCGGGGAAACCATCCATGATCTCGAAAGTGCGGGGGAGGAGCTCTCCCCGTGGACGCAGGCTTGCCTTGTCAAGGCTTGCTATCTGAAAGGTGCGTTCCTTCACTCGTAACATCCGCAATATCTTGTTTCATAACGCTGATTCATGCATAGCTGCCTCACAACGCATGATGTCGGACGCCGGCGATGCCCTGGACACTCTTGAGTCGCTCATACCGTGGTTGAGTAGCCACTTGCAGGGTTCCGCCTTGAGTAATCCTCAGTTCCTTTACTGGTCTGAGAGGCTAGTAGCTGAAGGCGCATCCATCACGGTGGAAGATGCTCTCCGTGACATTGGCGCCACTGATGCACAAACCGTGACCACCGCGCTAGGCTTCCTCCGATTATGGGCTTCTCATCCTAACATAAAGCAAGCGACTGCTTCTCAGTCTGTGCCTGCGGATAACGCCACGGGTTCGGCACTTCGATCGTCTCTTTGGAAATCATACTACGACCTGTTGACAGCGATTTTGAGACATGGGGTGCCATACAGCCCCTCGACGAACGGACCCGAACGTCCGCAGTTGGCCAGCGAGATACGACGCGTTGAGGCTGTTTGCGAGGCAAACCTCCTACGCGAGACAAAGTTTCCTGCCGCCGACTCCAGCAACCCACATGTCGAAGACTGGGTTGAAGAAGTGATGTCCAATTGGCAGGTGCTTTGCGGTCCTACCTGGACCGATGAAGAACTTGGAGAAGGAGGCCAGAACGCTGTTGGCAGAAACGTTCTCGATGTATGGATCCCCCATCCGAAAGGCAAATCAGAACTGCAGGAGATCGGCCCATCGTACTAATGCTGTCGTTCTAGATCCTTTACCGCGCTGCTACCAAAACGTACCATTCGCATCTGATTCTGCGGCGTCTATTTCATGTCCATTGCGCCCTAGGCGACTCTGCTCTTGCGATCAAGGCGCTTGATTCGTACATCGAAATCGTCACCAGCGCCAAACACAGGGCTGAGAAAGGAGCAGAGTCTGGTGAATTAGAAAATGATGGAACCCTGCTTCGCACTATCGCCGAGGGCGTCACCGTGTTGTGTTGCTTCGGCTCCGAGAAAGAGGCCGAAAAGGCTAGAGACTTGACGCAGTTGTTGAAGGATTTTGCCGCAAAGCATGTTCAGGAAAACAAGGATCAAGACCAAAGGGTTGTCGTCATTACGCCCGAAACGAACTCTACTGCCTCTCAAGTCGTTTCTCCATTGGATATTGCCGCGGCGTATAGAGGCATTGGTATAGGACTGGCCAACTGGGCGTACTGGACCCCTATCAATGAAGATCGTGACGATATTCGCGCGGAGGCAATTGACTATCTTGACAAAAGCTTGGCACCGGAGCTTGAAGACGGGTCTAACCGTTCCTCACTTTACACTCTGGCACTTCTGTTGGCCGAAGACAGAGACATAGACGGTGCTATTGAGTATGTCCGATCGGCGTTGACATCAGATACACAACCACGATCCGGACAAGCCGACTTTACTCGCGAACGGGAACTTGTTCCCCTGTGGCACTTACTTGCTCTTCTTCTTAGTGCGAAGGAAGATTTCGATATCGCCGAGCGCTCTTGTGAAGCGGCTTTTGAGCAATTTCCAGCCACAATTACGTCTTTGGCTCATAGCGATAGACAGCCACCCAAGCATCACCATAACCCTCAGGAGCAAGCCGTCACTGGTTTGACGCAAGCACTTATTGATCAACTTCGAAACCGCGAGAAGGAGCGTATCATCGAGACTCGCATGACTCAGCTCGCATTTGTTGAGCTCCTCGAGGGGCCAGAGAATGCTCTGAATCACAGTGAACAGCTCCTCAGTCTTTTTGCCACCTTGTTTCGCTCTTTGAACCTTGAAACCGATGAAAAACCCAGTAGCGCTCCGGCCGACCATCTTGTCCCACCTAAAAGCTCTGCAGGAACAGTGAAGAGTCTCAGGGGGAGTATCTTTGGACGGCATCGTGGGCCACGTGCAAAAACAGAATCAGCTCCTGATTCTAGGGCTGAGGGTCATGCGCCCTCTCACACTGGTGCCGCACCCGCTTTACAAATTACTGGCGATGCTCCAGCCGATAGCCAGGCTCCGGCTGGGCATGGACTTCGGAAGTTGCGGACGAGGGGCAATACTCTCCAGAAAACGGATGGCGTGCAAGAGCAAATTTCCACTCAATCGATCGGCAACACCGCAGCCCAGGCAGGTCCTGATACTGTGCCTCAGCCGCCTTCTGCAACTGTGGTTGGAATGGCAGTCGCCGATGCAGCCACACAGCCGTCAACTGCTAGACAGTCGTTGGAATCTATACCTCATAACCAGAAGCATGATGAACAACCCCCGCCAACCGGCCACCCTCATCAACCTCCCGTACAGGACACTCGACTTCCTCTATCTTACGCATTCGACTCCCCCACCCGAGCCGTGACCAAGGTCCCACCAATCCAATCCCAGAAGCACGCTCTTTCTATACTTGTCAACATCTGGCTGCTTATTGCTGGACTCTATCGCCGCGCGTCATCGTTCGAAGACGCACACGAAGCGTGCGAGGAAGCATCCAAGCAGATTGTACGTTTTGAGAGCCTTGTTGCATCGCAGGAGTCATCCGCACGGGCGTTCCGCGAACGGGGATGGGCCTGTCCAAAGAGTTGCCAGGACCTCTGGGCCGACCTTTATGCGGAGCGGGGTCTCTTGTCAAACGCACAGGCTCGCCCGCATGAAGCAATCGAGCATTTTGAAAAGGCCCTTCGGCACGAGATGGATCACCCGAAAGCCACAATTGGTCTGTCCAGTCTGCTCCTCGACATCTGGGATCGGAAAATACCTCTGGAGCCTCCAACAAGAGGGATTGAACTTGATCCCTCTATGTTCCCTTTGTCCTACCCTCTCAGCGAGCACAGGCAGAAGTCAGGTCAAGCTGATTCAGCTCTTCCGAATGAAGATGGTGCTGAAAAAGAGGAAGAGCCTAGACTTCTCAACCGCATTGCAGCCCGGGAGCGGGCTTTCGGCCTGCTCTCAGCCTTGACGAAACGAGGCAGCTCCTGGGACAACAGCGAGGCTTGGTATGCACTGTCCCGAGCATATGAAGCAGTGGGACAGATTGAGAAACTGAAAGAGGTGCTATGGTGGTGTATCGAGTTAGAAGACCGTCGGCCTATTCGACCCTGGTCCAGCATCGGCTCTGGTATATATGTGCTTTGAGTATATATGTTTAGGCCTGCATCAAGCGTTATCCTTCGTTCATTCTGCTGGTCTACTTAATATCATACCTCCATGAACTTTGTGTCCATAGAGCAGAGCGTACCAGATAGTATTGGCAGGTGGAAGAAAGGAACATAGAATAATTGGGGATAGGGTTGACGATTTTGAACTAGAAAACAAGACATCTTTATGTACACATCAAGTCCAAGACATGGAACGATTTTGCTTGGCGGTCGATGGATCTACCGGGGAGCCGCAACCGGAGTCCAAGCAGAGTACTTGGGGCGGGTGCTAGAACCTATGATTAGCGTGCTTGTCCGAGTACTCAAGGAAAGAAGCAGAATTAACTCACGTCGAGTAGGTCTTGAAAGCAGCGCGGCTCAGGGTCAGGGTGGGGCGGTGTTCAGGCAGCTCCCAGGCGCGCACACCGGTCTGCAGGGCCTTGTCTACCGTAGGAGGAGCGTCGACCATGTAGGAGATCCAGGCGTGCCTAGAGTAAGAGTCAGCGACGGAGTCCGCTTGAGTATCAGGAGAACGAGTTCTCACCATCCGGGCTCGATCTGAGAGGGGTCGTATTCGTGCTCCTTGTAATCCACCCAGCGCGTACGGACTAGACGATCGTCAACAGGAGGTCGGCAGCGTCGGCTTTCGACTTCACTCACGAGGAAGCTCCTCCTCCATGTTCTCGTAGAACTTGTTTCCGTAACGGTCGGTGCCAATGTAGGTACCGGCCTTGGTATCACCTGCAAGTGCCATTGCGTCAGACATTTAACTCATTTGCGATATTCCTTCTCGGCATGGTGGACTCACCGATGTACTAATTGTCGCAGAGAGCGGAAAGCGTCAGTATCTCTCCTGTCCAATTCCATCACTCCGGAGCTCCGATGGGTACATACGTTCATCTGGTGGCCGTATTCCTGTGAGGGGATGGTGGTTAGCAAGGAGGTTCTTCAAGCGATTGTGGGTCACCCCATGATACTCACCTTGAAACCAATGCGGCGCAAGTTGCGCAGCGTACGGAGAATAGTCGACATATTGTGCGGAAGCGTAGAAGGTCGTCAAGCAACAATGGGCTGTAGACTGGAGATTGGAAACCAAGCTGGCGGTCTCGTCGTCTGTCTCTTCTTGCATCGCCGGCGGGAGTTGCCCGCCCACCCGATACGGCCTAGCCTCAGTGCTTGATGTTTGCCGTGTTTGCACCGTCTCCGTCTCTCCCCCGTTCATCCCGCTTGCGACAGCCGATTGTTCTCCGGGATTTCGGTCTTCTGGTCTTCTTCTGCTGGAACAGAACTGAAGATGTTCGGACGGATTGGGGGCAATGCCTTGCGGTGTGCGGTGCGCCGACCTGGTGCACGGAGGAATCTTCTGTGCGAGCGCAGGTTTTCGGCCCATTCTTCTCATGCCAGTCCCAACTCGACCGTGCCCTCGGCTGCCTCACCTTTGGGCAGTATTACGACCGAGTTGGATCGGATCTCGCCTTGCTTTGAGATCAGTGCGGAGAGGATTGAGATCTTGAACTCTCCTGCTAGCTTCTATAATACCCTCAAGGTATGATCAATCAATTGAGTCGAATTCAGTTACGCTAGATGGGCTCTGGGGGACTAATCTCAAGACATTTTCGAAACTATAGAGCAAAATTCGCAACGCGAAACGACGCATCTATCTCTCGACCTTGTATATCGGCAAGACTGAGCATGAGTTGATCGCGACTTTGGATCAAGCGCTCCGCGCAAACCCCGAGCTCAAAGTGTCCATTCTCACCGACTGCCTTCGAGGAACGCGCGAGTCACCAGATCCTTCCTGCGCATCACTTCTAGCTTCCCTCGTCACGAACCATGGGCCCGATCGTGTGGAAATCCGAATGTTTCACACCCCGAATTTGACGGGACTCAGGAAGAGATGGATTCCCCGTAGAATCAATGAGGGATGGGGTCTGCAACACATGAAGCTGTATGGCTTTGACGACGAGATTATCCTCTCGGGGTATGCTACAGATATTCCTGATGGACAAGCCCAGTCACTAATCCCAAGTGCAGTGCAAACTTGTCAAATGACTACTTCACGAACCGCCTCGATCGATATCACGTCTTCAGCTCGAAAGAGCTAGCTGACTATTACGCCAGCATTCATCATGCTGTCTGCAGCCTCAGCTACCAGGTGCTCCCCGACCCGCACAACACTGCTGGATACCTCCTGGACTGGCCCAAGTCCAATGGTGCACCGTGCCCTCTGGACGACCCAGAGAAGTTCGTCTCGTACTCCTCGACATTCCTGAAACCGTTTGTCCAGCCCAATATCAACAAGAAGAACGCACTTCGGCCCAAGCGTTCCACTCACGCCTACGTCTACCCGGTGGCGCAATTCACTTCTTTGTTGAAACCTGATATCTCCACTGAATTCCCAGCTGTCACCTCCATTCTCCGTCTCCTATCCACCTCCCCCACTTTCTCCGGTGCCCGCTGGCTCTTCACGGCGGGATACTTCAACATCCACCCTGTCCTTTCCTCTCTCTTGATCGCAAGCACCGCCCCGGCGCACACCACATCCACTACGCGTGGCACCGTTCTCACCGCTTCCCCCTGGGCCAACGGATTCTATGGTTCACGGGGCATCTCCGGCATGCTTCCCGCCGCATATACCCATTTGTCCGCCAAATTCCTCGACCAGGTAGCCTTGGCCCAGCGCACGGATTCCGTCCAGCTCAAAGAATGGCGTCGCGGCACCGTCGGGGAGCCTGATGGATGGACCTACCACGCCAAGGGACTGTGGATCACCCTACCCAAGGACGAATACCCCTGCTTGACTTTCGTCGGCAGCAGCAACTACACCAAACGCAGCTACAGCCTGGATCTAGAGGTGGGTGCGGTTGTTGTCACGGAAGATCAGACGCTCAAACGCAGGTTGGGCGCCGAGACGGAGTGGCTACAGAAGGATTCCAAGGCCATCTCGCGAGAGGACCTGCGGCGAACGGAACGACGGGTGAGCTGGAATGTTCGTCTAGCCATGTGGATTGTCGAGAAGGTGGGAGGGGCCTTTTAGATCTGACAGATTCTTTCTTTGTATACCCCCTTGGCATTGATGTATGTATGTATGTATGTATGATATAAGTGATGTCTTGTACAATGATTGCATGAATGAATATGCGGAGGATGTCTAGGCATCCAGCCATATTCGGGATATGAAATTTGAAGAAGCGACCGATTTGAGACTTTTGGAAATCGAAACAGACTCTATCTACTATGGAAGATGGGGCAGAATAACAATCACACCGAGACGCCTATTAGAAAAGCCCACAAATCTTTTTTTCCAGCCAGAACATGCCATGAGTAAAGGTATCGTCGCAATCGTTGAAAGCATGCACACACACAGCAGAAGCAGAAGCAGTAAAGAATCACCCTCTGATCCCACCTCATGCCCGTCCAGAGACTCGTCCAGAGCTACCACCGACCCGCGCTGGGCCCAGACCCTGGCGCACCTCGTCCAGCATCTGGATACCGATCGCCTCGTTGCCGTGCTTACCACGCTTGTACTTGACGCCCTTGCGCTTCGCCTGGGCACCGGTGTTGTCGTCCCAGCCAGCCAGGAAGTCGTCCATGACGGAGGTGAAGTTGTGGCGGGGGTTGACGGTCTGGCCATTGGCATCGACCAGACTGGGGGCCTCGGAAATGGCCGACATGCCTGTCATGGCAGTCATGCCCGTCATACCACTGACCATGGACATGCTGTCGTCGAACTCGTCCTCCTCGTCCAGAGCGTACAGCTGCTCGACGCGGTCAAAGCGATCGTCCAGCAACCGATGGCCCTCCGTGCGCGCCAAGGCGGACGAAGTCATCGAGTAGGCCGAAGGGTTCGTCAACGCGCCCTTGCGCTTCTTGCGGCGAATCGGCGTGCCGCCCACGGTGAACACCGTCGACGCCAGCGTACTCTGCTGCTCAGAGGGCACCACACTGGGAGCCGCGGCCGGGACCGGGGGCTTGGCGCCCGACTTCGCATCCTTCTTGAACTTGGCGAACTCGCGCATCCAGCCCTGGTCCTCGGGATGCATGTCCGGCGCGGGGGCATCATGTTCGGGCATCTCGGCATCATCGGCACCAGCCCTCTTCTCGTACTGCGCCTTCGCGGCCGTCGTATCCGTCTGCACGGGCGCCTTCTCCGTCGCATCAGACTCCCACCCCTCATCCTCCTCGTCGAATTCATCATACAGCGTATCCTCCCAATCGCCCTGATCAATCTCCTCAGCGCGGGTAGTCAACTGCCCGAAGACATCCTCATTATCGTCCTCATCGACATACTCCTCGTCCTCCAGCGCTTCCAGCACCTCGCGCAGCCGCGGGTCCATGTTAGGCTGGAAGCCCGCGATCGCGTCCGGCACGTTCTGCTGATCCTGGTAGGTGGGCTTCCGCGAATACGTCGACGCGGTCGAGTGCATCTCGCTGGGCGCGTAGCTGCCGCCAAACTCACTCCGCTGCTCATCGTCCAGCGACACCTGCCGCAGCGCATCCTCCAGCTTCATCTTCCCCTTGTTCCCGGCGCCGGCGGCCGGGTTCTTGGCCTCGACGAAGTGCGCGTCGCCCGCGCCTGTGCCCAGCTCCCGCAGATGCTGCATGTAGTCATATTTGGTGTCGTCGTAGAAGATGCCGTAGTTGGCTGCCTCGCCTTCGTTCTTGCGGACCGCGCCGGTTCCGAATTGCCGGCTTAGCGTGGCGAGATCCTGGCCCCGGTGGGCGTCGGACGTGCTGCTGCTGCTGGGGGCCGGGCCGGATACCGGGGCCAGCACGCGGTCGTCAGCGCTGGGGTCGTGGATGAGCGGGTCATGTTGGGAGCGGTGGAAGAGTTGGTAGGTGGTTGCGTTTTTCTTGTCGCTGGAGAGCGAAGGGTTAGTGATTAGGTGTGATGAATATCTCGGGATAGAGAGTAACGTACATCCACTGCTTCCGGGGAGGCATCTTGGGCAAAATGGAGTCCGAAGACAAGAGTCGTAGGGGATGATTGGGAAGTTATCGAGAAATGCAGCTTTTCGGGTTGGGCAAAAATTCAAGAAATTCGTGGGGGAGATAAAGTCACGTGGGGATGCTTATCGAGGACCCGGTGGGCACAGAGGATGAAGTCGCAGTGCTGGTCCTACATAATGTACAGGTAATTCTAGCGTCTTTTCGAAGCAGTAAACCCTATATCACTCCATAGACAATCAATTGCTTTCTTTTCTCTTCATTCCCTAAATCAATGCTCTTTATACTGCATGCTCAAACCCCGCTGCTGAGTCAGCCTTATCTTATCCGGGTGGGGCCAAGCTGATTGGGCCAATACCCGCAAGTGGGAGGAATTTCTTCTTTTCTCTTCACCTTTACAAATCAGTCAATCTTCTTCCCCTCTTCATCTTCATCGCCTCTTTTATTCTCTCCTTTTCTCCCTTTCTCCTCCCTCCCTATACCCTCCCTTCTTCTTCCCTCTTCCACTCCTTTTCTTCCGTACTGCTCCGCAGTCACACATCGCCACCATGGTGTTGGCCAAATCCAAGAACTCCGTGGGGCTGGGCAACAGCCTCATGAAGGACCGGTTCGGCAAAGGCAAGGCCTCGAGCCAGAAGAAGGGATCCCACAATGCCGGCATCGTCCGTAAGGACATCAACGGCGAGACGTACGTGACGAACGCCCAGCAGGAGGCGTCGTGGGTCAAGATGCGCAGTATCACGGAGCAGGCGGCGTTGGACGAGTTCCTGAGCACCGCCGAGCTGGCGGGCACCGATTTCACCGCCGAGAAGATGAACAACGTCAAGATCATCCATGCCGACCAAAAGAACCCCTACCTGCTGTCCGCGTCCGAGGAGAAGTCCGCCATCACCAAACACCGCCAGAACCGCGGCCGCCTGACCGTGCCGCGCCGGCCCAAGTGGGACGCCTCCACCACCCGCCAGCAGTTGGAGCAGTTGGAGAAGGACAGCTTTCTGACCTGGCGCCGGGGCTTGGCCGAGCTGCAGGAGAACCAGGACCTGCTGATGACGCCGTTCGAGCGCAACCTGGAGGTCTGGCGCCAGCTGTGGCGTGTCATCGAGCGGTCCGACCTCGTGGTGCAGATCGTCGATGCCAGAAACCCCCTGCACTTCCGGTCCGAGGATCTGGAGGCCTACGTCAAGGAGCTCGATCCCAAGAAGCAAAACCTGTTGTTGGTGAACAAGGCGGATATGTTGACGGAGAAGCAGCGCGCCACCTGGGCCGATTACTTCGATCGCCATAATATCAGTTTCCGGTTCTTCTCGGCGCACTTGGCCAAGGAGCAGAACGAGGCTCGTCTTCTTGAGGAGGGTTCGGATTCCGAGAGCGACAGCGAGGCCGAGGAGGAGCAGAAGCTGGCTAAGGACACCCAGGCTATGAACATCCAGGACGGCGAAGGCCAGCAGAAGGAGCACGACGGCGGATTGGAATTGCCCTCCGCCACCCCCAGCAGCAGCAAGCGAACCGAGATTCTGAACGTGGAGGAGCTGGAGGAGCTCTTCCTGTCCAACACACCCGACACTCTCCCCGACAACAACACGGCCGACGGCCCCGTCAAGCGCAAGACGACTATCGGTCTGGTCGGTTACCCCAACGTGGGTAAATCCAGCACGATCAACGCGCTCCTGGGCGCTAAGAAGGTGTCCGTCTCCGCCACGCCCGGTAAGACCAAGCACTTCCAGACCCTGTACCTGTCGCCGGAGATCATGCTGTGCGATTGTCCCGGTCTGGTGTTCCCCAACTTCGCCACGACCAAGGCCGACCTGGTGGTCAACGGCGTGCTCCCCATCGACCAGCAGCGCGAGTTCACGGGCCCGGCGTCGCTCGTCGCCCAGCGCATCCCCAAGCACTTCCTCGAGAACGTCTACGGCGTGAAGATCAACCTGCGCCCCGTTGAAGAAGGCGGCACGGGCATCCCGACCGGCAGCGAGGTGCTGCGCGCCTACGCCCGCGCGCGCGGCTTCTCCACGCAGGGTCTGGGCCAGCCGGACGAGTCACGCGCCGCGCGTTACGTGCTGAAGGACTACGTCAACGGCAAGCTGCTGTACTGCCACCCGCCGCCCGTCGACGAGGGCGCCGAGCCCATCGACCCCGTTGAATTCAACAAAGACCTGTACGACCTAGCCCACCTGCCCGAGCGCCGCCAGGCGCAGCTCGCCAAGATGATGGCGGCCGAGGGCGCGGGCGACATGGACCCGGAGACCCTGTCTCTGCTCGGCATCACGAACCCCAAACAACTCGCCGCCGCGCAGGGCTCCGTCTCCCGCAATCTGGATACGGGCTTCTTCGGCCCCGGCGCCGCCTCCTCGCGCGGCCAGATGATGCTCCCCTTCAACGCGCAGTACACCGAGCAGGGCCAGCAGATCCGCAAGCAGCTGACGGGCCGCAAGGAGCGCATGATGGTCGCCTTGGAGCGCGGCATGGACGTCTCCGAGGTGCGCAGCGCCAACTCCAAGAAACACTTCAAGGCCAACAAGAAGCGGGCCAAGAAGGTGCGCAAGAACGGAACCGATGACGACTACTAAATTTCCGTTGTATCTGGCGTCTTGTTGTCATGAAGGGGGAAACTCGCGGGCGAGTGCTGCGGAAGGATGATGATTTGCAAAAAGCTCTACTAGTTATGATTTTTATATCCCGGTATAAAGTGCATCGGTTTTGATTTGTTTATGTGTTGTTCATGGTACATGGGTTTCTTTTGTATTTATTTCATCATGGACGCATGGGGAATGGGGAGATCAGGGAATGATGAATGAGGTTTATGGATTGAAATGGAATATCACTTTGAATCCTTTCCAGAGCACCGAATATCACAAACTAAATGGAGACAATCTAAACCAGCGAGAAAATTACAACCGGCCCCTAATCTTCAACCCGGTCTGGCCGAGCAACCGCTCCCCCTCGCCACGCTGCCACTCAAGCTTCTTGACGATCTCGTCGCGGCGGTCGCGGTTCTCGCGCTTGCCCAACTGTTGCAGATGGACCTCATCGGGCCCGTCGGCGATGCGCAGCGTGCGGATCAGCGCCCACATATACGCCAGAGGCGTATCCTGACAGACGCCGGCGGCGCCGTAGGCCTGAACGGCGCGGTCGATGACACGCAGGGCAGTCTGGGGCACGAGGACCTTGGCCATGGCGATCTCCTTGAGGGCTGCCTTTGCGTCGCCGGTGTCGATCTTGATGGCGGCGTTGAGCACGACTAACCGGGCGGCGTCGATCTCGATGCGCGACCGCGCCACCCACTCCAGGATGACGCCGTGGCTGGCCAGCGACTTCCCGAACGTCTGCTTGCGGTCGTCGTTGATGCGCGCAATCAGCCACTCCAGCGCCTTCTCGGCTGCCCCGATCGTGCGCATCGCGTGGTGAATCCGTCCCGGCCCCAGTCGGCCCTGGATGATCTCGAACCCGCGGCCCTCGCCCAGCACCAGGTTCGCCGCCGGCACCCGCACGTCCTTGAACGAGATGTGGCCGTGTCCGTGCGGCGCGTCGTCGTACCCGTACACGCTCAGCATCCGGTGCACCGTGATCCCCGGCGTGTTGGCCGGTACCAGGATCACCGATTGCTGCTTGTACGGGTCCGGGTGGTTGGGCGATGACTTACCCATTACCAGGTAGATGGCGCAGCGCGGGTCGCCGGCGCCGGAGGACCACCATTTCTGTTGGCGTTAATATATAATATCGGAGGTAGGTCGTGCTAGACGCAACCGCGTAGGGAGGAGAGGAATCATACCGAGCCATTCAAGACATACTCGTCGCCGTCGCGGCGGATATTCAGCTGGATATTGGTGGCATCGCTGGACGCGACCTCCGGCTCGGTCATCAAGAACGCGGAGCGGATCTGGCCCTCCAGCAACGGCGTCAGCCACTGCTGCTTCTGCGCCTCGTTGCCGTACTTGGCCAGCACTTCCATGTTGCCCGTGTCCGGGGCGGCGTTGTTCGTTGCCTAGAGACATACATGTTGTTAGCTTCTGCTGCTCCCCACCCGTCCCATAAGATATAAATATGAAATACAGAAGGCGTTCATGGGGGGAGAACCCCCCAAACCCCCCCTTCTTTTCAGCTTCCTGGTACCCAACCATCCCATATATCTCAGAAGGTATTCATGGGGGGAGAACCCCCCAAACCCCCCCTTCCTTCCAGCTCCCTGGTAAACACAACCCCAAAGAAAAAGAAAGAAAGAAAGAACAAACCTCAGAGGCAAGAAGACTCTTCCCAAGATACTCCGCCATAAGCCCATACTCAAGATTCGAGAACCCAGCGCCCTGCGAGAAGTGGTTCCGGGGCAGGAACATATTCCACAGGCCGAGACGACGGGCCTTGGCCTTCAGCGTCTCCATGACGGCCGGGTGCGAGCTCCATCGCTGGTCGCCTTCGCCCAGTTGCGCCTGGAACACGGGCTCCGCGGGGATGCAGTCGTTTTCGACGAATTGTTCGACCTATATCCCACACTCTCTCTCATCGGTGATTAGCTTTGTTGTACGGGGAGGGGATGGGGATGGGATCACTGTCTATGGGGGCATACCAGGTCGAGGGTCTTCTTGGCGTGGTCGCTGACGAAGGGGAGGGCGATGGGCGGGATGCGTGTTGAGGCGGGCATCTTGACTTTTATGTCTTATCTTTGGGGGAGGTTTGTAGAACAAGTGAGAAGCAATAGGAAGAGAAAAAAAGAAGGAGAGGTAGAGTTGTAATTAAACAACTGAGCCGGTCTGTCTGGATCAGACGATGGTTGCAAATGCGGAGAGAAAGACAGAAAGCGGAGAAGCAGCCGATCGGGACCTCGGCATTTCCCTCTGGGGCTCCGTCTTCCACTGCATCCTCGGGCTATAACTTACTTACTACTACTTATACTTAGGAGCTAAGTTATATCCAGTCAATACTGACATTAAATTATAAAAGAAGAAACAAAACATAAAGAACTCATGAATCAAACCCCTCCCTCCAAGCTCCAAAGTCCATCCAGTATCCCAACCCCCAAATCCAATCAACCGCGGTTGTATTTTCCTCCCATTTATTTCATCTGCCCCGTCCAAATGCAAGAACGGGGCAGTTTTCAAAGAAACCATAAACATAATCATTCCCGTGCATAAACGAAACAATTCCCGAACGTGAAACCAAGTATCGATGCTGCAAGAACCCAGTCCGAGTCATCCATCCATCAAAGTTCAAAGTCAAAAAAAAAAAAAATAAAAAGGAAAATCTCTTCTCCGACGACCCGCGCGAGAGAAGGTAGATACTAATCTCTAGGTAACTCAGAAAGAAAAAAAAGAAAAGCAACCCTGAAGATTCTAGATACCACTCTCGGGGTTCTCTTTCTCGCGCTGGGCTTCGGCCGCGGCGGATTGTTCGAAGTTCTTCTTGCCCAGCTTGGCGAACAGTGATTGGGGCTTGCCGGCACTGGAGGTCATGGGCATTAGTTTGGTTGTCTCCAGCACAAAACACAAGAAAAAAGAAAGAAAGAAAGCGGGGAAGGTGTAAGCAGACACATACTTCTTGAAGCGCTTGCCCTTCAGGTCACTCAGCTTCTTCGAGCAAGGACTCATCAGTTCGTCCGAAGGCGACACGTAGCTGGCTTGGTTGCTGGCCGCGTTGCTCCCTTGTTAGCGAATATTGTTTCATTTATGTAGGACAACCCGTTAACAGAAGTACATACTTCGCTCCACTCTCCAGCTTGCCCTGGAGCTTCTGGCGGTGGTAGTCCATTGAGTTCATCGGCTTGCCGGTCTCCTCGGCGGTGCCCAAGTGGGTGTTGGTGGAACGGTCGGTCAAGGGTTGAGCGTCCATGATGATGATGATGATGATGACGATGCTGACGATGTGAGGTTTTTTTGATAGGGGTCTTGTTCGTCTGAAGAACGTAGTCTAGAGGAAGTCCAAGTTGATGATTGATGGTTGTGGTGGTGACAAATGCTGAAGAAGGTCGAGGCTCAAAGGATAAGAAGGCGGGAAAAAAACCGCGTCGATTGTTGGCATGGCAACCACCCGCCAGGATTCCCGACTGACAATGAGATCATTCTCTAACTAGTCAAGTGAACAAGTTAGTTACAATCCAGTAATAAATAATAGGTTATGGCCGAGTGGCGAGTAGCTTGGTATATATATTTTAAGTAGGTCTCTAGGTTAAGTTCTATAAACTTTTTGAATTTGATAATTATACTGGATTTCACATGGGAAACAGAAAAATAAAAGGTAATAAGTATACTACATCAATTTTCCTATGTATAAATTCATTGATTAGTTGAAAAGTTTTATTTGATCTACTTACTGCTAGTCGCGTTGACTCTGGTAGTTAAAACTCAGGTATAATAAAAGAACTATCCCTGCCTGACCACCTTAAGATAATACGGTAATTTCCTCAGAAATCAACGCAATCGGAAGGGAATATCGTATCGCCTACTGATGCTTGCCAGCATTCTCGAGAACTCGCTCCGCCCGATGGCCAATAGATATCTTAGGAAATGTGGCTTTGGCAGTTCGGGAAGGGTTCATCTGCTGCCTCTTAAGAAGATAGAATTTTGTCTTTGCCCTTCTTATTTTCGGTGATCTGGGAGAGTGGAGAGTCCGCTATTCTTGGTTATGGGTTTGACTGACGTCCAGTTTTTTGCATTTATCACCAGAAATGTTACTAGTGTTAGGTGCTGGTGTGTAGGGATGCGAGATGCTTTTGTGGATAGGATGGCTGGTGCTAGTTTATATAGCACTGTTATTAGTGAACTGCTTTGCCGCGAACAGAGCGAAGACGTTTTTATTTCTAACCAATTATATAACTCTACTAAATTGAATCTAAACAGACCTGCTACTCAATGTCGTCGAGGTAGGGCTGGTAGGTACGGGAGACGGGTGATTTTCGCATGGTGCAATAATCGTGTGAGGCCAATTTTTGTAGGTCTGCACTCGGGACTTGAGTTGTTGAAAATTTTGCGGAGTTCCATATGGAGTTGTTGGAGGATGGTTGTGGTGATAAGGGACGCGTTTCGTGGGTCAGGGGAACTTGGACGCGTTGTTGATTCGGATTCGGCTGCGGAAAGGTCTGAGTCAAGGGCTGAGAACAGATTGTGATCGGGGTTGCGGCTTGGGGTTCTGGTGCGGCTTCTTTCCCTATGTTTTCTTGGTCGCCATTCTCCCTCGTCTCTTCGCATTCGCTCCCGTGATAATCGGGATGGGATACAGTCGCGACCGATACAGAGGAAGTCAACACTAGTGTCACCCCACAATATACTTTCTTTGCTCTCCGGTAACTCTAATTTGTACATTTAACGGTAAAGCGCCTAATTAAAGGCTTCGCAACTGCATATAATTGGCTCTATTTTTTCAGCCTTACCATTAATGGCCTAGTGTACACTTAATCAAAGAAGGAGAAGACTCGGGAGTCTCCAGAATATTGGTGATCATATCGCCCCCGAATTCTAATCGGCGTTTTAAGGGCAAGTTTCCGGTACTCACCGGCCTTATCGATATCTATATGTGTGAGACAAGCATAGAATGGAATATAGTCGATAGCTTGATCGATATGCGTAGATCTATATCGCAGGAAGGCTTCCCGAATGCAATCGAAACGAGTGTTGAGACTCGAAGTGGAATCGGGTCGATGATAACCGGTGACACTACTAAGGGCCACCATCAGCAAGAGATTAGACCTTGAAAGGATCCGAACGTGGAGGGTTTGGACCTAGTACTACCTAGCTGTCTGCCAGGGAGTTGGAATGAATTAACAGTGGAATCTGATGGTCGTATGGCATTTTCCTTTTTCCTCTTTGATCTCTAAATTGCTTATTACCGACGAATACTGCTATAATCGGACAGCAGAAACCCTCATCATCGTCCCTCCCCTCGCCTTTGCAGAAAAGCCCATCTCCTGGAACGCAAGATCCCCCATCGCCAAGTCCATATCCGTATGACGCGCTCTTGCCGTTATAGACCGCTCACTGTCAACGCCCGCACACTGGAAATCGAAATGTCGAATGGTCAATAGTAGGATAATTCGCAGTTCATCCATCGCCAGGCCGCGCCCGGGGCAGGCGCGCGCACCGCGCTCAAAGGGTCGCCATGCGTCTTTGGGGACCTTTGCGGCTGTGGAATCAAGGAACCGCGCCGGGTCGAATGTCGTTGGATGCGGGAAGACCTCGGGGTCGTAATGTATAGTGTGCGTGCAGGGGATGATCATTTGATCACGGGTTGGGTAATGCATGTTGTTGTATGTAAGAAGGGTTGTGCTAAGTGGAAAAGTGTTAATTTGATTTGGTTGGGATAGGGCAGTTGTATTGTGCTGTCGAGGACGGCGTTGCTTACCCAGGCTTTGCCCTGCGAGCCCCAAATCCCACTGGAAAGAGACGGAGGGTTTCCTTGATGACGGCTGTGGTGTAGACAAGTTCGTCGAGTTTGTGAGGGCTCTTTTGGAGGATGGTTTTTGGTGAGCCAATATCACTGCCAAAAACGTTGTTGTGCTCCTCGCGGAGGTTTGTGACTACTGTTGGATGAAACGCGAGCATGATAAAGACATACTGGGTGGCGTTAGCGGATAAGAATCAGGAAGTTTAGGTTGGGCTTACACATAACGTATCAGCTGTTGTTCCAAAGCCACCAAGCAAGAGGCCTTTGAGGCTGTATAGAGATTAGCTCGGGCATTCAAAAGGTGAAGAGTGTGCTTACTTATCAATCACGATTCGTAAAAATGCAGGTTTTAGTGCAGTGGGATCATGGGCCTCGCATTGTGTCCCACGAGCATTGGATAGGATGGTGTCCAGCATCGTAAGGTTTGTTCCGTCGCGACCAATCTTCCCCTCTGCTATCTGTGCGAAGCGATTGGTAACAAATCGTTGGAGGAATAGATCCATTTGCTGTGTGGCAGCACGTTTCTTCCACCATTTGTTTGCTTTGGTTAGAGGATTTACGGCTGTGGTGAGAGTCAAGGTAGTTGCATAATCAACAATATGATTAAGGCTTTTAAGCAGGTGCGTGGCCTCCTCTTTGGAGACGTTATCACCAAGGATAACCATGCTGCTAATTCCAAAGACAAGCTGTGCTGCGTATTTCTCCATTGAAAAGACCTCTCCGGTTTGAGCGTGTGCTGTCAGAGCTGGAGACAGGAGCTTGGAAACCTGCTCTGCAATAATAGGTGCCGCGGCCTTGATATTGGATGGTCGGAATGCAGGGACGAGGATTTGATGCAACATCTTCCACTTTTCACCGTCTGCAGCGCCAATGGCATCTTCCCCCAAGAGCGGCGTGAGGTAGCGGGCAACTTCGTCGTGCAAGGGATAGTTGTCAATAGTGGTGACCAGCTCCGCGGCGTCGGGATCGACAAGGATCATCTGGGACGGGCCAAAGGGCCAAAGATCAAGATAGAAGATTCCTTTTAGGTCGTATTTGTGGGCAATCTCAGTGTAGTAAGTAGATATGGCTGTATTTGGAGGAAACTGGCTCATTATGTCGTTGAAGAGCTTCAGATGGCCCCAGACAAGGCTGTGAGGTGGTTTGGGCTTGACATGGGAATTCCATTAGCAGCGAACTCATTCGTCAGAAGAGATTTGTCGTACAAGATTAGTATAGAAGCGACGACGTTGGATAAGTCGTAGTCCAAAGACAACCACGCCCAAGGCGGAAACAAATACGAGGTGAAAGACTGCCATGAGCGTGCAAATTTCTTTAGATACAAGGAAGGAGGCGAAAGAGATTATTTGGCGAGAGCTCGTGAATACTAGGATAGAGGGAAGGATATTATATGTCTGTCCGTTGCTGAGCCTCGAGGGTACGATCCTTGGAGATCAATCAATGATTGGCTGCGCTTCCGCCAAGCCCGCAGCTGCCAGTGCCCAGTGAGCGAGAGCGGCTGCTAGCGGGTTTCTGCGCATTCCTATAGGCTGCTTTTCCCGGCAAAGTCAGCTGAATCCCGCCGCTGAATCTAGGCTCGCGGTTCCCATGGACTGGAAGCAGTGGATAGGGGCAGCGGAGAGAACAGCATGTACTAAGCAGGTCAAAATGAGGGCTGCTGTCTAAGCTCACAGTAACGCGGCCCAAAATCGTTTGCATTGTTTTAAAGATTTGGCTCAGGTTCACTTTACGATCCGCAGACGATGGAGTTGTCTCATCCACTTAAAAGCAAACCAAGACTCCTCGAAAATGGAGCCGTGGATGAGGTTCGTACACATGACCATCGACGCCCCCTGCATCACAAACCACCAGCTCTCGAATGCGCTCTGCGATATGGCAGCCCCGACTGCACAGATCCAGATGAGCGCCTCCTGCGAGAACGACATCCATTGCACAATGTCCGTGGCGTTGAGAGCCAGTTTGAGGTCCAGAAACATGTCATCAAGTGTCTCCGTTTCGAGCGCGGATGTACCATCGACAAGGTACCAGAAGATAGCGACAGCTAGTTCACAGGCCCATAAGACGCTGTCGTTATTCCCAAGCTCGGGCGACGTCGCACGGCGACTGGGACGCGTTCCAGTAGTGAGCCTTCGCGCGTCGCGCCACTCGCAAAGGCTGCGCTTGCCCGTGATAAAATCCTGAAGCCTAGGGACTGCCGCATAGACTTCCAGGAACAATGACAGGATTTGATCGGCATTCTCGTACTCAGCTGACTTCAAGTGCACACGTCGAATGATCGCCTGAAGAAGCGGCGCAGGAGGTGAGCACGATGATGCTGTCTCGAGGCCCAGCATCTCCTCTGTGTTCAAGATCGATGAGAAGATTTTGGCCCTACCGGGTAAAACGTGAATGAGATATCCGGACGCTGGGACCCACGCGAGGTGCGAATGCTTACATGTAGACCATGTTAACTAGGGAGCCGGCAAGCCCCAGGTTCTTTAGCCCGCCTCTGGAGCGGACGATAGTCATCAGACCTCGTATATGGATCTTCATTGCCTCGGCATTATTCGCGACGGACTAATATGGGGTAAGCCGTTTGATTCTTTGGTCCTCAGGGCGACTCTCTTACTGCATGCATAGCCAGTAGTGCAATGCTAGCCACGAGATTATCATCAACGATTGCTCCATTCGCCGAGAGTCGTTGGTTGATACGATTGAGGGCTTGGCTGTGGTGGTAGAGCGTGATTGGATTACGATTTGTCCCGCAGCTGATGTTGTCTATTTGCGCTGACGCGTAGAATAATATTGTATGAAATAGGCAAGGGTCCGAAAAGGCATTCTGCAGCCAAATCGTACGCATGTGAAAGCACAGAGTTTGCGATGTGAGCGGACACGTCTCCCCCATCCAGTGCTGGACTATCAATCGCCCTTTTGTTAGTAACAGTCTCATGCCGTCCTTTAAGGAACATCTTTGAAATGGGAACGCACAGGAGCGAATGAGCTCTGGAAACTCTTTGCGGACTGGTACAGGGTAGGGTGAGCGATTCAGCAGCGTATCGGGTGGCGGTGTGCCAGGTACGGGTACAATGGTCCCTTCAGAAGCGAGGAATCTCTTATATGTGCAGGAAATCCCCAAGCTACTGATTGGTTAGATTGCGGATAATAGACGTCTGACTAGCTGACAGTGTACGAACTGACCTTTCGCACCGTGAACATCGGGGAACCCGCTTATCGCAAGCTTTTTTCCTCGCCTTGCAGTAGACGCAGACTCTTCTGGCATAACATACTGGGGGCTTGGAATTATCCGGTGCTCTATAGAACAGTCAGACCCTTGATCAGCTAGTTGCCTTTGCGCTGCTGGAACTTGCTGGTTTTCCACAGGGACGAGTATGAACTCGGTAGAGCCGCGCTTGTAGGAACACCGAGTTTCAGTCCTAAATCCTAATTTAGTTCAGTGATTGGAAGCAACGCTGAAAAGGTTCTTTCATACCGTGTGCAAAGAGAGCAGCTGGGTAGCTGTTTATCACACTTGCGTTTCTTGGCCGTACATGCTGCACAAGCGCGTGATGCAAGGGGAAGCTGAGAGGGCTGGCAAGGTACCAGCAGTCTACTTCGCATTGGATTGGTTCGGAAACGAATAAAAGCTGCTACTATACGCCACGGAGCTGGGGATAACGAAAAGCAGGGAAGAAGACGACATATCGAACGCTGTCCAGCAAATGATCGGAACAGGAATATTCCGGGCCAACATCTGCACGGGAACCCAGCTGAAACGCAGCGCGGGTTGGTTCTTCGGCACATGGTTACTCTAGAAAGGGGTCTGGACAAGCAGGCTTGTGAGCTAAGGCTTGGCATGAGATTTAGTGCGCTCTAATATCTGAAGCAGATTCGCCGCCTTCGGAATACCATCTCAAGAAGACGGTAACTCATAGTAGCTAAAGCTGATTGCACTTTCGCCGATGAAATCTTTCCCACGAGGCCAGATCCCTGGCTGATGCTTTAGTGTGATTTCCTATTTGAGCGAAATGGCAACGAACCAAGTGCCAATTCCGATGGAATCTTGCGCAGTTCGTGCGCAGTTCGTGCGCAGTTCGTTCGCTGGGCCCCGCACAGAACCATGGCAAGCCAAGCATACCTCGGGCCAACCTGACCAATATCTAGACAATCAGAACCCTCGAGAACCCAAGGAGGAGACTCGCCCGGCGTAGTGCCCCATCAGAGTCGACAACTGTTCCCTCGACCTAAACGCGCCCATAGAATCGACTTCAACCACATAGAGCAGTAGTGATGACTGGGCAACAGCCATCTGGAGGTCTGACGGGCGAACGCCTCAGGTACATTGACACCCCACGCAGTAGTGGTTGACATATAACGCCGCGTGCGTTCCAGCAGTAGTAGGAAAAATACAGTCCATGGGCGCTGATCCCTCCATCATTTAGAGACAGCGCTAAGGTCGGCTCCTAGCGGAAATGCCCGATGCCCACCTGCAGAAGGTATGTGGTTGGCCGGTGGGGGGACATTCAAGCCTAGACTGCCTACTAGATCTAGCCCACAGAACCCCATTCCATGTTCATAACGTCACTGAAGCCGTCCGTTGGCTGTGCCCTTGGGCCTGTTAGCCACCCGAAGCGTACCAGTTCTTTGTCTACGAGAATAGGACAGAGAGAAAAAGGTCTAATATTAGGGATAAGTACAAAGAACACTGTCCTCCACGCCTGCCCACCTGGAGCTCGCCTCCCAGAGAATTTCCTGCTTCTGTTCATTGTCACTGATTTCCGCTGGTTTGGTAGTTTGCAATCCCTGGAAATATCCTCTTTTCCCTGCGAAACTTGACCCAACCGCCACTTCGACCAGATCCTTCGCCGAATCACTGCTCAGTCGTATGCTGCTTGTGATATACTTCAGCAGAGGTAAAATAAACCGTGATGCGGAGAACACTTTTTTCGCGAGGGCACGTTGCTCATTGTGCGCACGAGAGTCAACGATACCACCGGGATCCATGGCTGTCGCAGTGATACCCCGATAGTCGCAAGCCTGCGTAAGTCTAAGTAAGATATCTCGGGAGAGGCTATTTGCAGGCAGGATGAGGTACCTTTTCAAGTCGTCGGTTTAGCGCGTTGATGAACATCACTGTGGCAAGCTTGCTCGTCCCATATCGCTGCCAACCACGATCGTGGTTCTCCTCTGCTGGATGAGATCGTGGCTTCACCAATTCCGCGACGTCTTCATCCTCCGGCCACTGCGCAACCAAGGCTGATAGCGGATTTGGGCGCTCGGGGTAATGCGCTGCGGAGCCTAGCATGACCACCCGTCCGGCCTTGCGGTCCAAGCACGGCAGCAGCTTGAGTACCAGCACATAATGCGCCAGATATGATACCTGAAACGTAGCCTCGTAGCCATCTGTTGTGTACTTTACACCGCCGTCGAGCGACCAGGTAAAGGCGTTGCAGACGATTGCCCGGAGCGGTGGCAGCTCCTTCTTACCTGTGCGGGAGATTATTGAGTCGCAGAATACGCGGACATCCGCCAAGGATGCAAGGTCAAGCTTTTCCACCGAGACTGTTGCACTCGGATGCTTGGATAGAATCTTTTGTAGCTTTGCGGTGTTGGGGTCTGTCTCCGTGGATGGGTTGCGAACCGTGCCAATAAGGGTGAGAGCAGGATATCGGGCCAGGAGGTGGGAGACAAACTGTAGGGCTAGTGAGCCGTTTGCACCGGTTATCAAGACGGTTCCTCGTGTCTCTTTTCCTTCATGGGGGGAGGCATTTAGGCTTGCGCCGGCTCGGGGCATTGATGGATCCATTTCTCACTGTGCCGACAGAAACTCTTTCTGATGATAGCAGCACTGCAAAGGACCGTCTTTATACTAATGGTACTGATTTCGAATGGATACCGTCAGAGCATGCTTTGGTGTAAAGGGGGCCCGTTGACGCCGGGGCCGCAAGCGGGAAAAAGCCGCCATGACCTCAGCCATCCACATGAGCGGGAAAAAGCCGACTTGAACGAGCGGAACGTGTCCAGGTGCATTGCGAAAGCCTTGGACTTATACTAGTGCGAATCTAAGTCAATTGTCATAGGCTCGGGACGGAGCTGATGGGGTCAGGTATTTCGCGCAAGTCATATTTAGGACTAGGTGAATAATTTCAGCCAGTCCTGAGTCCATATAAATATGAGCACAGGGGATACAGCAGCCGACGCGTATTGTAACGGGCTTCTTGAGAGGAAGGAGTAAGGGGAGAGAGCGATCGCCCTTGGTTGGTAATGATTCACTTAGTCGGAATTCTTAATGAGATGAATTGATCTCAACCTACTCAAACGCTGTCGTATCAAGAAATGGATCCACTGCGATCGAGAAGGAGTAAAAGAAGAACGCCAGAGAAGTGTTCAGACTCTTGCAGAAATACAGTACTGAGGCCTGGGCCAAGACTCGCCAGCCACAGTGGCTGGTTGAGTGGCTCGCCCTTCGCACACGCCCATTCTTTCTGAATCGGGGGTTTGGATGAACGAGATGATTTTCTTCTCTACCTTAATCTGGAAACACTTTTAGTCAACCACACCAGTAACCCTTTGCCGGAGCACAAATATGAAAGTAATGACTCGTATTCAATCCAAGGTGGCTCAGAAATCAGCGTTCCCAATCACGAGTTTTGCTTAACTAAAGGACAGCGACCAAAGCATACAACTGGGGAATCAGCTGTCCCTCGCAACCCTTAACATGCAGGCTATCCTATACCTAGCTCAGTGTCGTAGATATTCTACACAACCCAGCTATTACTATAACAGAATATTTATATCTTTACTTTAGAATTGAATATCTAGTTTTTACAATATTCTAAAAAAAGTAAAAATTAATCTATATTGGTATGATATTAATAATAATAAAAAGTATAAAAAATTATTATTATTATTATATTCAAAGACCCCAATTGACAAGAGTACCTGTTAAACCGTGTATTATGGGCCTAGATAAAGGTCGATTTGGACTGATATTGATATAATTACGTCTTTTCGCAAGGTGGTGGCTCTTATATGATATTCGAGATAATTATATCTCTCCAGAGTATATAAAGAAATTAGAATAATATTTGTTCATATCACTACAATACCAGCTTTGTAGAAGATTTAGATCCAAAAGAGTAGCTTCTTCTCCGCGAACAAATTCAGAGTATAAGGCCGTCGAGCTGGCTCGGGATGAGGCAAGGGTACAGTACATGCAAAGAAAAGTGGTCTTCCAACAGATTGCACATTCGAGTCGAATGGAAAACGGCGAAACACGAGAGTGGAGTTTTCTGCGACAACCTCTCAATCAACACCCCCCACACGCAGCCTATATCCATGCCCATCATCCTCAAGTATACTTTATTGTACTAGTATGTGGTACCTGAAGCTAGTGCCTGAAACCAGTGCCGGAGGCAATAGACCGCGTTAAGACAGGGATAGCATAGCAAGGATTAAGGGTGACGGTGACATGTTCAAAGACCACAGAAGCATATCTGCATTCAAGGTCAAAATCAATAGAAGGGCAATTAAAAGGTAGAGCCTTGCTATGTATGCACCGGCACAATTTATCTACACACTATACAGTGGTCATAATGACGTGTGCACTCACTCCCAAAAGCCTCTCCAAATTACGTCAGGATTAAGCTACTTCCTTTCAGAACCATCAAATCTGGAGTATATACTGGTATTCTCTTCCGGGAGATCGGATGTAATGTGATTCAATACCAGGCCAGGACAAGCTATGCATATTCACCAAAGATGTCCCGTCGAACTACCGTCCCTCAACTGCCCCGCCAGCCCGTCTCGCTACGGAGCTGCATCATCTACGGCTGCGGAGCAGGCCTGCTCGGTGTCGCCGCGTAAGTTGCATAGTCTTTGTATACAATCCCAGGATCGACCATAAGCTAAACTCCTGCAGGATGACGGCTGGAGAAAAAATCGAGCAATACTTCACCGGCAGGCCCAATTCCTATGTCCCAGGCCATACTTTGGAGCGGCTTCTGTCGCTCCCCACTAGGCCGGATTCTGAGCGCTTTGGCCTGAACATGGCCATGCACTACGGTCAGGGAGCAGCTGCGGCAATCATCAGAGCCCTTATGAGCGCCAACGGAATTCGTGGGCCGTTTGCGGATTTCATGTTTATCTCGATACGACTGCTAATCGACCAGACTTTGGAAAATGTGACCGGGGTCGGAGCGCTGCCATGGTGGGTTTGACCCTAATCGATTCGCACCCCAGGGGGGTTCTTACTATTGTTGAGCGCTAACGAGGCTGCAGGACATGGCCTGTCGACGAGCAAATCATTGATATTCTTCACAAGGGAATCTTCGCGTACGTGACTGGATATTTTACGGATAGGTGGCTCCAGGGGCAGGTTACTATAGGTTAGCCTAGAGCATGACGAGATTCGCCTGCTTTTAGGTTTAATCGGAATATGATTGCACGGCATTGAGTAGGGCTATTGTATAGTTATTACTTGAAACTTTTTTGATGTAACCTGTTGTTCACCTTCGAGTCTCATGCAATCAAAAAAGCGAACATAATAGGTGATTTTTCTAAAGTAAACGAAAAGCCTACAAGACACCAAAGACTGACAAGAACCTGCTCAAAGTACAAACATAATTTGAAGTCAACCTAGCTCCTAGCCGGACTGGAAAGATATCACGGAAGATGTCAACATTATGGCGGAGAACCTAATATCACAGGTTCGCGCGTTCGGTGAGATTGCCGATGCCGCGACAAGCGGAGATTTCAGCTAGTTGATCACGGTCAATGCGTCAGGAGAGATGGATGAGTTGAAGCCAAAAAAATCAACAAGATGGTTTCGAATCTACAAGACAGCATTCAGCAAAACACAAGCACCAGGGAGTGCCGCGTTGGACCTAAAGGGGTAAGGGAAAGTCGTTCGATTCCTGCAGGAATCCAGTTCAGTAGTACTAATCTAGTCGTCATCGTCTCGTGTCCCATACAGAACATACAGATAAGGTATAATCAACAAAACAATCCATTCCGCGCCCGCCCAATAAACACAGAGAGAGATACAGACAAACAAACGCAAACGCAAAGAGGCCAGACGGAGTTGACCTGGAAACACGCAGCTGGCGGAGACAGACAACCAGGAATGTCGATAAGCTTCCTCAGCCACTCATCATATCCCTGCTTCCCCTCCTTGCCACTGCTCTATCCAAGGCAGCCATTCACCGCTCGAGTGAGTCAACGGCATTATCCACCGGGGATGTCTCGGATCCAGAGGTACCTTCCTCGCGCGGGAGGTCAGGAGGACTGCTACGGGAACGCTGGACCGGTGGAACCTCCGGCAGATCAAGGCGATCCTCTCCTCGACGCTCGGATCCCTCATCCTCCGCCGAGCTCATCGCAACGGAAACCGGCGTTGGCGGCGAATAGGCCAGCGTCGGGCTGAGAAGCTCGTCCTGCGAGTCCTCGGACACATTCCGCCGATGTCCGCCGGTCCGTCGACCAGAAGACGCGGGACGTGTTGACGTCGGACTCACTAATGGGGAGCCGTACGGCGGGGACGGCGACGAAGACGAGCGCAGGCTGTACGAGCGCGTGACCATATTCTGCACACGAGGAATCTCAATGTAACCATTGGCGGTGCCCCGCGCAAAGAGCACCAGACCAAAGCAGAAGAGGATCATCATGCTCTGGATGACGGCCACGCGTTTCTGGAAGACTAACTCGTCCGCCAGCACGCCCAGCTGCGAACTGAGGGAATGGATCTCCTGGTGGTACTGGATACGCTGGTGCTCAAATTCCAGCGCCACGCTCTTCCACACCTGATCATACTGCTCTCGGAACTGCTTCAGTTCATTCAACACGGTCACGTTCAAGCCCTCCAGAAATGTCGACGTCTTCGCCAGCTGTCGCTTTTCGACTTTGTTGAAGGCGTCTCGCAAGATGCGCGATTGCTCTTCGATGTACTGGAGCGACAGACTCGAGTTAGATTCCAGCATCTGAAGTCGCTTGTGCACGGACTTGAAGAACGACTCCTGTGTCGTTGGATTGGACGACGGTGGCTGGGTCATGCTCGACCTGGTCGGTTCAGCTACACTGCTGGGCTCATCCTTCTGGGGCACAGCAGTCTTGCTGTCCGCTTCGGTCACAGGGCTAGGAGATACAGTCTCCGAGTTTGCAGCGGTTGTAGAAGACGATGGTGAGTCTGTTGCCATTGTCCCTATGACACTTGACGCCTTTGGCTCTCCTGGCTCTCGAGATGAGGCCTCCTTGTCCTTTCCTGAGGCCGGGCTTTCTTGGCCCTGGGACGGAGACGTTTCATTCGAAACAGGTCGGTAGGACGGAGGCTGAGCAGCCACGTCAGGTCCAGCACTGGTAGCCGGCGCCTCCTGTTCGTCACAGGTATCTAGTAGTCCCAGAAGCTCGCGCAGCTCTGGCACATCCACATCCGACCCAGACTGGTGGCAAGCCTCGTCCTTTGCATCGCTGGTCGATGCCGTGTCCGCCGATTCAGTGACCACTGGCTTAGACGATTCCACAACCGTAGTTGTAGTCTCAAGATCCGGAGCCGGTGGAGCCGGCTCCAGTGATTCCTCTGATATCTCATCGTCCACAGGGGCAGTCTCGCCGTCATGTTTGTACTCCTCCAACATCGTTGTCCCATGGACACGAATCAAGCTCAGCGGACAGAAGAATTCGTTACCGTAGTGCGTAAGAAACTCAATCTTCAGGTACCGCGCCCAGATCAGTGGGTTCTCGACGGCAAAGGCTTGCACCTCGCGCGTATTGCGGGCCTCGTAGACACCCAACTCGCGCCACTGGTCCAATTTAGCGGGATACCGATCCGCCACGCTCACACGGACGGTGTGAAAGATGGAGCTGAAGAATTCGTAGTTGGCGAGCACGACCGTATCGACCAGGATATCGTCGCACAGTTCGAGGACGAGGAACTTGTTCTTCGCGCGACACTCGTTCAGCATGTAGCTATCCTTGTTCTCAATCAGCACCGACGACGACCCGGTACACTCCGGGTTCGTCTTAAGCACCGTCGCCGCGCAGTCAAAGGACGCATAGTTAAACCGTTCTTTGCAGGTCGTCCCCGCATCCTTCGAACGAGACACCCCGGTCTGAGGTACACTCTGCGCCCTTCCATCCTCCGCGCCCGCGCCCTCGACTCCCGCCCCAGACATCCCCTCGCTTTTCGCCTCCGTAGAGGGGGACACCATAGCCGCGCCCCAAGCGGTGGGCTTCGTCGCCTCGGGCGCCGTATCCGCGCCGAAGCCGCCAAAGTCCAGCTCAATCTCCGCATCGTCGCCCAGCGAGTCCAGCGCATTATTGATCCCCGTGGGTCGTCGCCGATCCTCCTTGTTGCCCGCCACGCCACCCCGGCGATTCCCACCCACGTTCTCCGCCGACTGCCCGACCTTGGCCAGATTCTGCTTCTTCCAGTCCTCAAAGGAGAGGAACTTCGCATTATCGAGCGGAGATTCCGTGTCGAGCTCTTGGTCGGTCCGCTGCTGTTGCTGTTCCTCCGTGGAGGTCGGGATCGCGGAGACCGTCACCGACGTTGCTCCTGCTGACGCTGCCGCTGCCGAAGATGTATGGGAGATATAGGTGGCCGCATCCACCTCGGGACGGTGGTGTCCCCATCGCGTCTCGACACAGGCAGGCCACTGGATCAGCTCGGCGCCGAGATCGAACCCATCGCGAGCTAGGCAGACGGACGGGGATTGGTTAGCGCCGGTGCCGTCGATCCAGGTCGAGATCAGAGTCATCCAGGGTATCCATTGGGTCGCTGTCCACCCGGTCATTTTCCCTGGGCGTGTCCCCCTTTCCTTGACGTCCAAGGGGGGGGAGGGGAAGGAACGGCGGTGGAGATGTTCTGTGTGGAGTTTTGATTCTCAGCGGTTCGAATAAGCGAAGTTAGTTGCTAATCGCAGCGTCTTGTTCGCAGTAGACAGGCTTCAGCTCAGAGAGGGAAGGTCCACCGCCGCACACTCACGCATTGTCTATGGGTAAGGTGATACAGTATGATCTAGCGGCAGTGAGTGTTTTGGAAGGCGATTTCAAATTTAGGTTGGGGGCCGACGACAGGAAATGCGCGAGGAGATAAGCAACCAACACCCTTTATCGACCTCGCCCAGCCGCAAGAAAGAATAATGCGGGCAGATGACGAGACAAGAAGGGTCAGGAGGAGGAGAAGAGTCACACAGATGAAAGGAAACAGTGGAAGCGACTACTAGACCGACAGACCGACAGACCGACTGCTATACCACTCTAGCTCACCGTCAGTCCACTCGCGCAATCTTTCCAAAGGGGAAAAGCATAGGAAGTTCAATGTGCGCTAAGAAAAGGGCCAGACTGGCAGCTACTACCTTAGTACTGTACTTCCTCAATCGATGATTCGATCGTCATTAATCTTCTTCTTTTTCTCCGCACTGGCCGACGGGAAGCCGTCCGCCGCATTGATTACCGCCTGCTTGTTGTGGAAGTATGCATACACCGCCGCGAGTGACCATTGACCAGACAGTCAGGGAGCGGACAAGATTGAAGCTCCGTTCATGATTAGAATTTCGCTGTCAATTCATCAATTGTCCAGCCCCAATGGGATATCCATCCGTAGATGCGAGCCCATCGCTGAAACGCCGGACAGTTCCGGGGCCGGCAGTGGTTGATGTGGGCTCAGCCATTCATTGGTCGGAAATCTGGTAGAAAAAAAGGCTTGTTGATGGACTCGGTTTCATGCTTGACCTTCAGGGTCTGGCTTCTCACCAGTGAAGACGATCTCGTCACCATGAAGTGTGTCCCTACGTCAATATGGAGCTAAAGCCTACAGTTCAGAGCACCATCGGACAAGATAAAACGGGTCACAAGCCCCCCCTCCTCTACTTGCCAGAGCAGTCGACGAACGGAACTAAACACAGAACATTACAACTGATCGAAGGAAAGAAAGCATTAAGCAACTGCATCGAGAACTGACATCCAGTTCACGATGCCTGATCGTCAGGTGGGTCGGTCCCAGTCTCATGCTGACGGAGGAAACTCATATGTGATAGAGAATCTATTACACCTTCGACTCTGCCGAGAGTTATATGCACCTTCAGGACCAAGTGGTGAAGTAGGCATGCTGTTTTTGAACATGCTCGCCATGGTTGGCTTGACCTGATTCATGACTCCCTAGGATAATCCAGGAAGATACAGGGAAGGAGTTCTGGATTTGCAATCGAGCGCTGCCTCCTAGCTGCTACCCCCCGTAAGTAATTCCCGACTGCTGCAGGGAAGACGGCGGAGCTCATTGATTGACCGGGTCGCTCACGTTAGCCCTTTAACCACCGATACAATCGACAAGCTGAAGGAGCTAGATGGCGTAAAAGTCGGTAACCTTGACGAGGATTGAAACAGCTTGTGTGATGGGCTGGTGTGCATCTGTGGCATTGCTCTACTGCTACTAATGTCAGGCTCAGCAACTCAAAACTCGCAGATTACTTCATTCGTACACGTACACATTAGTCTACACTCGTAATGCTTGCCTCCCTACGCTTTACTTAGAGAATATCAATCAGGCCGTACTAGAATCACTTTTGATTCCTGCCTCACTGTTTCTGATCAAATCGCCTCGTCACCACACCACTAGGTACCCGCTCAACTATTCCGGCTAATTACACGTAGTACACAGATATTCCCGGTCCAGTCCAATCAAAGCCGACCAAAGAAAGTATGATGAAAGAACGACCATTCGTCTGATTCATTGCTTTTTTTTTTCATGTGTAAGAATCGGGTTAAAGGAAATAGCGCCACGGCCTGCTGCACGCCATCGTCGTCCTGCGTCGTCGTCCAACGAACCCCCAAACATTGAACCATTTTGTCTTTTGATTAAGGAAAAGAGACATGATATTTTTGGAAAAGGGAGAAAGATGAGAAGAGGAGATGGAAAAAGAAAGCAGCTCAAACACTCCAGAAAGTAAGACTGTCCCTCCAGTTATCAGTTGATGAGTCACTTTTGACCTGCTCGTCACCACCACTGCTGACTCCGTCGGAAAGTGTCGTATTATACAGGATAGGAAACAGAAACGCTGACAGATAGATGGGCGTAGACGCCACATACATTCTATAGGGTAAGAAGAGGGAAGAGAATATAGTTTTGAATGTGAATATAAGGTCGCCTGGCGCCAAATGCTGGCCTTCGGAGACCGCGGGAAGAAATGCATCGGAGTAAGAGTGGAACGGACGAAAGGACAAAACAAGTCGGAGTATTTGTTGAATGTTTATTTATTATTGGGTTGCTCTTCTCAGCGACATTGGACGGTACAATAGAATGGAGAGGAACGTCGGGCGCCGACACCAGGGGTGAGGCGATGCTCCTTACAGATGAAGGTCGTGCCAGCCACCGACGAGATCGAGATCTTCGTCGACGCTGCCATCGTAGTGGTTCGGAACCTTGGTACTGGCGGCCTTGGGCGACTCCCAGGCATCTCGGCGCCGGCCCTTCTCCTGGAAGGGACGACGACGACGCTCACGATCCGGAGAAAACGTGTCTTTCTTGGCCCATGAGCCATAGTCGAAGCCAGAAGATCCGAGTCCCCAATCCTTCCTCCAACTCATGTTGCTCGAGAACTTCTTGCTGGAAGCAGTCTCCGGAGATTTGAAGTTCCTCCGGCGATCACCCAGGGCCGACCACTTATCGAGACTCGATTTCTGTGGGGAACTGTCCGGAGTGCGAGGAGGGGTTTTGATAGCAGTGATTCCCGCCCGCGGATCCCAGGACTTAGCAACAAGCTTCTCGGAATCTTCGTGAGACGTTTCCATTTGTTGTGCGCGGACATTGAGGAGGGAGTTGTTGACCACTTCGTGCAGGCCAGTCAAGGGTCCCCGAAGCTCTGGTGTGCTGCTTTCATGGCTCCAGCTGCGTGAGTTCTGCTCGCGACGCTGCTGGAAAGACAAGTCCTCAGCTTCAGATTCCTCTTCCTCGTCCCAGAGATCGCTCCAGCTCTTTGAGATCTGCTCTTCCTTCTTCTTACCAAAGACCATGGAAAGAGAAGGCAAGGGCTTGGTAGCATTGCTGGGCAAAGAGCCAGTGATAGGAACGGGATCGGAGGGGGGCGGGAATCGAATCTCGTTCTTGCGGAACAACGGGGGTGACCGGAAGGAATCGCCCATAGCGGACTCCAAAACCGAAGCCATAGATGGGGTACCCTGGTGGACAGAGAACCACGAAGTGCCGGCAATCTCCGAGGGTGGGAAGAGATCTTCGGTGTAGCTCTCGTTGTCGGGGATCGCAGAGAGCTGCCGGAAGGTCTGGGGTGGGCTGGCTTGAAGAGCTTTGGCCCAAGGGAAGGAGTCGCCCTGGTTGATGTGAGGGCTCTGGATGGAGGGAGTCCGAAGCGGCTCCCGGTTGGCACTGGCGGCAACCACCTCGCGGTCGTCCGTGCAGAACTCGTCCAGCGCGTCATCATCTGTAGTGAACGTGACAGCACGCAAGATAGCTTCGCGAATGCCAGAAAGGGAACGCTTCGTGGGATCAATTGCAAGAGCGGTCCTCAGAATCTCGAAAGTGTCCTGAGACATGTTGGGGAAGATGTCGAACAAGGATTGGCGATCCCGAACGTAGTCGGCGTACAGGATATCGGACTCCGTCGGCGTGGCAAAGGGATTCCGTGCAAAGAGAACATTGAGAAGACAGATTCCGATCGCCCAGATATCGGCTTTGGCGGGGGAATAACCGATGGTGGAGGGGTCGTACTGCTCGGGAGCCATGTAACGATCACTGCCAACGCAGGCCTCGTGGGACCAAGCCTCCCGAGTCGCCAGGCCAAAGTCACCCAGCTTCATGGAACCGTCCTGCATCAAGAAGATGTTTTCGGGCTTGATGTCACGGTGATACAAGCCGTTCGCGTGCATAAATTCCACAGCGCTCACGAGTTGCAGCATGAAGTCGCGCACGTGCTCGGTCTCCAGAGGGCCACGGTTGAGTCGGATTGCCTCGTACAGGTCACCATTCGAACAGTACTCCAAAACAAGATACATGTGAGCATCGGTTTCGAAGGAGTGAATGAGGTTGACGATGTTCGGATGGAACCTGAGACGCTTGTGGCATTCCAGCTCTTCGGTGCGAGCATCATATGGGGAAGGGTTCAACGGGTCTCCCGAGGAGGATTTGGTCATGCACTTGATGGCGACATCTTGACCGGTCTGCAGATCAGTTGCGAGGAAGACCATGCCAAAAGAGCCATGGTTCAGAGGAGCGACGGTGCGGAACCGTCCGTCCAACAGCTGGCCTTCAACAAAATTGTTCTTGAGGCACTCCATTGTTATGTGTATACTCTAACAGGACGATGGTCTCCCAGAGATATTCGTCGAGGTAGGATATAGAAACTGGCTTCGTTGATCAAAGCGAGTTTTGAGATAGTCAATTGACAAGGCTCGAGTTTGGAATGAACTCGAACGACGGGAGTAACAATGAAGCTCAGACTAAGGCAGCTCGAGTTTCCAAGCAGATCTTGACCACCCAGATCCAAAAGAAAAGAGTCGGAAAGGCGAGAGGGGAGGAGAATGGAAAGCGAAGAACGAAACGACAAAGGAACAGATGAGTTGTCGGCTCGAAAGCTATCGTATAAATACCGGAAAGTCAAGAGGATATGGTAACAAAAGGGAACAAAAAGTGACGAGAATAAGTAGGTGTAAAACGCAAATCAGAGATACCCTCGGGGGTTTCGAACGACGATAGGAAATTGGATGTAAAGACTGTTATGAGTGCATCGGTATATCGTTTTCACAAATAGGGGCCGAGGGCCGGAGGCGAAGATAAGTATGTTGCGAGGAAATAATGTGAGCGAAGTGAATGGCTATGTCCGGCGGATGGACAGTTGGTCAAAAAGAAGACGAGGAAGAACGCTGCGTAGATATCGTAAACACCAAGAGGATAAACAGACAAGTCTCGTTAACAAAGAAGGCCTTCCAACACCAGGCTGAAGGACGGAAAAAGGTCGTGACTCGAAGGAGAGGGAGCGGTCGAAGACTATCGAGTCATAGAATGCCCGATAAGTTTATACAGTCCTGTTGATTGACAAGGAAACTATATAAGGAGACCGAGGCTCTGGACAACTGGTAGGCAAGGTCTTCTGTCCCGAGAAAGGGCGAGCTGAAGAACCGAATACCAGCACCCGGCCAAGGTTGCGCGGCGAACGGATGGACAACAAAGCAAAGTTGACCTCAGAGCGGAGCGACACCCTCACACGTATTGTCTGCGATTGAAACGTAGCAAGGCTTCGGAGGACAGTCTGCAGGAAGGTAGACGAAACGTGGGTCCGAAGAAGCTCTCGACGTGGTTGGCTTGGGAGCAAGATGAGTCACGGGGGGGTAGGTGTTGGGAAGGCCAGGCAGAAGACGAGACAACCGAACAAAAGAGGTTCGTTCACAGAGTTGACAACCAGACGAGTGCGAGATCTGATGTAGAGCAAGTGGAGAAGGTCACGATGTTGGTCTAATCAGGCAGGAAACTTGGCAGAGCACTGTATCGTGTCGCAACGAGGATGAGCGAAGCGGGAGGGGAGGGGGAATGGAGATGATGAGCTAGTAGGCGGAAGGTAGGTTGTTGTTGAGGACGGGTGGCGAGTAAGAGTAGTTAAGTGTCGATAGGGAAAATCGGGTGGGAAGGAGCAATGGAGATGCTAGGAACGGGAGTGAGGTTCGGATGAGGTTGTAGATGAGGAAGGATAAGGAAGTAGGAGGAGGAGCGAAGCGAAGTGAAAAGGTGAAGGTGAGAGGAAGAGAGGAAAGGTGTTAGGAGGAACGAGGAGAAGGAAGAGGAGAGTAGGATGGAAGATGAGAGATGAATGGAATGCGGATTGGGGAGGGAGCGAGGAGGGACGATGATGACTAGGTAAGTAAGTAGGTAGGAAGTACAGTACTAGGTATGACTGATTGTCCAGACAGTGACTAACTTGGGGGGGTGGGCGGCGGCGGCGGACGATAGGGATAAGGGGAGGTTCCGGATGAGATGATAGCACTTTTTGGTCCACCACTAAGCCCGATTAAGTCTTAGTAGGAGGGGCGAAAGACCAGAGTCAAAATGGGGAAGAAGAACGGCAGTCGGAACCTTCTGCTTTGGGGGTTGAACCTCTCGATGAACCTTGGGCAATTCCTAGACTGCATTAAACCATGGCGGGAAAGGGAAAGAGAAAAGGAAAGTGGGCGAACGAGCGAGAACCTCCTACGTCGTTCGTTGTCGTCGTCGTTGTCGCCTTGGGCCGGCCTGGCTGTGTGGGTGGGTGCTTTGGGTGTTTCGACCAGCCAATAAATGGCACTTTGCGTACCATACGTGACCTGACATACCAATCTACAGCTCTTCCCCCCGACAGCCAATCTGCAAAGTCACGGGTGCCTCGTGGTAAAAACCGGTAACAATCTGCCGAGCCCACCCAATCCTGTCTGCCAAAGTGTCTCCACTCCACCTTGGTTACTGGTACATACTGTACATCACTGTACCTCCAGAACAGAGAACAGTCTCAAATACGTGAGGTCGAGAAACCGAGGCCGTTTCCGGTCAGATGAGAGCTCCACCCCTCCCCTGAATGATTCATCCTCTACTACCAGCACTCAATGTCTCCGGCCCTGGCAGTTACCGTAGTCGCCAAAAACATCCGCCTACTTACCACGGGAAAGTGATGACTGTACAACTCATAATATATGGATGATTCAGCAAGCTCCATTGCCATCGTCATGATTCTTTGTTCAAAGGTTGCTTACCATTCACTCCCCTGGTGGATGGGTCATCAATGTAATCAATTCGAGGAAAAGATTCTCCTCCCCTGAGATTACTACGTACTGTCCTATCCTGGTCCGTCGTAGGTAGCATCTAGAGCTCACCCCTAACCCCCCAATCCATGCATGTATCAGTTCTGTCCTCTCAGCAACGAGCCGACCGATGAAAAGAATGGATGGGGATGGCTGGATGAGATAATCATGAATCAGTGGTTGCGTGACTGAAACCTCTGAAGGTCACTCACTCACTGTACAGTGTACAGATCTGAACAGTAAAGGAGCAGTAACGGTAAACAACGTCCGGACCGACTCAACCAATACTGAAGGACGTGGTTTCAGCAGCGTTCCAGTCCGTGACTGACCAGATCCAGATCCGACCTCCCTCCCTGCCTGCCTATCATCACCCAGGCACTGGCCACGCATTCCTAGTAGTACCTCTCTTTATTTTTTTTTCCCCTGCCAGGTTGCCAGGCAGGCCGTCAAGCCCTCTCCATGAAGAATTACGCCAAAATATGGCATTGAACGGGAGGACCGAAGACAGGAGGAGAGGCCTCGTACAGTAGTTCCCAATTATCCAATTATCACAAGTAAACAATGAGTATTCCGGTAGCCATCCAGTCCGGTAATTGCCGCAAAAGACCTACGGACGATCCAGACCGAACGTCAAATATTGAGTACAATGGAACTGGAGAGCAAAGTTGGCCACCGGCCGACTACCTTGCGGACCTTACCCAAGGGACTGAAAATCCCCCGTGGGTGGGCAGAAAGAGGTCACTAATCACTTATCAACAAATCCATTGCTATCAATTGAACAGGCCCGAAGTCAATTGACACACTAGCAATTAAATTAACCTTTGAAGAATTCTAGTCTTGACAAAGTACGGAGTAAACAGACCATGCAGCTATGGATCAAGAGAGTCTAGTTTCAACTTTTCGACGGGAGTAATCTACCAAGAAGGCACCAAGACAGCACCCGTTGCTATGACTAAGGCGAGGTTCCTGCAGGTCCAAGCAGGGTCTTCACAGGCAAGGTCCCCATCGTTATCGGGAAGAAGCCTTGATTGCGGTAGGCAGTCAAGTCAAGTCAAGTCAATACTACGTATGATGCTATGTGCAAAAGAAGGGCGTAGTCAGTAAAAAATGCCGCCCTCCCGTGTCTAATCTGTCAATCCATTCATCCATGGTTGTCCCGCACATAATTGATGATGACAGGCAGGCAACAGTTTCCATACCAAACTGTGGTAGTTTCCCCTCCCCCATATTTCGGACAGGTAAAATGCATAACGCCATCCATGATAATCGATGATCCAAGCATCCCCGTCACCGAACGGGGACCAGACACAAGCCACTTACTTTTGTTATTTACATTTACTTACTTACTTACTTTCTTCTTCGGATTCCTTCATCTCAAGGTCTCACGGACCAATTCGATCCAGATCGATCCTTGAGCCCAATTAATACCCTTACATACTCCACTGTGTCCCATCCTCTTCCGACCTGGCAAGACGGCGGGCGACAAAGGGACAAACAAGAAAAACAACCCGAAAGATGACAATGACGGGCGATGGGCGATGGGCCGCCCGACCCATGTTTCCATTTTCAGTTGCGCCGCCCCCGTCACTGCATTGCACTTCCCCCAGAGTGAATAAAATTAGGTCTATTCCGCCGGCCGATGGCGGAGCTCTCTGAGTCTCTCTGGGTGGCGACTTTGCTAGGTGCCCGCGACAGAAAGACAGGCACCCTAGACTCATTCCGGGAGGGTGGGGATTCCTTCAAATCCAATCACCGATAACCGGAGTCACACTATTTCCAGGCTGCATGACGCCAGCCCCGACCCAGTAACAAGTGGGCGGCGTCGTGGCCAATAATTGTCTGTTCGATTGGCCCGAGTCAACTTCAGGGAACGCAAATGACGCCCGGGGGGAGGGCCTGGACGATCATCGACGATCGGGTCGCGGATTGTATGGGGAAATAATACTAATACTAAGTACGGAGTAGGTGGTGACGGATGGCATAATTTCGAGAGGACCGGTACCAACTCACGCTATGCTCAACGTTACTAAGTATCCACGAGAGGGTCGGATCAGGTCATGTGTTGTATATGTGGATGGACAGTACCTGACCTGACTTGAAGCTGAGCTAGTTACTCGTAATTATTAGGCGTGCGAACTTGTCGTGATCGGACTGTCCATTCCATAGTGGAGGTACGGAGTAGATGTATCTGTGTGTCTGCTCTTTGCTCGCTCGCGGGTTCAGATCCAGCAGATCACAGCAATAATACTGGGGAATAATAAACGTTGTCGTTGCACAAGTGACCTGATCCACGTTGATCCTGTTTGTTTACCGTGCGCGGGATTTTAGGGATGTCTGACTGGCCTATGTAAAACTATTTCTTTTTTTTTCTTTTGTGCTATTGTTGTCTGTTACAGATTTTTGCGGGGATTGTCTGAGGATGATTACGTCTCCAGCTCTAAGTATGCAGGTGGATGAAAACAACAAAGGTGATGCATTCGTGCTCGACCTGCCGCTGTTGACGCTCGGAGACATTCATCTTCAATGTCGACCACTCACTGGGCGGGAAAGTACCGTAAGCTGTAGGCTGTATCTAGGCTGTAGGTAGGAAGCTGGTGGCAGCGCCCCGTGGCTGGCATGTTTTCCCAGGGCTGCATCAGTCGCATTGCATGGTCCTTGTTCTGCTTCTTCATTGATCATTCATCAATCCCTCTCTGGCGGTGAGCGACTTTTCCTTCGCGGGAGATTGTCTTAAGGTGTCTTTGGTCTTAGTGGCCGCTTGACCGCCTCCTGCTGGGGTGTGTCGGTAAGGTTTGGTCCTTGCAGCCTGGCCTGAACTGGTCCCAAAATCCAAGGACGAACATTTCCCCCCCGACTGCGTGTCTTGATCATGCAGACGGGGAAAAAAGGTCTACGTGGAAGCTTTCTGACTAACGATGGCAGATTCCCCACGATTAGAGGGGCGCGGATTTTTGGTGGGCTGCCAGGTGGCTGATTTTCACGGGTATCACGCGATGCCCCCGGCTGGGACCACACCACCATGATCACCAATATCGCAGTATTTACTTAGTAGTACTAGCAATTAGTTAGTGGCTGGCAGAAACTGTCTGATCTTCTTCTTCGCCGCCGCTCTTTCGGATTCTCTTCGGTTGTGGGAGAGAGTTGATCGTTACCTGTGCGCTATCGGATAATCTGTTGTCTCAGGTCACCTGGCACTGCGCCCCTCCCCTCCCAATCCTATGGTATGGTCCATAGAGTTTCTGGTTCGTGGGCAGTGTGGTGTGGTCACCCATGGGATAGGAAGCGGACACGATACATTTTGCGGATCCCAGACTCGGTTGATAAACCGGACTTGGGCTGAAGAGGGTGGAGGAAGGTTGGGGTGAACCTTGGATGGTCTTATCAGTGGTTTACGGGGATCATCAGCCGAGCAGATAACCACCAATGATAGCAGCAACCTTGCGGTTTGTTGGGTGAGAACGGTGAAACGAGGGTTGGAGGGGGGGCACGATAAGGTGGTCTTTTTGTTTTCCATCTCGGTCTCACGTCAATACTCCCCGTTGTTGATAGAGTGATGACACAAGCGATCCCTACTGTGCACCCCCGGAGGTGGACAGAAAGCCACCGAGTTGGAGATAACCAGCAGCAGGGGCCACTGTCTGGGGGAATAGAGTTCAGTTCCCGTTCCTCGTTGATTGATTGATTGATTGATAGATAGATAGTCTGATAGACGGGGAGATAGGGAGCCGACGGCACCCAGCCATCGATCAGTATTGTGTCAAACCCCCCTTCCCCATGAATTGAGGTGCATACCTACATAATTCCGAGCCCAGCGGGATCGTACGTCTTCCCTCCATCTTCAGATCCGTTTCGTGAGCACGCGACCCAAATGTACCAAGTATAAATGTATCATGTATCATGTAACATGATGAAGTGGTAGGAGATCTTCCTGTCGCAATCGTCTATCTACTCCTGAACTGATTGTCAATTGAACGAACCTCGCAATCCAAACCAATGTTTACCCCGCACGATCTGCGGTCCGGACGGAGACTGCGGCGTATGATTGGTCACCATAGCCAATATTCTGCTGGAATTCCCCCGCAAGGACCAACTCCTCCAATCGCCCGCCCAACATTTCAGTCAACTGGAGAGTCCCCGTCTTCGTCCTCCATTCCATCCGTTTCAATCGTTCCAATCTTCGTCTAGAAACCGCAGCAACCAGATTTTCGTGCTGTTGCAAATGCACCTGGTGGCAATTTTCCCCAGGTTTCTCCTTCCTTCCGGAACAATCGAATCCGCCATTGAGTCTCATTTTTCAGCCAGTCTCAACATTTACCATTTAGCGGTGACAACAACACCAGCATAGACAAAGTCTCACTCTGGTCAAGTGCTCAATTGACTAATTGGGTTGGTCTATAGACTAAGACGATGGCGAGTCTTGTTTCTCACGAATATGCTCGTCTCGAGTCGTGTCTCAACCACAACAACCACCAAATTTGAGCAACAACCTCGTACCTCGTATCCCCTCCCTCAGCGATCGGACATGGACCATGCATGTATGGTATCGCCTGCACCGCAACCAGAAGAAATCAAGGTATCCAGGCACCCCTGATATGTCCCAACTATGTAGCATAGTCTAGGTAGTGTAGTGCACGGTAGTAAGCCATAACTATGTACATACTGCATGTATGGACTCCACATCTCCTCACCCTCAATCAAT